CCATTGATCGAATACATTTGATAGGAAAGTCCCGACCAGGAATAGAATGTCCCATCTCCTAAGGAGGTTGATGAATAAGTTAATTTGTAGAGGTTGTTGTCCGTCCCAGATACCATAATCCTCTCTCCCATAGCATCAATATCGTCACAAAGAAGAAAACGATCCCCAGTTGATGTCTCCTTCCATCTCCCCTGCAGATCGCCTTGGTTGCTTGTAAATTCGAGATGACCTTTGACTGGCTTCTGTACAGGAATGATTTACAGCTGTTGCTGGGTGGGAATTCTGTATCATCTCCTCAACATCAGCATCAAAATCGCTGTCATACAGATTCCCGAGTTTCTCATCGAACACAGAAAGAATTGGTTTAGTTTCATGACGTCATCGCTTCTTGACGTTGTTGACGAAAGCAAAAGTAGCCAGCCACAGGGTATCTCCTGGATGGTTATGATTGGTCGTGAACGTCACAGGGATGTTGTCCAGTGTGGTCAATGTTGCTGGACATTGGCTATCTATACATCCCCAATAGCATCGATCATGACGCCTAGTCTTAACTGAATACTTGAATCAGTATTACACCAAATAGTGTCCACCTCCACCATTTCCCATAAAATCTACTCTTACTTGTGTATTGACCATATGAAATATATAGTGGCATATAGTTCAAAGGTCAAATATATAATAACTTCATAGAAATATTAGTGAAAATTACAAAGAAAATTATTGGTGCAAAGTCAGTAATTATTTACTCCCATGTAGAGTGAACAATAATTGTTTTTATATCGACATTTGTTTTTATTTTTATAATCAATGTTTTGATAAACCTCTATAATGACATTCACAAACTATTATGAGAAAAAAACTTGTAAACGTTTATGTGGAAACAACAGAATGAAGAATCTTGACATTATGTAATTATAACTATTGTTTCTGTTAGACAACCCACTAGTTCTCTTCATGTCTTCATATATATATGGTAAATATATCTGTCTATAAAAAATATCTATTCAAACATTTTTTGTTCCCTTGTACTTTTCCCTTTATTTTACGAGTTCCTAATAGCAAGCTTATAGTTGCCGAGGTGAATTATGCTTGTAAGTATTGAAATAGACTATACTTAATTTTGTCCGGGTAAATACAGGTAGCTACAGGTAATGTGTTTTTTAAGATGTTGACTGAGCGGGGATCTGCCCAAGTGTCGTTATAACGTTGTGCAAACCGGATCAAAATGCAGACTGCCGGTTGGTCACCATTGTATTTTACGTTAGAACGTTAAAAAAGCTACACTTGTTTAATTCTTTTAATTTATTTGCAACAAATGCGAATAGCATACAGGATTACACGATTATCATATATTACATTTCACTACAGCAAGATGGCGGAGGACATTACGACATTATCAACATACACGTACCAATGAAAATATACAGTGATCGTTCGCAGCATTAAGCTAGAAAATATACCATTTGATTCAAGAAGAAGCTTTAATCAAATATTTACTAAGATTTCTCAATATTGCAGGACTTCAGTTGTATTAATTTGGAGACAGACGGACAACGGAAGTAATATGTTTGATATATTTGATTCTGAACTTTGAATAAACTGGACATAATAACATGAAATGAGTTTTATCCTCGATGTCATTACTATTACAAAGAGGACAATACCTTTGGGCTCCGGGAGATATCGTTATATCTGTTCTATACTTAATGTGTGGGACGGTAACCGATACTAACTGAGGATACTTTTATACTTATTAGTGAGAGATTTAGTGAGGTAAAACTGCACATCGTAAAGATCAACAAAGTGTCTATAAAAACGACATTTGGAAGAATTTTCTAGAATGTTTCTCACCTCTTGAATAAATCTTTCACACGTTGGGTGTGTAAGAACACAAACTATTTTTCACTGAATCTGAACAGATTAAACAAACATCATAACAGCATGTTCTACATAGTTCCTGTTTCACTTGGTAAACAAAAGTGGTTTTACAATTGGGTTAATTCGCATTTAATTCGACAAGATTCTCGTGACAAGATCTCAAATTGCAATCTTTAGTACTAAATAACTTTAACCAGTACTTTTTAATTGATATTTTACGTTTTATTTGTAAAGGAAATCGTCGTAATTCAAAGTAAGCCATAGAATTATTCATATTTTTTTTAACTCCAAGAACTTTCTTCAATAAAATGTACTTTTTTTTCAATTTGGGCGTACAAAAACAAGTGATCAAGCATATTCTGCGGATCGACTACGTCTTCAGAAAACAAAACCGTGTCGTCCGCGAACAAAATTATACAAAAGGTTTAGCAACTGTAATCGGTAACTCTGACGAGTTGAAATGATAAGTTTGGACACCATATCAATGATGAACAATGAAAATAAAATCGGAGATAAAGATTTCCCTTTTAATAATCCGATCCGGAGGTCGTACATGGAAGATAAAGTACCATTTAATTTTACACAAGATTTAACATTATCATATATAGATCTTATTGCATTTAGTAGTCGACCTCTAATACCCGACTTCCATAGTTTGAACCATAATTTATCAAGCGATATGCTATCGAAAGCCTTTTGTAATCGACATAAACACAATACAGTCGTTTATTTTACTACTTTGTAAAGTTTTAGTAATTAAGGTATTTAGAACAAATGTTGCATTCCGTATACCGATTCCGGGTCGAAAACCAGACTGAGCGTCAGAAATAACATTGTCTTTTTCGCTCCGTGACAATAAACGTCTATTGAGGAGGGACGTGAAAAACTTAGTTATTTGATCCAACTTTTATCAATATATCTTGTCTCGCACGAGTGCGCGAGGGATCTTACCTTAACACCCATTGCCCCTTGAATATCAGGTGACTTACGATATAGATGTCTCGGCTGTCTGGCTCCCTAAAACCGGAGTTTGTGTGTGGATATTGAGAAATTCTCTTTCACATTTTTTTACTGGAGGTAAACAGCCAACACCATTCGCGCGACTTCGAGATTTGAGTTCAGAGTTTAGGTTTCAAACACTTCTGGAGGTAGGAAGGCGTGGGCGTTTTAATAAGATTTTACACGAATGTTAGCCTATTCTATAATTCTGCATGTCAAATTTTATGGAATACGCGACCACATCCTGTGCATTTTTAACTAAATGGTCTTTTGAACTACTTCTATTCAAATAAATATACATCATCTTATTTCAAAAGAAAACAAATCAAATTAGTATCCATATGACACCGACTATCAAAATCAATAAAACATATTGTCTAATTTCCTGTAGGAACAAAGAGTTGTGATGCTCTTGAATTTGACGTGATTTTTTACGCTGAAATGACGTCATTTCCGCCATATTCGTTTTGACGTATGCGTCCTTTTCAACTTAGTTATGGCAACGTTTCGCTCCCAAAGAACACAGAAGGATAGAGAAATCAAAAAAATTATTGATCAAATAAGACGAGAATACAATGTATACAGGTAAAATGATATTAAACAAGATAATTACTTAACGTAACGTTAAGCAAAACTTATTTAATACATTGAAATTGTCAGTGTACGGTCTTAGGTAATTCTTCTGACAGAGCAGACTCGCACGATGTATTGACGTGGATATAATCGAATATTATTAATAATAATTTTTTTTTTTTTTTTTTGCTTATAAGTAATTTTTTAAAAAAGGTTATTAAATGTTGTTATTCAAGATAACTCAGCTGGGACGGAAATGGAAAAGGGGTGAAGAAAGAAAAGAAATAGCATACTTCAAAGGGTCTTCTCGGTGCTTCAGTTTCGGAGTACCGTACTAATCGTATCTCGGTAGCAACGCTACGTCGATGGTTTGCATTCAAACATATACATAAATAAATTGAAATGCTTTCATACTTTAAGATGTATTCATGAAAATAAATTAGTGAAACACTAGTAATTTTCTGAAAGATATCCACAAATACCGCCTCAAATTCGCTCGCCTGCAATGACAGACATATGTATAGAAAACTTGCCAACGCCTCCGTTTCTTGTGACATCACTGAATCACAGAAACGCTTTAGTTAGCCTTACAGTGGCCCAGAAGTGAACTCTGAATCGGCACACATCCAGATCGGTTTATATGTACACAAGTCAATGCCTTGCAGACACAAACTAGTCCGATCAATGTGAAATTTGAACGAAAGATCAACTGAAAGGAAATTCATTGTATGTATAAATACGTGAAAATAAACAACAAGACCTTATGAAAATAGTAATAGTATAATAAAATAATAATAAAAAGTAAATTTCAAAAACAAAAATGAAAACAAAACAAAAAACAAATACGAACAATCATTTTAGGCAGCCATTCTAGTTAATATGTATAAATGAACTGATCATAAAGCGTGTACATTTCATATCAGTTTTGAAGAAAAAGAAAACTTTGTAAAAAGGTCGCGGACTACAGTATAGTTTCGTTTTAAATGTGAAATATATAGCAGTTTGGTACCTTTCAAATGCTTGTAAAGGTCAAATAAGTGTCTGGTTTGCCGTATACTGCCCTGCAGAATGAAAAAAAAATATCTGTTTGCTTTAATGATATAATGAAAAGTATTAGAAATGCAAGGGGCGGAGGACACACGAGCTTTGAAGATCGTGTACATCATGTCATATTTTTCTTATCATTTTTATTTAACAACTTCAACTCAGTTGAGATATGCCTACAAAATTAAAAATTAATTATTCGTAAGTTGAATGGCAAAAGGACTTTTCGGGAAAAGTTCATTATTAGCATGTAAAAATATATTCAATTACAAAAATAATTCGAGTCATGTTTTGTAAACGAGTTATCGCCCTTGTGGCGCTAGAGTCGTCGCTCCGCATCATTCATTGGTTGATCCCACAGGAAAGAGGTAAATTCGAAACGCAAGCCAGGTGGTGTTTACAGAGAGGAATTTAGGCCTTGAACAAGAAAGTTATCACATATAATGACAAGAAATCAGTAGAATCTTATAAAATGAAACCACAGTGAGTATTCTAACTTCATAAAATCTTTTCATTTAGCTGTTTTGAATTTGTGGGAGATTGCTCGTGAGATTATTATGCTGTTGCGTATTCGCGCTCATTATGACACTGGTGTCTATTTTGATGATCACCAAGTACAGATGATGGCAGAAGTGGGATATAATCATCGTAACTGAAATTCGTTACCGATTCGTCAATATTTCTCTGTGATTACATTTCAATATGATTTCATAAGGACAAAAACTCCATACTCATAATACTCATTCGGATTTCCGTTTTGTTTTGATATTATGCAGTATTTCCTGGATGTCGTTGTACGATTTTGATTTCATGGGTTCTTACTTCTTCACAAATTAAACAATACGTCGCCATTCAAATCCGACAGGTGATTGCCATTGTTTCGAATTCTTGACAAGCTAATGTGAGAACCGTAAAAATACTGGTTTTGAATTTAAGGAACTGATTTATTGTATACATACACGTTTCATTTCTGTTTATACCCAGGCGAGGAAAAACACCAAAAAAGAAGAATGCAACACAAACAGATCCAGTCGAGGTAAACACAAATTGTTTTCGAAAGCATGTACATTAACAAATATGTTTTTGAAATGGTAATGTTGATGTTAAACAGCTGTGAATTTTGAGCCGAGGATTTCCATTTTGTGAAAATAGGATATTTTGTGTGATAAAAATCTTCTATAAAAAACATTTATGGCACTTGTTCAAACAATCAATAATTTAGCACTAGGTATTTTCACAATTTAATGAAATGAAAGAAATACTGCATGTATAACTTCAAAATGTAATATATAGCACAATATACATCCAAATGACAGAGTTTTAGTGTTGTTTTAGTGTTTGACATCTGAGCTTCTATTATTTTTTTGTTCACATGATTTTGATTTCTGTAGGTATACTGTCGGATACGTCCCCTAGACAATCCTGATGATCCTACTTGTATCAAAGCTCTCGACAATGCAGTTGTCCAACTTCTACCTCCACAGGTTCGTATTTATAGATTACAAAATTTGCTCAGACCATTAAAATGATTTTAAAAAGTTAACAACCAAATAATAGTTTTGATACTGACTAGTTTGCACAGTAAGTAAAAATAAGTAAGAAAAGAAGGTATAAATTTAAAAATATAATTGAAAGACTTTTATTTGTTCAAAGAGAATATTTAAGCTGAAGTGTTCATCATTTTCTTTTTATCAGATATCAGATTTCCTGGCAAATCTTTCAGCTTTGATCTGACAGTTTAATAATTTGTTTTTGTTTTTGTTACAGTTTTAGATATTAACATTCAATCTGTTCAAAACCAATATGTTATTTGAAATAATAAAAAATATCTAGTATAGTAAATATTTTCCTTTCTTAGAACACAGAAAGGGTGACAAGGAATGGGCAAGTGAAGGAGGTAAGATATATAAACATTACTGATTCTCCCCCAAATTTCTGTTTCATCTGAAACTTTGAATACTCAGACAGTCTGAGACATACAGGATTTACGCATGTTTACACAGTCTGAAACATACAGGATTTACGCATGTTTACACAGTCTGAGACATGCAGGATTTACGCATGTTTACACAGTCTGAGACATGCAGGATTTATGCATGTTTACACAGTCTGAGACATGCAGGATTTACGCATGTTTACACAGTCTGAGACATACAGGATTTACACAAGTTTACACAGTCTGAGACATACAGGATTTACACAAGTTTACACTGGCAGTTTGAAACATATAGGATTTATGCATGTTTACACAGTCTGAGACATACAGGATTTACATAATTTTACACAGACAGTCTGAGACATACAGGATTTACATAATTTTACACAGACAGTCTGAGACATACAGGATTTACATAATTTTACACAGACAGTCTGAGACATACAGGATTTACATCATTTTACACAGACAGTCTGAGACATACAGGATTTACATCATTTTACACAGACAGTCTGAGACATATAAATAAACAAGTCTTCAGATCATTTATTTTTTATTTTACCTTACATCTAGTGTGGTAAAATTATGTGTGTGGAGGTTGGAGGAGATATGTAAAAAAGAAAAAGATAGGTCATGACAAGTTTCACTTTAGAATCTCATATGAAATGGAAATGAGAGTATGATTCTGTTTATCACATAACTTAGATTCTTCAGTAAACTATTCTGAAGAGAGTATTTGATTGATAGACTGAAATAGAATTGAAAATATTTCTAACCTATGTCTATTTCTTTGTTGATGTCACAATAGAACAATGGAAATCTTAATCCAGTCACAGTTCATATTAAACTTATAACAAGCAATACTAATGTTACACATTTACTGTTCCGCATGAATGAAACTGCCACTGCCAGTACTTACCAGATCTGAACATCACTCTTATATCAAGAACTTATGATATAGTATGTTGTTGAATTAACTGTGACTTAAGCAGTGTTTTTTTTTGCCCTATTTTACGATCGAAACAAAGTTGTCAACATGAAGATAAATCCAAGAATATATTTGCCATTGTTCAGAAAATTATACTGTATTTTCCCAATTCCATAAAACACAGGCTGCTGTAACAGAGTAGAAAAAAAACCTTTCGTGTAAGATTTTCTTCGTTAGTCTTTGGAATATCACTTTTATTTCACATTTTCCAGTACCAGTACACATTTCAGTATGTGTTTGATGAGTATGCATCACAGAAAAAAATATTTGACTATGTGGCGATGCCACTGGTGGACGACCTCATTCACGGTAAAAACGGTAAGTAGTACAAGGGAGAGCTTTGTCTTGTTATAACTTGTTTGAACTTAAAATCGAAGTCTAATAGGTACAGCTTATTTATCAATGACTTGAGCCGAATTAATAGACCAGCACTTCACTGTTATATGTGATAACTAGGGTTAAGGTAATATACTGTTCACACAATCAGGCCCCGATTGTATAAAACATCTCAACTTGAGATTTCCTCAAGTCGAGATTTTCCAAAGCTGATATCTCCTCAAAAACGGCTTGTATAAAATTTTCTCAAGGAACAGGAGGAAGGCATCGACTAGGATGTCATGAAATTCCTTGCGGAATTTTCATACATACAAGATATTTTCAAGGAGATATTAGCTGAGGAAAATCTGGGCTTGAGGAAATCTGCAATTGAGATATTTTATACAAGTGGGGCCTGATACCTATCTTGATAAATGACCCTTTTCACTTTCAGTTTTGCCTTGAAAACCCAGAAATCAGGATTACATTTGTTGTCAAATCTTGCAACATAATTAGGATTTTAGTTATTTGAAAGTTTTTCTAATTCTATTTCAACTAGGAATTAACAAGAACATAAGAAATGACTAATACTGCTGTTGAACATAATGTGTTTAACATTTTAGCAGTCTGTCATCTCCACCCTAAATATGACATATATCACCAATTTACATGCTAAGAATTTACATGTCTAGTACCATTATATATTAAGATAAATCTCTCTGTTTCTCAGGCTTGCTGTTTTCCTATGGTATCACTTCATCTGGGAAGACCTACACTATGACAGGGATGCCACAAGATCAGGGTATTCTCCCCCGCTGTCTTGATGTCCTCTTCAACAGCATCGAGGAAGTTCAGGCCAAGAAATATGTAGGTCATGTTGGATGAATGTGTATCAGATGAATTTTTTTATTCTGATTTTTTATCGTGTGCTGTTATTTTACAACGTGAATCTTGTTACTCGTGTTCAAGGTGTTGGTCAATATTAAGTTAAGCAAAGACTGAGGTCAAATTTCTGAACACAGATTTTCTTCAGCCTTAATGACTGATATAGATACAAACAACAGGAAAGTGATACAGTTTTCTCTGAATTTTATCATTTTTAAATATGTTAATAGGACTATGTACCAATTGTTCTATCTTGCCAGGTGTTCAAACCAGACAGAATGAACGGTTATGAAGTACAGAGTGAAGTTGATGCTATGATGGAGAGACAGAAGAAAGACATACTGCCAGGAATGACAACTCCTAAAACACCAATGACACCCAGACATAGGTAAAATTGCTTACAAATCTCTGTCATACCCAGTCAAAGTTGTGACAACTTCCAAACCTCTGTATCACACCTTGACACGTATATGACCACTTCCTAATCTCTGTATCACATCTACATACCAATGATACACAGACACAGATACAACTACTTACAAAATCTCTATCATTCCATATCAAAGATATGACTGTACAAATCTCTCTATCATACCTAGTCACATGTATGACCACTTTCTAATCTCTGTATCACACGTAGACACATGTATGACCACTTAAACATTTCTGTATCAGGTCCTGACACAGGTATGACCACTTCCAAATCTCTGCATTGCATCTACATTCTAATGACACCTAGACAGAGCTAAAACTACTTACAAATTAAACTTTTATCATGCCAGTCAAAAGTGTTACCACTTCCAAGTCTCTGTATCACACCTGGACACATGTACAACCACTTACAAATCTCTTTATCACACCTGGACACATGTACAACCACTTACAAATCTCTGTATCACACCTGGACACATGTACAACCACTTACAAATCTCTGTATCACACCTGGACACATGTACAACCACTTACAAATCTCTGTATCACACCTGGACACATGTACAACCACTTACAAATCTCTGTATCACACTTTGACACCTGTACAACCACTTACAAATCTCTGTATCACACTTTGACACCTGTACAACCACTTCCTAATCTCTGTATCACACCTAGACACATGTACAAACACTTACAAATCTCTGTATCACACCTAGACACATGCACAACCACTTACAAATCTCTGAATCACACCTGGACACCTGTACAACTACTTACAAATCTCTGTATCACACCTGGACACATGTACAAACACTTACAAATCTCTGTATCACACCTGGACACATGTACAAACACTCCGAAATCTCTGTATCACACCTGGACACATGTACAAACACTCCGAAATCTCTGTATCACACCTGGACACATGTACAAACACTCCGAAATCTCTGTATCACACCTGGACACATGTACAAACACTCCGAAATCTCTATCACACCTGGACACATGTACAAACACTCCCAAATCTCTGTATCACACCTGGACACATGTACAAACACTCCCAAATCTCTGTATCACACCTGGACACATGTACAACCACTTACAAGTCTCTGTATCACACCTGGACACATGTACAACCACTTACAAATCTCTGTATCACACCTGGACACATGTACAAACACTCCCAAATCTCTGTATCACACCTGGACACATGTACAACCACTTACAAATCTCTGTATCACACCTGGACACATGTACAACCACTTACAAGTCTCTGTATCACACCTGGACACATGTACAACCACTTACAAATCTCTGTATCACACCTGGACACATGTACAACCACTTACAAGTCTCTGTATCGCACCTGGACACATGTACAACCACTTCCTAATCTCTGTATCACACCTAGACACATGTACAAACACTTACAAATATCTGTATCACACCTGGACACATGTACAACCACTTACAAATATCTGTATCACACCTGGACACATGTACAAACACTTCCTAATCTCTGTATCACACCTGGACACATGTACAACCACTTACAAATCTCTGTATCACACCTGGACACATGTACAAACACTTACAAATCTCTGTATCACACCTGGACACATGTACAACCACTTACAAATATCTGTATCACACCTGGACACATGTACAAACACTTACAAATATCTGTATCACACCTGGACACATGTACAACCACTTACAAATATCTGTATCACACCTGGACACATGTACAACCACTTCCTAATCTCTGTATCACACCTGGACACATGTACAACCACTTACAAATCTGTTTCTCACCACAAATACTATCTCTTTCTTAATCTTTCTGTAATCTCCAAAACATGAGTTAGTTGGTGTCAATTTGATTCTGTATGCATGTTGTGGACATATTAGCAATACAATTTTCCTGCTACGTTTAGAAATTTTACCAAACTTACACAAAAAAAAAAAAATTCTGTGTTTTGATAAAAATTTTTAATGGGAAGTGATGTTTAACTGTTCTAACTGCAACATTAAGGCTGTATAACTTCATAAATTCATCTCCATACCAAGTAGTGTTCTCTCACTGATCAATTATAATCAGCAGCTGACTGGTTTAACAACCACTTTCAATTACTGGTAATTAGGTGAACACTGTGTTTGTTTAATACATATGTTATGGTTATGAAGCAGATTTACTGTGTAATTGGGCATCAGGTTAGTAGGACTGAAAGTTGAAAATGTAATAAAAATTTGGCATCATGAGGGTATGCCAGGTTTTCAATGCAAATCTTTTACATAATTTGAGTTAAATGACAAAACAATTATTACTCTATAGTTTAATTAAATAAATATCGGATTATAGCCCCTTATGAAAAGACAACCATTTCTCAAGCTGATATCACAATTGTTAGTACACATTTTTACCTGTTGTAGAGATGGGTTTGAGATGGAGGACCATGGACGTGTAGAAGACGGTGATCGTGTAGAAAATGTGGACGAGGACAACAACTATGCTGTGTTTGTGTCATACACAGAGATCTACAACAACTATGTTTACGACCTCCTGGAGGAGTTACCCTGGGACCCAATAGTAGGCTACAAGTAAGTCTGAAGTTAATGATGATGCTGTATAAATGGTGGCCTATGTGAGACAACTTAACAGTCTGGCCTGTGTTTTACATGTTTAGGTAGAGGCTGAATATTTTCCTTCAAGTCAGTGTGAGAAAGTCTATGTTCTTTAGAGTGATCAAAGTGGTCAATCGTAAGAAAAATGTTAGGACATCTTAAAACATTGATAAATTCAGCTTTTATACATTGTGATGTCGACATGTGTCCTATTGTAATACATATATGCATATTTGGTAGTTTGCAATGTTGGCTATTTCAGGAAAACATCTTCCTGATCCTGGCTCTCTCACATATATCAACTCCTTCCATAGCTCAGTTTTCTGTCTGTTTCTTCTAAGAAAATCATTAATAAATCAATAGGCAATACCCTTAAACAGAACAAAGACTCGGAATTGGAAAGATATTTTGCTTGAATGGCCCAAAACACAACTTGGCGTCCTTGGATTGGATAGATGTTTTACTGGAACAGCCCTTACTTTTATTCTTGTGTTATTGCATGTAAGGGGGGGTTGGGTTATATAACATTGCTGGCATCGCCCATAGATATGTTTTCAAACTTGACTGACCTGGATTGTCGTTGTTTCAGACCACCACAATCAAAGTTGTTGAGAACAGACTCCCAGGATACCATGTATGTGATGAACTGTGTGGAGGTGGAGTGTAAGAGTACACAGGAAGCTCTCAACATTCTCTATCGGGGTAAATATCTACACCTATATCATAGCCACGCCCACCTCATCATGATTACTTAATTGGAGATAACTGCTATCAACACCAACAGAAACACAGCAGTTATCTGAATCCACCTGATTACTGTATTGGAACAACAATTTGTTACTTTTTCTTTTTTTGCAAGTGAAATATAGAATAACTACTGTGAAAAATAACAATTTTATCATCTTTCATTAGTCAAAAATAAAAATTGTAAATAATTCCTCCAATGGAAACAGATAACACATTCCACATTGTAAAATTGACCAATCAAAAACCAGATACAAAATTTTAAAATCAGGAAATCAGAATTGCAAAAAAAAAGAAGAAAAAAATCACACTTGCTTTTGAAGTCTGAAGTGTTTATTTATGAATTGTGAATCTTTTCTGTTTGTTTATAATGGATTTTTTATAATCCCAGGTCAGAAGAGAAGGAAGGTAGCTCACACAGCACTGAATGCAGAATCTAGTAGAAGTCACAGTATATTTAACATTCGTCTGGTACAGGCACCACTCGACCCCAGGGGTGAAGAGGTTCTACAGGTCAGTTCATAGGTCAAGGGTCTTTACTCTGACCTTTTATAGATTAAAGTTCATTGGTTATCATTTACTCCTGATTACTTCCTGTTAATGACGATAATTTTTAAGATGGCCTGTACTTTTGATGTTTTTAAATGTCATCACAACCATTTTGTGTCTAAAAAAGAATACAACAGATTTGATATGTCAGCTCTAACAGAAAAGAAGTTCAAATATTTGTCATAAGCAAGCAATCCCATCCCTGATGAAGTTTTAAAGGAAAGTGGATAATTTGTATTACATTCATAAGTATATATGCTTTGTATTTCTTTGTGTAAGGATGCTGACAAGGTTTGTGTTAGTCAGCTGTCATTGGTGGATCTGGCTGGTAGTGAGAGATGTCAGAGGACAGGCAATATGGGTGACCGACTCAAAGAGGCTGGTATGTTGTGGATTATCTAGATGTGCCTAACACTTTATTACAAACTCAATTCTTCTGATAAGGAGTTTTGGTAGAATGATATCTGATCGTATATAGCCGGTTTTGAATCTGATGTATATTTATATATAATTGCCATTGTTTGGCATTTATATGATGTAACCGTACCAAAGTCAAAGGTGTAGAACCAGCTGATGAACTGCCAAATATTAGGAGTAATTGAAAAAGTTATAGGTTTCCTTCCTATATAACAAAATGCAAAATGATAGATATATGTATTGAATTGCTCTTAAATGGCATTCATGGGCATATGGAAACCATTAGGGTAAGGGCTAGAAGCTTCATTAGATTTGTTTTTATGTTGTTCATATGTCCATGAATGCCAACTGAAAGCAGTTCCATACTTAAACAGTGTTCATGACTCATTTCCAAAACCAGCTAATTGATTATCAGTCTTGTGTACATTATATCAGTCTTATTTTACAGAAATTAAACCGATTTCAAATCCTTTATTTTGCCACTTGGTATAAATTTTAAGCAAGTTTAATTTTTTTTCAATTGAAGAGCACGAACTGAAAATAGGTTATGAAACTCTTTTTCATTTAAAATTTACTGTTTCTTGTTTTGTGCAATTTTTTTGACAAAAAAAAAATACACCAAAGCTTTGGTGCTACCTGTTATAAGGATAAAGAGACTATAGAAAGTGGTGTGTAATCTCTTCAATTTATCAGGGAGTGGACTGTTTATAGCTTTGACTGGTGCATGTTATGTTAAATAGGTAACATCAACCAGTCTCTGATGGTGCTGAAGACATGTATGAAACTACTGAGGGAGAACCAGAAAAACTGTGAGAATAAGGTTAGTCCTTTATTATAGTGAATAAACTATATTTTATTGGTTGAACAGGTTTGACAATTTGTTCTGGCATTATATGTTAGAATTGTTATGATGCATAGTGAGGCCTATTGATTCCAAAGGCTAGGTGAGACGTACATCCAGTTAGCAAGGCCTCCTTTCGTTGCAGTGGCCCTGGCCTAGGCTTGTACCCAACAAGGTATGGTATAATTGAAAAATTCATTTCAACACAAGAAACTCAAGTTCTGTTCTGTAGCTCAAGTTCCCCTTGAATGGTCAATCTCAAAAATTACAAGATAGTCTCAGGATAATCAGCCGATCAAGGGTTTTAGTCTCAGGATAATCAGCCGATCAGGGGTTTTAGTCTCAGGATAATCAGCCGATCAGAGGTTTTAGTCTCAGGATAATCAGCTGATCAGGGGTTTTAGTCTCTGGACAATCAGCTGATCAGGGGTTTTAGTCTCAGGATAATCAGCTGATCAGGGGTTTTAATCCCTGGACAATCAGCTGGTCAGGGGTTTTAGTCTCAGGATAATCAGTCGATCAGGGGTTTTAGTCTCTGGACAATCAGCTGATCAGGGGTTTTAGTCTCAGGATAATCAGCTGATCAGGGGTTTTAGTCTCTGGACAATCAGTCGATCAGGGGTTTTAGTCTCAGGATAATCAGTCGATCAGGGGTTTTAGTCTCAGGATAATCAGTCGATCAGGGGTTTTAGTCTCAGGATAATCAGCTGATCAGTGGTTTTAGTCTCAGGATAATCAGCCGATCAGGGGTTTTAGTCTCTGGATAATCAGCCGATCAGGGGTTTTAGTCTCAGGATAATCAGCTGATCAGTGGTTTTAGTCTCAGGATAATCAGCCGATCAGGGGTTTTAGTCTCAGGATAATCAGCCGATCAGGGGTTTTAGTCTCAGGATAATCAGTCGATCAGGGGGGTTTAGGATAATCAGCCGATCAGGGACAATCAGTCGATCAGGATAATCAGCCGATCAGGGGTTTTAGTCTCTGGACAATCAGTCGATCAGGGGTTTTAGTCCCTGGACAATCAGCTGATCAGGTGATTTGGTCGCTGAAGAATCAGCCAATTAGGGGTTTATTCCCTGGACAATCAGCCGATCAGGTGTTTTAGTATCATTCGTTGTTGAAATTGTAGTTGTACATATTTCATGACATAAAAAACTTGATTCCATTATGTTACTTCTAGATGGTGCCCTACAGAGATTCAAAGCTGACACACTTGTTCAAAAACTATTTTGATGGAGATGGGAAGGTGCGGATGATTGTGTGTGTCAACCCACGTGCTGAAGAGTATGATGAAACCATAGTGAGTACCATTCCATGAGTGTAACATATTGTGTTTGAATGTGATGTGTTTCATGGACTTTGGGATTTTTAGTAATTTCTTTCACTCATAGCTATAGAACTACACTGATCTACACTGTTCAAAGAGTCCAATTCATAGAGTTAAAATATGTTTGCTTAAAATGGTACATCATATCACAGTACAACTATTTGATAGTGTAAACACCTTTATACATACTAATTTTTAGACCGTCATCCATGTGCAGAGACTTGTTTTTACAAAATTCACTTAAAACTCTGAAAGTTGCCATGTAATTATGACTACAGGGGCGTACGATTGGATATTTCCGTAAAATATTACAAAAAGCTGTTGTTGAATAATCTAAGCGGGAGGATTCATTGACAAATAGTGATGTATCTTGTATGGTAAACTAGATAAAAACTAATATAGATGTAGATGTGTTTTTTCCTATATTGATGTAACTGTAATACTATTTCAGGTGTTTATGATTTCTTTTACAAACTTATTTTTTAGTAGTGAAAACACTTATGTAAAGATTAAGAATATGTGAGGAAGGAAGTGGCATTCGTAAAAGAAAATAATACTGGCCTGACACTAAAACTTAAACTTACCCTTTTCAGCATGTAATGAAATTCGCAGAACTGACACAGGAAGTAATGGTTGCAAGGTCACAGCAGGTGAAGTTTGACATTGGTCTGACGCCCGGCCGTCGTAGGTTGAACCAGCAATACAAGGAAGCCCTTGCTGACATTCCACTTATTGGTAAGGACACTGCAAGTCAAACTTTATCCAGTGTTTTTACCCTGGATGACATTAATATCATAGGGTCTACACTTACTTCAGGATTGTGTTGAAAATGGAGCAAAACACAAGCATAAGGTTGGCTGTGATGAGTTTGTTTCACAGGATTCTGAATTCACTGCCTGTTTTCACAGATATTCAACAAAGAAAATAAAGACATGTTAACTAAATCTTAATTCAAAGTTCAACAAAACTTTGTCAGAATAAGAGCAAAAGAAAAATTTACACATACCCTTATATTCACATGGGAAGTAAAACCAGGTGTACTGGAAGGGTAAGCATCCTTTGCTTCATTGATGGCATCCGCCATATAAATCTTGGTCAATCAAAGTAGGTTATGTCATTGCCAACTCAGAAACTTATTTTCATGGTGCTAAGGTTCTTAAAATGTCTTATCATTTCTTCTTTTGATTTTCTGAACATAGGTCAGTTTTTCCAAGAGGTATTAATGCATTAGAATTTCATTCAAGTTGCAATGAACTGTTTGATGTCATCAGTGTTTAGTTTTTATGGAATTCTTGTCAGATTTATATAAGACTTCATCAAATATTATGTGTCATGTTTCAGATGAAGAGATGCCCATGGTACAGCCAATAACATACAGCTTGGGGCCAAGCTTCCCATCTCTAGAGGTGAGACGATACATTAAAATATGCCAGGGCCTTTTTTTATCAGTAAACCTAACATTATTTATATAGCAGCAAAGTAGAGATTGTATATTTTCTGTAGTGACAGATTTTCAAAAAATCATTCTACGGATAAGTACTGTAATTTGTGAGAAGTTGTATACATTTGGCATAGCCGAAAGATTTTGGGGAAATTTAATTGGAAATTAGTCTGACCTCATTATCTGGAACTTGGCAAGAAGATGTGAAAACTGAATATTCAATATAAATAAGTGAATGTTTTGTGTAAAGTGAGGTGGTGACCGACGAAATGCTTCAAATTAAATGGGGTCTTTGAGTCTTGTGAGTTTGAGATAGCAAGGTTCAACTGTATGTACATTTAATGTCGTATATTATATATGTTTAGTATCTCCAACAGCTATTGCACTCTGTACATCACTAGGTATTGAAGTGCCTTTCCAGTGAAATATCTACTTTTCCTTGGAACTCCCTGGTTCAGTTTCCTGTCTGTTACTTGTGTGGCTGTTATACAATTTGCCATTAGCAAAAGACCAATTCAGTTTTATGGGTGTTATCCCTAACCAAATCCTAGACTGAGACATGTGTTTTAAAGGAATAGCTTTATTTGGAAGCTAAACCACCTCCGACATACTTATTTTTTCTCCAAATATGTTTAAACTAAAACAATTTTAATTTTACATACAGATTCTACATGCCCGGGATGATTACACACTGAATCAGCTACAGAACTTCCTGGAAGACCGCTACAAACGAAGGGAAAGCCTACTGGTGGATTATACCCGCAAACGTAGGTTTTATATTTATTTCTTGGAATTTAAAAAAAACAGCTCATAATAATCTTCAGTTATATGAAGAACATACTTAATGTCAGTTCTCATAATTTTGTCTTAATTTCAATTTCGAGATATGAATAGTGAAACCTAGAGTATACATTGATCATACTAAGAGAATGTGTAGGGTACAAAAATCAGGGCCTGCAACTACTGAAATTACAGAATTATTGCCCCTTGTTAAAATTTTGTTTCCAATAAAGTTGTTTTCTGGGAGCATTGATCAGATTCACAGATGCTCCTGTTATTATCAGAACCATTAAGAACCATTAAAACATTGCTATGGAAACAAGTTGCAATTCACTCCAGATGTATCCTGTGTTTATTTACCTGATTTTCATCCAGTGCCTACAGTAGTTGGTGAAACAAAGTGATATTTCCTTTAAAATTAGAAAGGAGGTTTTTTTTTTTGTCAAGGGACAAAATAAATAAAGGAGAAGAAATGCCTTGTTTCCTGCTATCAAACATCAAACTAAATTGCTGACACTCATCATCAGCTACTCTGGAGTCTTACTTTATGAAGTTTGTACCTATTTATTTTGGTTTATCCAAATTTTCACACATCACTTTTAACTTACAGAGGAGCAGTTCCGTGTCCAGCTGGTAGCATTTGAGAAGGAATACTCTGCAGCAAAGATAAAGAACGCTGAGCTACAAACAGTCCTTGAGAAAAAAGAGTCCTATATACAAAAACTGGAGGCAAGACTACGAAGCTCGGATAAAAAGAACGAGGAAATGACAAAGACACTCAAAATGTCAGAACGAGATCGTCGTGAACTTGATGCTAAGGTAAGCAGCAGCTGTGTTATGATGAAATCTTGCTTGACACATTTTCCAACGAAAGTTTTTTTTTACTTGAATGATGAGACTTCTGTGAATACAAGGTTAGTCCTAGTAATGCCTTCTTTTGTATAGGGACATTTTGTACAACACATTTGACCATACATAGCTATTCATGTTTTAGGAAAACATATGTTTCAACAATAAAAACACTGACATGTACACCACCTGGAAAAATTTGGCAGCTGAATTTGACAAGACTTCTGCTTTTTACAATTTTTCAATTCTTACAAGTCTGTGATTTTGCATTACGATCCATACAATGTTTCATGTATACAACACAGACAAATCCATCAAAAACGAAGAGATGCAGAAGAATCCAGAGTTAGAATTTGTCTTATTCCTGGGTATGATTTAATAGCACATGTCATTACTTTCTTTACTAGAACCATGTTTATGTTGAAAACCATGGATATAACAAGAATTTTTTCCTTTTTTCTTTTAATGTCTTTAGCTCCAGGATAAAAATGTGAAGATTCGACAGGAAAGGACAGAGAAGGAGCGACTTAAAAATGATTTTAGAACGAGACTGGAGATGAACAATCAGCACTGGGAGAAAAATCTTGTATGTAACTTTTACATCTAAAGAAATTCTGTTTTGAGTGTAATTCACAGTATAGTCATATGTTCCTGTTTCAGGGTTAAGTTGGCTAACATGCCCAGCCAAAAATGACTGAAAAAATTCTCTTTTTTTTTCTTTTTTTTTTTAATTGCAATACACCCCCTGTGTTATAGGTGCTATCTTTGGTTATAAAGCAAGTGAGTCTTGAATTTTATTATTGAACTTTAACCTTGGGAAGATGATAGAACTTTAGAATACTTGTGATGTAATTTTCAAAACATTCTCATGATTCTGCGTTTATTAAAAATCCATAATGCTTTGTGGAAAATGTCCTCAGTTTCCCCTGCGATATAACAGTTACTTTTTTCAGTCCCCTCTTGTGTATCAAAATATGAATTATCTGCCATCAATGCAAGTCAGAAATTTAAAAAAAAAACAAAAAAAAAATCCTGGTGCATGTCAATGACATAGAATTAAAACCCTTTCATTAAAGTATTGACAGCTTCTTATTAAAATTTCTACTGACTTTTCCAGGAGAAAGAAAAACATAAAATAGAGTCTGAGTTTGGAGGTCAGATCTGGGAAAAACAGAAGAAGTTGAATTTGTTGAAAAGTATTGTGAATGACAAGGATGCTGCGTATGAGGTATCAAGAGGAGGGTTCAGGACCCCCGCTCCCAAGCCTCGCACATACACCACTCCTGGCAAGATCATGACTGCCAAATCAGAGACAGATATTTCATCAGTTGGCACTAACTCCACTCCCAGGACACGTACCGCGACAGGGACAGTTAGCTCCGCCCGGGCAGCTTACCAACAGAGGATAGCCTCATCACAGGCCAGCAGAAATGTAGGTTTTCTTTATCGGACAAAGGAATCAATAAATCGAATAAAGTTTTATTTTTATTTATATTTTATTTATTTATTTTTATTATATTTTTATTTATAAATAACTCTTTTTACAAATTAATGGAACTCATTGAGATTACAGTTGTTTTGATAGCTAACTTTGAGATATAGAAAACATTCAGAAAAATATTTAGATGGAATTAATTTTTTTGCTGTGATTAAGGATCAGAAGTAAAAAGAAGCACTATGATATGACACTAAAAATTACTTTTCTGTAGACCAGTGTATTGGTATCCACATTAATGTAAAAAAAATAGCATTATAAAATCTATTGAAACCTTAAAGTTTTACAGCTACCAAATTGTGTCATTTGATCATACAGGGTGTAAAAACTCAAGTACTTTGTAATTTATCTAACTTATAAAACGAGAAAGGTGGGATGTATTCGTCAAATTCTTGTTCTTAATTTTCAATTTGTGAACAGAGGAATCATTATGGAACCTGGCATAGTTTGATGAGATTTTAAGATTAGCAACAGATGTTATCTTCAAGTTATGAGAATGTAAACCTTAAAATAGAACATTGTGTTACATTTTTGTGATCAAATCCAGTTGATATTCAAGTTTGACTGTTTAAATTTGTGTCATTTTATCAGACTCCAGTCTACAACCCCAGACATCGGAGGTCAAGGTCATCTAATGCTGAGATCTGGTTGGATCATAAACCAACTGGAAATGTTGAATTAGGTAGGTAGTATTGTCAACCTGAATACAGCTGTCTTTACATTTATATAGCTTCATTACACATACATTTGTAATGACAACACATTAGTGTACTTCAGGTAAAATGAATTAACGAAAATGTGTCGCAACAACTGAGCATTAATTGTTACTTGTACCAAGGTGTCCAAACCCAACATTCAAAAACTGTGTTTTTATCAGGTTATCAGAGAAAAGAATTACTACTGCAATCAGATTTGATATACACAAAATAAAGTGTGATTGAAAATTGAAAAAAAAAGTACAGTAATTCAGTCATTTGTGTTGGCCTACATAAACTCAGGTTCAGATCCCAGATGAAAAGTTCAACACTCCCTACCTGTGCCAGTTTGCATTTCTCCGAAAACTGAGAAACCAACTAGTCTGTACTGACCTGGTTTTGTCCATGAGCAAGTCACTTTACGCTATTGCTCTAGATGATATGCATTGGACCTTCTGTGTGTTGTTCAGTGAGTTAAACACCGACTTCTACAAGGGAACCCCACCAGAAATAGACCCTGGCTGTTCGTGGGGTGATAACACACAACAAGCGAAACTCCAAGAACTCAAATAAGGACAAAAACAATTATATTTCGTCAGTTTCTTCTTTGACATTATTTACATTATAAATAGCCTTATGTTTGTAGTGTGTGTGGTTCATATATACCAGTGAATAGTTTCTTCCTTATTAGATAATACAACAGAATAAAAAGTACATATATTTCCTTTCTCTCTTCATGTCTGTTCACACCATCAGCTGTCGGTAAGTCTTGTTACTTGTGTTCTGTTTGTTGCGGTCAGCATTGCTTTATCTTACAGAGATATCAGAATCTGTAAAACAGAAAGTTATGTTCTGTATTCGGTGCTTTATGACAGGAGGAAACTTTCCCTGTAGATTTCTTAGGTCTGTTTCATTTGAAAATGTTGGATGTAGATGTGGTGTTCAAGCAGAAATTTATGTTTATATATTTTTGTGTAAATTCAACATCAAGTGGAAATAATCAGTTTTGTATGAGAGCAAAAAATGACTAAGGTTGAATGTTTCCTCTTACAATATACAAATTATGCCTGGATGATCACAATATATCTGTGGTCATTCGCGGTATATTTCCATGCGCACACAACATATCCTTGGCACTACACCTATCTACAACATGTTGAGGACATCAGAAATGGTAAACTTGACAATAATCTGTGAAAATAGTGACAAAATTGTAAGATAGTAGAATGTGTATTCAGACAACTTGTTACACCAGCTTGCTGTCTCAGGTAATATGGTTTCCTCTCACAACCCAATACTTGCTTCTATCTGGTCAGCAGGAGACTGAGTAACTTCAATTGATCAGCTTATAATTGATGCAAAATGGGTAAAACTAATAAATTTCAGGTTGAAAGATTATATTTTTGAGCAGTTAGATTTGTTTTATCTACACTTAGTGATAGCAGGGAATATTCAACTATGCTAGACTCGTTTCTGTGTTTTAGTCTGTCCAAGACAGTGTTGTATTGATACCAAAATCAATTTTGAAAATATGTCTTGTTGGGGCCTTAGCTTAAATTAGTGTTGGGAATCAGTTGAGATTTCCTGATCGATCATCTACTTTGTGTAACCGATCGATGATCGATTATAATCGATTAATTCTTAATTGTCTGTTTTTGGATATTATTCAAGTCTAAATACGTATTTTGTGTAATGTTTTAACAGCAATTCACGTAATTACTAAAACTGTTGTACCTACACCATCATTTTGTGTGTTTGTTATTCGTTTATTGCACAGAATACTTTTTAATATAAACAAATGTCGATTTTTTTTAAAAATAATTTTATTAATGTTGAAAATAATTTCAATGTTGAAATAATCTATTTTCATACATCACGATGATCGATTACAGATTTCTTAATCGATTAATTGATCAAACATCTCAAACAAGTGATACTCGATTAAATCGATTAATCGGAACAAAACTAGCTTAAATTGATTTATGTATCTACCATTCATATCTATGTCTATGAATTAGATTTATTGAATAATAGTCTGTCTTACAGTAAAAATAAGTGATGGTCTGTTATTGAAAATAATAAGTAGAATTCAATGATAAATGTAATGAAATCAATGACTTGATGCCAAAACTTGGAAAGACCATTCAGCAGTACAATATAGAATTTTGACTCGTAGATCTCGGGGTGGGGGGGGGGTGAGTAATTCCTAAAGTACAGTTGTTTTGGAGGTAATTTTTACAACTAGTAATCATTAGTGATAATCAGGTGTAATATAATATGTGTACAAATACTGGTATATTAGCAGTGCAAGGAACAAACAACTCAAGCTATCTTGCATTTGAATTGTGAAACTGACAATTAATCAGTTATGTGTATTCAGTAATTGATTAGAAAACTGGTTCCCATGACTTGAATACAGAGATAAATATCTGATAAATTTGCTTGTTTCGTTTTTATATTTATCCAGAGAAAGTGCTTTTTGTTATATTTGTTTTCACTTTGATAAACATATTTGGTTTGACAGGAATGTTGCCTTTTTTAACATCCTTGGTGATCAATTTATAACTTGTACATCCATGATAAAAAGATAACTTTATATTTCATCACCAACTATAATTTCTAACATTATATTTAAATTTGAAAAGTTATGTAATGCTACTGGCTATTTATAATTGAGAGTTTAAATGGCAATTTATAGCCCAAGAAGTCCTTTTTATCGCTGAAGAACTAGAAAAGTTTACCTATTCATATTGCTATATGACAATTATGTTATCTTTAATAAATAATCAATGCATCTGTTTAAAAGGCAAGGATGGATTTTTTGAATGTAAGTTTTTGGGATACAATTTTTTTTTTTAATTTCTAAACTGTTCTTGTTTGTTTTCATTATTATTACTTTTTCAATTTATAACTGATTCTTTTTAAATTGTTTGTGTTATTAAATATTTGATTGTTGTTTCAAGTTTTGTGTTGTCGCATTATTTGAATCTATATAACAAACCTTCAGAGTAAGTTTTTCAAGGATAGAAATGGAGTCTAGTTTAGTAACACACTGCCAGGAATATGTATCACCCAAATTGTCATCATGTATATGTTCACAGTTTAATATGTAAATGTGAGATAAGTTTTAAATAACTACATTGACAATACAATCCAGTTACAAGATTATCTGCTTAAACTCTAGAAAATAAAAACTTCGTTGCAAAAACATTTCTGTGCAATATCATGGCAAATATTAAATGTTTGATTTTGGATTTTTTTTGAGAAAAATTTGCAATTTGGATGTGCTGGGTGAAAATTATATGTTACTTTAAAAATTCTGTAAAAACAAATTAGGAGAGATATATGCCGTAAAATTTTTAAAACAAATGTACACGTTTGAGAGTAGACGTTTGTATTTGTTGATGTAGACGTTTGTGTAATAGTTTGTCTAATAAGGTAAATATTTGTAATTGTTGACGTAGACGTTCGTAATTGTTGACATAGGCGTTTGTATTTGTTGATGTAGACGTTTGTATTGGTTGATGTAGACGTTTGTATTTGCTGACGTAGACATTTGTATTTGTTGATGTAGACGTTTGTATTGGTTGATGTAGACGTTTGTATTTGCTGACGTAGACGTTTGTATTTGTTGACGTAGACGTTTAATTGTTGACCTAGACGTTTGTATTTGTTGACGTAGACGTATGTAATTGTTGACGTCGACGTTTGTATTTGCTGACGTAGACGTTTGTAATTGTTGACCTAGACGTTTGTATTTGTTGATGTAGACGTTTGTATTGGTTGATGTAGACGTTTGTATTTGTTGACGTAGACGTTTGTATTTGTTGACGTAGACGTTTGTAATTGTTGACGTAGACGTTTGTATTTGTTGACGTAGACGTTTGTATTTGCTGACGTAGCCGTTTGTATTTGTTGATGTAGACGTTTGTAATTGTTGACGTAGACGTTTGTAATTGTTGACGTAGACGTTTGTAATTGTTGACCTAGACGTTTGTATTTGCTGACGTAGACGTTTGTATTTGCTGACGTAGACGTTTGTAATTGTGCTGACGTAGACGTTTGTATTTGCTGACGTAGACGTTTGTACTGTATACAGTAATATTTTCTATTTATAGACACAGTGCTGCAGCCAAAGATGAAGAAGAAGAAGTCTGTGACGAAATTAGAGGTGAAGGATACTAAGGATGTGTCTAAGTACTGTTTAACACACCAACAGATGGACAGTGGTGGGGAACTGGAGACTAATCTTGTCAAGGTAAGTACACCACTTACTAGGTACTGTTTAACACACCAACAGATGGACAGTGGTGGGGAACTGGAGACTAATCTTGTCAAGGTAAGTACACCACTTACTAGGTACTGTTTAACACACCAACAGATGGACAGTGGTGGGGAACTGGAGACTAATCTTGTCAAGGTAAACCCTGATTGGCAGAATCTTCATGTTTCCTTTGTTATTCATGATAACTATTTAATTCAGAATTCTATGTATTTTTGTCTTGCTGTAATGAGGCATAGTAAGCTAGCTGCTTTAGAAAGTACTAGTACAAGACAATCTTTAGTGATCCAATCAGACTCATGGAATGATAGATTTGAAGGGTGAAAGGCTACCAAGTGTGTTAAAGTGAATGACCTTGATCCGCTTTCAAGGTCACCACCAATTCAGTCACCAATTCAGTCAGAAATTCTGTCAGTCTTTAACCATCAAGTTATCATTATTGTGAAACCTTGAACCTAGGATCCTTCAGTGTTAAGTTGCCACATAAAACTTAAAGTTCTGTTAAGCTCAATTTTTCAAACAGTTCATATAATAAAGCCACCAAATTTGATTCATAACATGAAGGGTGTAAAACTCAAATTAGACAAAAAATCTTTGAAAGGATTTAATTGATATTTTGGTTATGGAATTAAGATTGGCAGAGAATTTTCTCTAAATTTTGTTCCAAGTTCAATGAATGAATTACTTAATCCTGTTATATATATATATATATATATTTTTTTTTTTTTTCTCTCTCTCATTTAGCTCAAGTTTTTGTGTTTTGTCAGGTGGTGTAGGGATAAGGGAGATATATCTTGGGGATTTTTATCGCTGGGTTGCAATTACTTGATTTATCATTTTATGTGTATATTACTGCTGTTTACAGGGTGACGTGATGCCAACAGCCGCAGGAGGTACAGCTGTGGTATTTACTGATGTTGAAAGTCTGAAGCAGAAGTCACCAGGCACAAGAAAAAGGAGAAGTTCATGTCCCCAGCCCACTGATTACGAGGGTGACTGGACCGACACTGAGGACAGGTGTAGGGTGGCTATTGAGGGCCATGGTAGAAAGTGAGTAACACATGAAAGTCCTATTTAAAGCTGAAATTATATAAAATGATCAGTTAATAAATTTCAGGATTCCATTTGAGTTTTGGATCAGTTTTTTATTTTTATTGGGAAATCGGGAGTCCAAGGTGGTCCAGTGGTTAAAGTGTCTGATAGTCTTTATAATCAGCCTTCCAACTCTAGGTGAGGGGTTTGACAGTCGCAAAGTGCTGGCCGCAGGTTGGTGTTTTTTCCTGATGAACTCCGACGACTTTCCTCCACCACCAAAACCTGGCAGATCCTGAAATGCCCATTAATGTTATAGGGCTCAAAACAACTACAAACAAATAAACAATAGATAGAAAATTTTGAGCATAACCTATTCACTTACTTGTATCTTGTCCAGTTGTGTTGGTTAGCTGATCAGGATAAAGTTCTGTACCACTTTTAATATTTTAACCTAGTTACAGGTAAAGTTACGTTGAAGCTTATCAACCTGGATGGAAAGGTGCCAGATACAATTGTTACCTATATCTGTCCTGTTCCTTCCCATTAGAATTGATTCCATTTCCCTAACACTTTCAAATTGATCAGTGAATTTTTTCAGGCTGTGGGGTATTGCGATCATGCACGGCGTCTGTCCGTCCGTTCACAATTGCATTCCGCTCATTATCTCGAGAATGACACCACCGGCGATCACCATTTTCGCTGGGCATGACGGGTCTATGGACATACACAGCCTATTGAGGTTCTTCACAATCTCAGCCCTGCATCCGACTTTATAATAAGGCTGTGGGTTATTGCCCACGTTTGCGGTGCTATTTTTTTTCTTTCACCACTTAAAAAAACTATTTGGTTGAGTGGTGTTGTGATAGTCCTTGTCAGTAGTGCAATAGACTCTACATTACCAGGTTAAGATCTGAGGTTTGTGGTTAATTCCTTTCTCATGAAGTTAAGAGAAATGGTCTGGTCTGTATTATCATGGTTTTGTCTTAGAGCAACACACTTTACAACACTTGTTCTGGATGGCATGCAGGGTGCCTCCAGTATGTCATTCAGTGAGGTTTCTGTCAGCTGCTACAAGGGAACCCCATCTTTAATTGACCCTGACTGTTGATGGGGAAGAAACCAGCAAACAGGTAATTTGCCGGAGTCATAATCGTGTTTTCAACTAACAGCTAAAACATGAAAATCACTTTTCCTTTAACAAGTAATTTAGTTTCTGGACCTAACGTTATATTTCTGATTTCAGACGCAGCCGTGGTACAGAGAGAGAATCGCGTGTGTAGGACTTTGAAGTCGAGAAACAGATCTGTGATATAGAGAGAGAGACGATGGAAGAGGAATGTTTAGACTCATTGAAGCAAGAATAGCACCAGACAAACACACATATTTATGTTTACCAGAAGTCTTGAATCTTGCCATCTTTTAAGATAAAAAATCTTACATGTTTCTAAACATCCAACCGATGTGTTCAGTTGTATGATATTGTTGTTAATGAAGAGTAAGGTCTGTAGTTCTAGTAAATGAAGTTCGCTGTATTTGATAGTGTTTTTTCTGAGGCAAGCTTGCTTGATTTTCATCATCAGTACTTTTTGATTTCAAACAATGGTAAAATTTGATTTTGAAAGAAAATGTTTGTGAATCTTTATTACATAGTAGTAAAGTTGCAAGCATTTGGTCACTGATTGCTACAGGTTTTAAGTGTACTATAACAATCACTTTCTACCATCCACAAGCCGACACCTACAAAGTGTTAGATTTTGTCACAACACGTTTGAGGAGTGGAGGTTTTAGACTTAGAAAGCGACCATATGGAATGGTATATACCTGTGTTTATTGGAAAGTTATTGTGTGTGGAATGTGACTGTATCAGGATCAGGTGCAAAACATGTATAAATTGATATCTACTTGTGTATCCTGTACATTGTAGTTTATACACTGTTGTATTTTTTTGTACCCGTACTTATTCTGTCAAGGCCATTTTAGATATGTGTATTGTGTTTTATTGAGTAGCATGTAACACTTTATTTCACTTGTCCAAATATGAAACGATCATTAATTTTGGAGCTGAAACATTCAGTCATCAATTTTGAAACTTTTCAAAAAAAAAAAAAAAAAAAAAGTAGAGATTTGATAGCACATACTACTCAGTTCACCACATATCACAGGATGTGCCTGTTTGATGATTTTGTTCTTTTTTTCTTTCCTTTTCTCCCTCTGTTCTATCATTTCTTTATTCTTTTAAAATGTTTGAATTTCATAGGAAAGCATTTGTCTTATTTCAGCAAACTACTCTATCGTGTGAGATTTAGACATGGACAACCTCCAGAGTGAAAAAACTAAATAATTTGAAGTCAATTCAAATAAAGCATCTATCCCACCCCAGGATTCTAAGTTTTGTTTAGGGCTATTCCAGTAAAACATCTATCCCACCCCAGAACTCCAGGTTTTGTTTAGGACTATTCCAGTAAAACATCTATCCCACCCCAGAACTCCAGGTTTTGTTTAGGGCTATTCCAGTAAAACACCTATCCCACCCCAGTACTCCAGGTTATGTTTTCTTAAAAGCCCACTTCTTGATATCAACATAAGATGAATACTGTAAACAAACTTCTTATGACGATATCAGATAAAAAAAGTATTATCAAATTTTTGGTAAATTATTACATCCACATTTATTGGTATATAAACAAAATACAGAAACTGCAATCATATCATAGCACAATATATTCAGCACAAAAACCCCTAATATGGAATTATTGCTAAAATACTGTACAATATTTTTGAGGAGATAAGTAACTTACATTAATGATATTTAATGTTTTCAGATCTAAATTTTGTAGGTTGCTATGGCTGGGTTATTAATTTTGTAGCATCTATCCCACCCCAGGATTCTAAGTTTTGTTTAGGGCTATTCCAGTAAAACATCTATCCCACCCCAGAACTCCAGGTTTTGTTTAGGGCTATTCCAGTAAAACATCTATCCCACCCCAGAACTCCAGGTTTTGTTTAGGACTATTCCAGTAAAACATCTATCCCACCCCAGAACTCCAGGTTTTGTTTAGGGCTATTCCAGTAAAACATCTATCCCACCCCAGTACTCCAGGTTATGTTTAGGGCTATTCCAGTAAAACATCTATCCCACCCCAGAACTCCAGGTTTTGTTTAGGGCTATTCCAGTAAAACATCTATCCCACCCCAGAACTCCAGGTTTTGTTTAGGGCTATTCCAGTAAAACATCTATCCCACCCCAGTACTCCAGGTTATGTTTAGGGCTATTCCAGTAAAACATCTATCCCACCCCAGAACTCCAGGTTTTGTTTAGGGCTATTCCAGTAAAACATCTATCCCACCCCAGTACTCCAGGTTATGTTTAGGGCTATTCCAGTAAAACATCTATCCCACCCCAGAACTCCAGGTTTTGTTTAGGACTATTCCAGTAAAACATCTATCCCACCCCAGAACTCCAGGTTTTGTTTAGGGCTATTCCAGTAAAACATCTATCCCACCCCAGAACTCCAGGTTTTGTTTAGGGCTATTCCAGTAAAACATCTATCCCACCCCAGGACTTCAGGTTTTGTTTAGGGCTATTCCAGTAAAACATCTATCCCACCCCAGAACTCCAGGTTTTGTTTAGGGCTATTCCAGTAAAACATCTATCCCACCCCAGGACTTCAGGTTTTGTTTAGGGCTATTCCAGTAAAACATCTATCCCACCCCAGAACTCCAGGTTTTGTTTAGGGCTATTCCAGTAAAACATCTATCCCACCCCAGGATTCTAAGTTTTGTTTAGGGCTATTCCAGTAAAACATCTATCCCACCCCAGAACTCCAGGTTATGTTTAGGGATACCAACTTTAGAATTCGTTGATCATTTGTTTAGAAGTAACAGACAGGAAACTGAACCATGGATAGCAGTGACTTATTTCTATGTTTTGGGGTCATGCATTGCCTTACTGGAATAGTCCATAGTCCCCCCTATAGGTTCTCAGTGATATTATACACATTTATAACACACAATCGCATTGTATAATTGATTTTATTCTTGCATGCTGAAGACAAAATGTACATTTCCAGTTTTAAGCTTTATATTTTATTTAACTTATTTAATTTTGCAAAGTCATGTTCACTTAAGTTAGCTTCTGTAATGTTTAGTTGTTTGATGTCTTCATTTTTCTGACACAAATCTGATGTAATATGCTGACAGAAATGGTGAAAAAGTGTCCATTATTTAAATTTCAATTTTAGCTGAATTTGGTAGATAACAACACTTTAATAATTTGACGATGCATTGACAAATCTTATTCACTTCAGGGATGTTTACAATTGAAAAAAAATAATTTGATAGCAAGAGCTTTTCATAATTGAAGTTTTCTTAAAAGCCCACTTCTTGATATCAACATAAGATGAATACTGTAAACAAACTTCTTCTGACGATATCAGATAAAAAAAGTATTATCAAATTTTTGGTAAATTAGCACATCCACATTTATTGGTATATAAACAAAATACAGAAACTGCAATCATATCATAGCACAATATATTCAGCACAAAAACCCCTAATATGGAATTATTGCTAAAATACTGTACAATATTTTTGAGGAGATAAGTAACTTACATTAATGATATTTAATGTTTTCAGATCTAAATTTTGTAGGTTGCTGTGTCCGGGTTATTAATTTTGTTCAGAGACACATGTTCAAATTACATGGCCATTTTCACAGTAAGGCCTTACCAGTATTTGAAACAGTTGCTCTTGTATTATAATTCATTAGAGTCTGATTCACATATCAGTTAAATTTATAAACTCATATTTTTATATAGATAGGGAATTGTGATATGTGATTTGTATGTATATTAGTTATATATCTTAGTTGATATGAAACAACTTATAATTTTTCTGTATATGTAAATAAATTTGTACAATATTTGAGTGCTTTATTAGTCTGTGTGGTTACGAAGATTAAACTATTATTACATCAAGATGATAATTTTTGTTTGATACAGGATGAAAGGACAGAAGTATATTTAAGATGGATCATCCACTATTTCTTTGAAAATAGCAAAAAAAAAAAAAAAAAATTTATGATGAATAAATGTGGATCTGCTTTAAAAGGTTATAATTTACAACAATTTGAAATAAAATAAATCTACCTTTATTGATGACTATTCAAATAAAATGGAATTTTCGTGGTTCCAATTTGTAGGGGAGCATGTTGTGATGTCTTGTGTATCCGTCCTTTCATGTCTAGAACATAACACTGCCCACAGTTGAACAAAGATAATGAACCTTGGGGTATACATTGGTTATACTAAGGTGATGTGTCGTCCACCAAATTCAGGACCCTCAACTCCTCATTTACAGAGTTATTGCCCTTGATAAAATTTCATGTCCAGAACATAACTTGCCTTAGACTTAAACTAGGATAATGAAACTATACATTGATCATATTAATATAACATGCTGTGTACCAAATTCAGGGCCAGCAATTCCTTAATTACAGAGTTATCGCCCTTTGTTAAAATTCTGTGTCTAAAACAACTTTAAATTGCTTGCATTTAAACTAGGACAACTATGAAACTTGGTGGATACATTTACCATGTTAAGACAGTATTCAGTGTACCAAAATTCAGGGCTCTTGATCCCTTCATTACAGGATAATTAATTTGTTAAAATTTTGTGTCCAATAAAGTCATTTTCGGGTAATATTCATCAGTTTTACTGATACTCTAGTAATCAAATTGTAGATGAGACCTTTTTTCTTTATTGTGTAAAATGAAAACTCAAACTAAAGTAGTGCTGGTATTGAAAGTTTAATCGCTTTAATACGGTAAGTACAACATAGTTATGTACGCTAAAATAGAGTTCCGACAATATCTACAGTAAAACTTACATGCGACACGTAAAATCAGTATTTGATGAAACATGTTATGTATACATAACTAATAAGGATATTTCTTCTAAAATTGACGACTGCTTTACAGACAACCGATTTATTCTAAATGAAGATGAAAGAACAGGCACTTCTGTTTAGGTATAAATTATATAATAAACCTGTTAAAAATTTCACACTGAATTAATATCAGAGAGAATTGTATAAGATAAGACAAGATTCTGATGGACGCAGGCAAAATAAATGCCTCTATATCCATATATACATTATAGATTTAGAATTGATCAGTATAAAAATGTTGTTTGCAACATAGGGTAAGAAAATACTTTATATTTTTTTTTTAAATTCTTTTATATTTCAGAATAACAAAAATAGTTTATTAATCTGTACACGTGACTTTTTATATCACTGACTAAAAATACATTTGGTTAAAAAATCTCAATTATTTTCTTACCCTGTTGAAGAGGGGTATGCAAAAAATCAATGGTTGCAAACAACATTTTTATGACAAGTAAATAACACGCATAAGAAGGCTGTAGTGCAGATACACAAACACTGCTATTGTAATGCCATCCAGAAACTATGCAGTCCTTTCGGGCAGCTGGCGCAACCCAAGGGGTAACTGAACGTCATTTGTCTGGCATTCCTGAGCCCAACTTTTAATAATGGTGTTTGTCAATCAAAATATACTCCATCGTCTGTTCGTACACGTAGTTTATTGATAGACAAGGCCAAATGCCTGTGGTCAACCAAATATAAGAATATCACTTCAGACTTAAAACAACAAACCTAGTCCTCAATGAGCACTGCTGTTTGTGTGTGACCTACATCACAGGAAAACAGATCAAGAAGAGTTCGGTCAGATATAAAGTACAATTCAATGGCCACAAAAGCAATGAAGACCAGATGAACCTGAGAATAAGACGGCACGCACCAACACGTTGAAAAAGATTACAAAGACATCATAATCCGACACACGAAAAAGACTTCTAACATTACAGTCTATTAGTACGACACACTCTGTACAAGTTCTCCAATTTCCTCCGAACAACAACAAAATTACAAAGCACAATACTCGAGGGTCTCAAGGCACATATCCCTACATTTCCTTTGAATCCCTCTCAAACATTTTCATCTCATAAGACACTCCTTACAAAACTAAAAGGAAAAAACTAAAATGCCCACTTTATGAAACCCTGCTAAATCTCCACACCCGAATTCCAACATAACTGTCAATATTATTGATGGTGCATGCTTAACGCGAGAATGAAGAAGAATGAAAACACCTGGGATGATACTATTGACAGAAGTTCGGTCAGACATTACAAAGTTAATGTTTCAAGGTAAACAATATACCTGGCTTGGCACATAAAATAACCTTTCCTGTTTATAGCAAGCCATGACATGTCACAAACATTCTGATGACAAGCTATACATGTGTTGGTTGAGAAACTGGTACAATAGACGGCCGACATTTATCAATATCATTTACGTGCCTTTCCCTGTCAAGGTTGTGGGCGTAGAGCGTAGTAAAGTTATTGTAAATGGCTGTGATGGGAAGTGCCAGTAGAACTAACCCACTAACGCCACAGAGAATGCCGAGGACTCTACCACCAGTGGACATTGGGTATATATCTCCATAACCAATGGTTGTCATGGAAATTAATGCCCAGTAGATTGATTCTGAAATATCAATATATTGCGAATTCTCACCTGTAGTTTCAAAGGCAAAGAAGAGTAGTCCAACGAAGACGCAATTGATCACCATGATTGAGACATACAGAAAAATCGCGCGTTTGCTTTTAAACATCGCCAAAAGAAGTAATGCAAGTGCACGATTGGCCTTCAAGACGCGGTAGAACCGGACGAGCTTTAACATCCTAAGTGCCCCTAATACTGCCATCGAAAGTTGCGCTTCCGTTATCAGAATTATAATGGTTAACAAAACGCTTACAGCGCAAGCTATAAGAGCGAGAATGTCAAGGACGTTGATGACACTGAGGAAAAATCTTGCTTTGTTAGGTGACATGGCGAAGCGAACAAAGACATCCACCAGGAACACTATGTTGGTCAGGTCAATGAAGTGTAACGTTCCGACATCTATCATGTCCGGGATCACCGAGACGACCACAACAAGGAAGTAGAACATCAGGTATCCCTACAACAGATATAGATAAACATCAGGTATCCCTACAATAAACATCAGGTATCGCTACAACAGACATCAATAAACATCAGGTATCCCTACAATAAACATCAGGTATACCTACACCAGATATCAATAAACATCAGGTATCCCTACAACAGATATCAATAAACATCAGGTATCCCTGCAACAGACATCAATAAACATCAGGTATCCCTACAACAGATATCAATACACATCAGGTATCCCTACAACAGACATCAATAAACATCAGGTATCCCTACAATAAACATCAGGTATCCCTACAACAGATATCAATACACATCAGGTATCCCTACAACAGATATCAATACACATCAGGTATCCCTACAACAGATATCAATAAACATCAGGTATCCCTACAACAGACATCAATAAACATCAGGTATCCCTACAACAGATATCAATAAACATCAGGTATCCCTGCAACAGACATCAATAAACATCAGGTATCCCTACAACATATATCAATTAACATCAGGTATCCCTACAACATATATCAATTAACATCAGGTATCCCTACAACATATATCAATTAACATCAGTTATCCCTACAATAAACATCAGGTATCCCTATAACAGACATCAATAAACATAAGGTATCCCTACACCAGATATCAATTAACATCAGGTATCCCTACAACAGACATCAATAAACATCAGGTATCCCTACAACAGATATCAATAAACATCAGGTATCCCTGCAACAGACATCAATAAACATCAGGTATCCCTACAACATATATCAATTAACATCAGGTATCCCTACAACATATATCAATTAACATCAGGTATCCCTACAACATATATCAATTAACATCAGGTATCCCTACAACATATATCAATTAACATCAGTTATCCCTACAATAAACATCAGGTATCCCTACAACAGACATCAATAAACATAAGGTATCCCTACACCAGATATCAATTAACATCAGGTATCCCTACAACAGACATCAATAAACATCAGGTATCCCTACAACAGATATCAATTAACATCAGGTATCCCTACAACAGACATCAATAAACATCAGGTATCCCTACAACATACATCAATAAACATCAGGTATCCCTGCAACAGACATCAATAAACATCAGGTATCCCTACAACAGATATCAATAAACATCAGGTATCCCTACAACAGACATCAATAAACATCAGGTATCCCTACAACAGACATCAATAAACATCAGGTATCCCTACAACAGACATCAATAAACATCAGGTATCCCTACAACATACATAAATAAACATCAGGTATCCCTGCAACAGACATCAATAAACATCAGGTATCCCTACAACATACATCAATAAACATCAGGTATCCCTGCAACAGACATCAATAAACATCAGGTATCCCTACAACAGACATCAATAAACATCAGGTATCCCTACAACAGATATCAATAAACATCAGGTATCCCTACAACAGACATCAATAAAACATCCCTACAACAGACATCAATAAACATCAGGTATCCCTACAACAGACATCAATAAACATCAGGTATCCCTACAACATACATAAATAAACATCAGGTATCCCTGCAACAGACATCAATAAACATCAGGTATCCCTACAACATACATCAATAAACATACAACAGACATCAATAAACATCAGGTATCCCTACAACATACATAAATAAACATCAGGTATCCCTGCAACAGACATCAATAAACATCAGGTATCCCTACAACAGACATCAATAAACATCAGGTATCCCTACAACAGACATCAATAAACATCAGGTATCCCTACAACAGACATCAATAAACATCAGGTATCCCTACAACAGACATCAATAAACATAGGTATCTTTACAAAAGATATCAATAAACATCAGGTATATAGCTACAACAGATATCAATAAACATCAGGTATACCTACACCAGATATCAATAAACATCAGGTATACCTACACCAGATATCAATAAACATCAGGTATACCTACACCAGATATCAATAAACATCAGGTATCCCTACAACAGACATCAATAAACATCAGGTATCCCTACAACAGATATCAATAAACATCAGGTATCTCTAAAACAGATATCATTCTCATTGCACCTTTTCATGAGTTTCTGTGTAAATATCTTTTTTGTTGATATTTTGTCAAAGTTTGGTTGTATTTGAGTTTAGGTCTTGTTGTTTTGGAAGAAGCTAAGAGGGTGTTCTACTTGCTCTGTGTGACAAGGTATCGACCAATAGAGCTAGATCCTGCTTACTTCTAGTCACAAATGGAGCACCACGTTTCCAGTCCTATCAAATTTGTTTTAGTACAACGATCAGGACAGGCTTCGGTTAGTGGAGATGCCTCTTTGATCTCCATTTGTAGTAGCAGAGCGAGAGATAGTTAATTCAAGTCTTGGCAGGGGAAATGCAATCCCGTACCTATTTCTTAAAACATAGTCACTGAACCAGATGCAGACTCATGTTTGAATTAAAGAATAGTCATCTTAACAAAATTACAAGATTGTATACCTTAGCCATCAGTGATGACGAGGGATGTTCCAGGAGATTCCAGATCGTCGTCGACATCTTCTCGGCCTTCTGAATCAGTTGCATTCCATTAGGAAAGACGGGCAGCTCCATGTCTAGTAACCTCATCTTCTTCTCTACTCCGTCATCCTTGTATAGAATCCGCCAACAACAGTTGGAAACGAGGCCAGCTGGTATTTCCCAGAATGCTAGTTCCTCTCGAATCTGACGTCCACAAACAGTTTCCGGCAGATGAAGCACACCGGTCCTGTAGTAATCGAGGACGCTTCCGAATACTGCTGGGTTTCTGTCGAAGAAAAAATCCGTCTGCGCTAGTTGCGATGCGTGGATGCTTTCTTGAAGCCGACCAAGTTTGGAGTTGGGAATTCTTTGTAGAGTGGCCCAGGTTGTGGAGAACCTTGTCCCACCCACGTTGAAATGTATCAGGTCGATCATCGGTGGGTTACATACCTAAATAAGATACCATATATAGATATTACAAGTTATATATATATATACTAGTCCATTAGATCAATGACAAGTGGGATTTCTTTTAAGTATTCCTATCTCATGAAGAAGATTTGTAGCTATCACAAATATTATCCATCTAAGTACTGTCTTGGAATCATGTTATAAATTGCAACTTGCCATTGACAATAAAAACAGATTGTTCGCAGATTGATAACGAAGAAGTTCGAAGCGACAGGTAAAGTATAGAATGCATATTTCAATCAAAACTTGATGATTAAGACGGAAGATACAGCTGTTTAGTGTAGTCAGTGTGGAAGATACTCAAAGGGTAGATCGAAATATTTTCGTCTCTAAAATGATAATTTAATGTCAATATTCACATTTATGTTGCTGTTATTGGTATTTTACATTTTTTTACATTTTTAATGGCTCAGCCAATTTAGGGCCAGAAGATGGGGGGGGGGTGTTCATATATATGGTAGGAACGCATCCACAATGTTTGCGGTTAATTTCAAGACAAAAGAAGTTTGTTTTCCCCACTAACATCTTTGACCTATATGTTCCTATGTTTGAACCATTCTAGTCCTGTCTCTCCGCTTCCATTCAGAAATTCACAATTAACAAAAATGCCGGCCTACCTGAAGTTTGGAAATGTCAGACGAGACGTGTAAGTCATATTTGACCAAAACCAGATATGAAATTAGATAGGTAAGCAGACTAATGAGATAATTCTATTTTCTTTTCTGAGTTGAGATGATTTGAAAATAAACCGAAAGACTTGTGACAAAGACTTAAACAAACTTGATCAGTAAAACGGACTAGGCAAAATGAAATTTACTGTTCTACGCCTTTATGATGGGTCTAAATTCACCGTACCCAGACTTACAAAACTACAAGTAGTGCACGAACGGAGAAAGGAAAGAACATATGAATTATTGGGATCTTCGAGGTAAGTTTACATTGGATCTGCTGACACACGACGTGTGGATTAATAATCTATCTTCACAATGCATTTATGTCGATATTGATATCTTTAATTACTTTTACAATTTACGTGGTTTGGATTTCGCTGCAATAGGAAGAATATCGATTCTTCTATTACACAAGTGCATTGATTTTGTACGGCTTTATAATTTGTGTAATTAAGATAATACATGTATTCCTCTGTTTATCTTTTATAAACATATTACGTTTATGAAGTAAGGGTTTTTAATTAGTTTATGAAGATAATACTTGTATTCCTATGTTTATCTTTTATAAACATATTACGTTTATGAAGTACGTTTCTTAATTAGTTTATGCAGATAATACATGTATTCCTATGTTTATCTTTCATAAACATATTACGTTTATGAAGTACGTTTCTTAATTAGTTTATGCAGATGATACATGTATTCCTATGTTTATCTTTCATAAACACATTACGTTTATGAAGTACGTTTCTTAATTAGTTTATGCAGATAATACATGTATTCCTATGTTTATCTTTTATAAACATATTACGTTTGTGAAGTACGGGTTTTTAATTAGTTTATGAAGATTTTAGATATCTTCTATTTCTTTGCAATTCACATAGTTTCAATTTAGTTGCACTAAGTAAAGTTTATCGTTTCGTCTTTAACAATGTGACAAAATTTATAATTGGTGTGATTAAATGACGATTTCCAATTTTCATTTTAATAAATACATTGATGTTTTTAATGGATGGCTTTTTAATACCTGTGATTTATAACTTGACAAAAAAAGCTCTTGTTCACAATTCAAATATTTGTAATTTACCTTCCCTATATGTTCTGGCGTGTTGTGTACAAACGTCCCAGCAACGCTAATTATTGCATTCCTGATTCAGTTAATCGTGTTAAACGAGACTGTTCCATATTGGTACAAGTAGTGCTGTCTAAAATATTGATCAAAACAGTCTGGTTACAAATATAATCACGTGGACCTGTGCATAACGTCTCAAACAATATAAACACACGACGGCTGTCAGAGATTCTAGGATAATTTAGAGTATGATATCGGTCTGCATGTTTTCTCTTCCTTTGATATCTCATTATTGCTTGCGGTTATCATAAATCATGATGTCAATACTACTGTACCTGTGGAGTATTACTTGACGTGTCCATTTTAGCTTTATCTCTCTTCTACAGAATACGGGAGAAGCTTTCTGCCATTACTCTTCCTAAAGCGGACGAGCCATCCACCACTACGTTGTCGATGGAAGCAGAGCACGACCTATATATAGAACTCGCTAGACAGCCAGTAACACACGGTGCCATTATTTATATATAGAAAGTATGGAAGGCTCTTTTTGCGATATCTGTCACAAGATGATAATACATTGCATTGGAGGATGAAATCGAAGGAATCCGTATCATCATGTTAACCTTGCCTCATTGCTTCATATAATTGCAACATCCCTGTATGATATTATATTTCTAATTAGCAGTTGATTGGATATCCAATGAATTATTCCGTTATCTCGATTTTAATCTCGATGTCGACAACTGACAAACTCACGACACATCGAGAGATGCAGGTTGATTAAGATTACGAGAGAAGTGTTAATGTGGCCATGAGGATCCCATTTGTCACTTACCACTAAGATGAAGCAGAAGGCCCTTACTGATCTAGAACATCTTTTCGTATTTTCCTTTTCGTTTTTAGAAAGCTCACAAGTGGGTCTTTTTACATGTTTTGTCAAAGTTTCATCGAATTTTAGCCGCAATTCAAATTCCGTCGGTTTTGTCTTTGCTGATTTATGAATGTTCAGGGAAATAATGTAATTCTATGTCATGGACAGAATTGAATCTTTTGATTGCTGCATGTCGATATTGCAATGCTTTGGTAAGTATTACACCTCTTGGATTAGATCGCCTGGCCGAAGATTACGTACCTCTCCTTTTCTGCCTTCTGTTTTCGTTCTTCCTGTGCTAATATTTCCACATTTCCGTCTTTCATTTTCACTGAGAAATAGCTCGATCTTGCTAAGAATAAGGGTCATCAGATAGCTAGTATGAAACATTAAGATACTGACCCCACCGTATGCGGCCTGAAAGGCACAGGTCAAACGGATACATTTGCTTACAATTTAAATGTCATTTTCTTCATAATCATCACATTGAAAGGGTTTTATAAATCTATTTCTGATTTACAGAAGATGATATCCTTTGACCTGGGGTACAAATACATGAAGTAAGCAAAACTGATTTTCAGGAGAATTTTCGCGAGTTTTCTTGTATATCTTTCCTTTGGTCATATACTTCGACTGTTGTTTAATCTATTTTGAGCCAAACTTACGTCGTTGTTGGCATATCTCTATTTTAGTATTAATGTTTAATGTAGATCCATTCATATTCCGGTAGTATTTATTTTTCATAGATATTCTTCTCTCTGTTTTTCCTTTTTTCCCATTATTCCTTTTTTCATATATATATATATATATACTCAATTCTAATTCATTTGGCAAGGAATAAGTTAACACTTGGATGTATTGCGCTCAATTCATACACGAAAAAAAACAGGAAAATACCATCATCTAGGCAAAAATGAACAAAATAATGATTTACAAGGAGACTCCTGAAAAAGTACAAGGAGAATGAGACCATGTGTTCCGAAATAGTAGGCGTTTTATGCTTCATCGACGACACCCGGTTTGTAAATATTGTACATCAATTGTATATAGAAATAGTTTTGTAATAGAAAACCACGAAGATGGAGATCCACGAAAACATTACACTTACTGTTCAGTATATATATAAAGATGTTAATGTATTGTTAATGTCAAAATGGATACGTTTTCAATTTTTCTAAGTCACAGTAATTGCACGGCAGAATTTTTTTTTATTAATGTATAAAGTTTCGATATGAGGTACTTTATTTCACCCCGCACCGCTACAAATGATTGATTGTTTACTGTTGAGGCTATAAACTAATATTATGCAATATTCAAATCCCGAAACCGAGCAACTGTGTGTGTGAGAGATCGAATACAAAGATACCGACTGTGTAGCAGCAAAGAGTTACGATTCCTTTATGTATGACGAAGACAAATCTCAAGTTAAAGATTCAATAAAGATATCTCTGAATTAACAGCCTTAGTCTTCCTTGTGTCTCTAAGTAAGAATCCAAATCCAACGAGCGGATTTACACACTTATCATACGTACAAAACACAGCTGAATCAAAAACAAATTCGGGAATTAGATTAGAAGAGATGGTGTTAATGCAAATATGATAACATTTACTGTTAATGTAAATATGGCAAGCTTAAGTGTTAATGTAAATATGGCACCCTTTAGCGTTAATGTAAATAGGATAAACTTTAGTGTTAATGTAAATATGGTAACATTTAGTGTTAATGTAAATATGGAAACTTTAAGTGTTTAAGTAAATGTAGAAACTTTTAGTGTTTATGTCAATATTGTAAATGTTAGTGTTAATGTTAATATGTAACATTTAGTGTTAATGTAAATATGGTAAACTTTAGTGTTAATGTAAATATGGTAAACTTTAGTGTTTATGTAAATATGGTAAACTTTAGTGTTAATGTAAATATGGTAAACTTTAGTGTTAATGTAAATATGTAACCTTTAGTGTTAATGTAAATATGTAACCTTTAGTGTTAATGTAAATATGTAACCTTTAGTGTTAATTTAAATATGTAACCTTTAGTGTTAATGTAAATATGGTAAACTTTAGTGTTAATGTAAATATGGTAAATGTTAGTGTTAATGTTAATATGGTAACTTTAGTGTTAATGTAAATATGGTAAACTTTAGTGTTAATGTAAATATGGTAAACTTTAGTGTTAATGTAAATATGGTAACTTTAGTGTTAATGTAAATATGGTAAATGTTTGTGTTAATGTAAATATGGTAACATTTAGTGTTTATGTAAACATGGTAAATGTTAGTGTTAATGTAAATATGATAGACCAACCAAATAGATATCACTGTCCGTTCATTTCTAAACCAGTACAGCAAGTGTTTAAGCGAAATAATTTGCTTTTTGATAGAGGTAACTATGATCTATGTAGGGAAAATTAAGCTCAGTTAACTGAAATATTAAATATTAAATGAATTTACTGATATTAACTCAGCTGTGTACAATTTTCAGATATTTTGTTTGAAACGACTAAACCTCCATTCGTAATAAAGAAATAACTATTAGATCAAACAAACCCCATTAGCTATCTAATGATATACTTAGACTTATCCGTAACGTAGCGCGAGAGCTCACCAAAAAGTTAAACGTACCTCTTTTAACGCCCACTAGCCTAGTTTTCGACAACTTCGTAACAATTGTGTTAATGTTATTAAGCACGCTAAACTAGCCTATTTTTCTAAGCTGTGGAGCGATCTTCGGAAACCTTCTAACTTAACCTCTTAACAGTGGTAGAAGACAAAACAATTCTATTTCCTAACTCTGATTAATTCTCTATACCAGCGCTACATCACAATAACCATGTAATATCTGACGAATATGAGAAACCTTGTTTAACGATTTTTTTCTCTGCTCAGTCTACAGTTGGCGATGCTAATGTTAACCTCTCAATCATTGGCGATGAATGTAATACATAACAATCAGATATTAAAACCATTGTAGATGATGTCATGGATGTCATCCAAACAATTGATTGCTCCAAGACCGTTGGTCCTGATTAAATTAATCCTCGCCTTTTAACAGAATCTATTGACATCATATACAACTCTCTGAAGAACTTATTTGATATGTCAATTAATTCTGAAGTATTCCCATCTGCATGGCAATAAGCTAACGTCATCCCTGTTCACAAAAGGGAAAACAAATCTATATTAAGTAAATATAGGCCTATTTCACTGCTATCAGTCATCGGTAAATTAATGGAAATATCCGTCTTTAGATATGTATATAACTTTTTGCACACCAACTCCCTCTTGTCTCCTAACCAGTCTGGCTTTAGGCATGACAACTCATCAACTAATCGACTCCTTTCGATCATTCATGAAGTATACTTAGCCTTAGATAATGGAAAAGAAATACGTATGAATTTATTGTGACATCAGTAAAACTTTCGACCGTGTTTGGCATAACGGTCTTCTTTGTAAATTACCTTCTTATGATATTCGGAATCTGTTGGTCTGGTTTGAAAATTATCTATCCAATCGTATGCAAAGAGTTGTCATCAATGTTAAAAAAAAAACCTGTTTAACCATTAAGGCCGGTGTTCCCCAGGGCTCAAATCTTGGTCCTCTTTTGTTTTTAATTTATATAAATGATATTGCTTAAGATACACAGGCTGAAAACAACCTATTTATCTGATGACACCTCTCTTTACGTAACTGTGGACACTCCCAGAACTAGTGCCGAAATCCTAAATCAAGATCTGAATAAAATTCATAACTGGTCGCAAAGATAGTTAGTTGATTTTAACCTTCCCAAACTGAGATCCTACTCATTAGATAGAAAAAAACCTTTTCACCCTCCGCTAACCATCAACAACATTTACATGTCTGAGGTTACTTCTCACAAACATCTAGGTATTTATTATAAATAATTATTGGAATGATTTGATTATAAAATATATCAAGAATTCACCACAAATCAATATTTTGCGTAAATTAAAGTTTTCGCTGGATCGGTATAGTCTCCAAACTATGTACTTTACTATTGATCCCCCTATATTAGAATACGGTGATATGATATGAGACTATGTTACCGAAGTCCAAACGGAATTATTAGAAAATATCCAATTAGATGTAACCAGGATAGTCACTGGAGATGCCAAACTAGCAAGTAGGGTAAGGTTGTATATTGAAACAGGCTGGCTACCCTCCAGGAAAGACGGAAACATCACAAGTTGATATTTTTTCATAAAATTGTGCACGGTCTAGTCCCACAATATCTCCTTAATTTCCTTCCTCAGCGTAATCGAAATTATCATAACCAAAATAGTCTTATCGGAAGCAATATACGTTTCTTTAGCAAGTCCTTCTTACCATCTGCCAATTCTAGTTGGAATTCGCTACCAGATATTGTCAAGAACGACCCCTCTATTCATAAACTGAAACAACTCCACGGATTACAACCCACAAACAAACCAATTTACTTTTACAGTGTATTGAAATTGTGTAGATGCATCACGCTAGGTTACATATGGAGTGTAGTTCCCTAAAGTTTTATTTGCACAGAAGAAATCTTATTGATAGTCATCTCTGCTCATGTATGAAAGCAAATGAAACCAAAGAACATTACTTATAATATTGTCCTCTCTTCTCTCAACTGCGTATGCAAATGTTCAATGGAATTAACCATCACAACTGACCTACTATTGGTTGGGAACAAAGAGCTTACTGTTAATGATAGTGTTCAAATCATTTCTTGTGTACATTTTACCGGGGCTTCACTTGATTTAAAACATCGCACGCTGATTTTTGTTTCAATCAATGTTTATTCTTGTTAAAAAGACCCCTACAACAAATGGATACAATATTCACTTACTAATATCACCTTTAACGATAGCATGGACATTCAAGGGAGACAACTCAAACATGACAATATTTTAGCATTAAAAGCAATAAAAGTGGCCAATCCGACAGATAAGCCTTATCCAATGATTCTAGTCATATATATTATTTTAGATTATAAAAATTAGACAACTAGACATAATTTAACTATTTATTATGGCAATGAAATAATTTATAATTTAATTCCGACGTAATGGAGCGTTACGGCGACACATACTTTCTATAGAATATATACAAAATAGGAAAGTGCGCTTCTGTACTGTTATTAAATACATCAAAAATTAGATCAACTAACCCGAATACACACTCGCCCTACATAATAGTGCAGGGGCTCCAAGAACAATGACAGACACCGTGCAATTACAACACCGTGTAGTTACTATATGATTCCGGCTGTAGTCACAAATAAATACTTGATACAGCCACTGTAGAATAGCAGGAGATAATAACACTTTATAATCTAAGTTGTCGGGACAATGTCCGAATATGTCCGAACAAGGAAAAATAGACACTACCCTATTAGATATTATTTTAAACAGCAATGCTGCTTGCTACGAGCAATATTTGAAAAAAATAATGATATATATTTAATGATAAAATGATTAAAACTTACCTATGACTGCTATCTCATGATCTTACACAATAATTTCTTATCATCCAAAAGACGTCTTGTTTTAATGAAATAAAGGAAAGAAGTGTGTGAAAATGAGCTACTAGTCATGAAGAAGTAAATATAAAAGTATCCAATGAAAATCGTTTGTCCAGGTCAGGTGACTTACAAGCTCAAATTCCTTACATTCTACTCACCCTTACCTTTTTATATTATTTACATACAAAGACACAGGGTCCTCACACAAACATTTACATCACATCTAATATTTGCATTTAATTGTATTAATTGATTTACAAATGCAAACATACGAAACACAACTCAAATTATGAAACCCCTGTTTAAATACAGTCATGTGACGCACACAATCTCATCATCCGTTCTAACTTAGCACAGTACAAAACTTTTTCTCTCTCTCTCTCCTTCGCTTGAGTGCGTGGACTATCAAATATATATCTTCTTCACTTAAATTGGCACGTGCAACATTTCCCTCCTCTCTCCCACTATCTCCCTATTATTTCATACCGTAGTGTTTTGTCTCGTAGTATATTCTATAGTATTTACGAATGCGTACCGTCATGCCTTTATCTAATTAACTACGAACTCCATGAAACGGATTTATGTAAGTCAATGACTTGGTTCCGGATCCTATTCCAGTATATGGCTTACATTTATTGTCTTGTATATATCATATGGTGGAATAAAATAAAGTTTATACTAATTAACTCCGACGATTGATACTAGAGATTGAGAAAAATATCAACATACATGATTGAATTTGTTCATAATATGTTAGAATACTTCTAAAAGTTGGCGATACCCGACAACGGGAGGAGTCGCGAAGACGGAAAACCCGCCAATCATTCAGTCATTCAGTATAATGATATTCAATATTGATTTCAAAAATAGAAAGTAGATAAAATATATTAATATTAGAATAATAGAAACACATGAATAATTATTACTACACAATTATATACTATTATACACGGATCATATAAATATATATAAACACAAAGTTTCCATTTACGTCCACTTGTTAACTTAAATATATCCTGATTATTCCAAATGCTGCTTTTCGGTTTGATCAAAAGCTGAGAAGTTGATGTCATAAAACGGATCATACATGTCTTAATTCCATTGTCACAGAATCTCTTTGTTTCGATAATGTTGAAACATGGAAAGTGTCAAGAATACAAGTTAGTACATTTAACTTTTAGCAAAGGACACAATAGCCACAACTGCTTCTAAAAATCTTCACTTTATTTTTTAGTTATCTGTGTTTTCGAAGGCCGTCTTTCAGTTTTCAAATACTTTCAGCTTTATTGATGACGGGGGATGGTTGTGTTTGATATCCAGCAAGGTCGGTCACGTGTCGTTCCCTGTCACGGTTGCAAGAGTACAGAGTTGAAAAAGTATGGTGAATGGCAGAGATGATAAGCGCCAAAGGTATTAATCCACTGATTCCACAGAGGAAGGCGACAATCTTACCTCCGATTGAAATCGGAAAAATATCGCCATAACCAATTGTTGTCATGGTGATCAATGCCCAATATATGGATGCCGGAACATTAAGATAGCTGTTTTGATCAGATCCACTTTCTAAACCGTAAAAGAAAATTCCGAAGAAGACACAGTTTATCACCAGGATGGATACGTACATAAGTATCGCCCGTTTACTTTTGAACATCGCCAGGAGAAGTAAGGCGAGTGCACGATTGGCCTTCAAGACACGATAGAACCGGATGTATTTCAGCATCTGTAGAAGCCTGAGAAAATGTACATCAAATGCAGCTTTATCGAATAAAGAATCAACGAGGGTCATTACGAAATCAAGGGCGAATGCGACAAGAATGAGAATGTCAAGGACGTTGATGACACTGAGGAAGAATCTTGGTTTGTTGGGCGACATGGCGAAGCGAACTATAACATCAACAAGGAACACCAGGTTCATGAAACGGAGCTCTTCGACATCCGCCAATTCCGGAATTACAGACACTATCACAGCAATGAAGTAGAACAGCATGTAACCCTACAAAATAGATATATTCACAAGTCTTAACAAAAGTTCAAATAAAGTCATATAAACACCGTTAAAATATATAAACTAACTTAAATATCTCAACCGAAGTTATCAACGAGATTATATATTCCAACAGAGAATTTTAACAAAATGATATATAAATAAACTGAAGACAACACCGTGCTGATATCCAAAACAAAGTTAAAACAAGATTTTTAATTTTGATAGAGCAATGTAGCCGAATACCATATAACGCATATCGTGTTATACCTTAGCCATCAGTGATGATGAGGGATGTTCCAGGAGATTCCAGATCGTCGTCGACATCTTTTCGGCCTTCTGAATCAGTTGCATACCATTAGGAAAGACAGGCAGCTCCATGTCTAGTAACCTCATCTTCTTCTCCACTCCGTCATCCTTGTATAGAATCCGCCAACAACAGTTGGAAACGAGGCCAGCTGGTATTTCCCAGAATGCTAGTTCCTCTCGAATCTGACGTCCACAAACAGTTTCCGGCAGATGAAGCACACCGGTCCTGTAGTAATCGAGGACGCTTCCGAATACTGCTGGGTTTCTGTCGAAGAAAAAATCCGTCTGTACTAGTTGCGATGCGTGGATGCTTTCTTGAAGCCGACCAAGTTTGGAGTTGGGGATTCTTTGTAGAGTGGCCCAGGTTGTAGAGAACCTCGTCCCACCCACGTTGAAATGTACCGTGTTGGCCATTGTTGTTTCACACTCCTGAATAAAAATTGCTGATATCAATAAACATTTCATCAACAAGAGCAAGATCTGTATAACACAATGTGGTGTGTTTTTACTTTGTGTGTCTGATAAAAGATTATTTGCATAACAACCGATATACAAGGGTACTTATATTTTTAGGGAAAATATGAGTTTTTTTCTGTACTGACACGTATGGATAATTCTTCAGGTAGGTGCACAAATACCGACATGTTCTGCTTCATTTGAACAGAATGAAATCATATTGTTACCACTATATGTTGTAATATCCTTATGTTATACAAAAGACCAGCAACAACCGTTCTCAAGTACAAATGTTGAGTATTAGCACAAGTTACAACAATGATAACATGTATGGCCTGAGTATCGAGCTTAACAAGTTACCCCCTCCACGGCCACACCAGGACTGACTCTATTTGCTGTGATCTTACAGTTTATCCTAAAGTAATTGTAATCTATTTCCGATAGGGAAAGTGTCTGCTACTGATCTACAATTAAACCGTGAACAGTTAATGTCTCACTGGTGGAGAGCATGTCAAACCAATGTTTCACGGCATGATTTTGACACTGAGGTGACGCAATTAAACTATCTGTCTGATAAGCCAGTCGGTCACTTTAAGATCTAACACAAACTATTTTCTACACTTGAGTGACAAGTTTCACCATTAACACATATAGTATTACAAAATAAAGAAAATTCTGACATGTCAACAGAATCTTAAATCGAGCTCAAGTTCGATAAAACTAGGGCAATTAAATATTTATGAAAAATACATCGAGATTTCTGAAAAAAAGTACCAGGAGATTATAACCTTGTGTTCAAGAGAGACAAGCAGTTTCTGCTTCATCAAAGATATTAGCTGTTCTTATCTTGGTAAATCACGCCAGGTAATCAGGTGTAATTAAATGAGAAAAAGATATTAGCTCTTTAGTTGTTGGTAAATCCCGGCAGGTAATCAGGTGTAATTAAATGAGAAAAAGATATTAGCTCTTTATTTGTTGGTAAATCCCGGCAGGTAATCAGGTGTAATTAAATGAGAAGAAGGTAAACAATAACGGAACTGAACGGACATATTAGCATCAATTACATCCAACTTCATATCGTTCAAAAACACAAAAAATAATGTTATACTTCAAATTCCTATCAATATGACCACGATAAAATTTCTACGTAACTTGAGAACTAATGACGTCCCTCCAAATCCTGTATTGTGAGTGTATCATTATGGAAATCGTGATATTGAGAATAAACCCATTGATCCCCCGAGACAGCTGAACGATAGATATGACTAGTGCACTCTCTCAACTCTGTTTTGACAACCTGATATTTCGGTCAATTTGCTTCCTCGAGTTCAACATGTTTACTTCTATAGATGACTCACGTGCGCTGGAGGGACGGCACAGCTGTTGGCATTGTTTATGTCTGTAATACCAATCCCGGATCTAACTGAAAGGTACATTTCACTTGTGTCTGTTTTCAAACCCTTCCATTCATAGCGTTTCCTTTAAACACGCGCTGCATATACACTGACGATTTTACGTAAACTTAACGATTATATACATATATAATATATATCTGGGTTATAGACAAAAGACATATTTAGACTAACACATCTGAAACCCCAGTTATCGAAAACCGGAAGGCGACACACGGAAATCAAAATGATGGACGAAATGTAAATAACAAGATGCATTAACTCTATCATCCAATAAATTTCTTCTGTCTCCTGACTTCAAAAGAGCATAAAGTGCATTTGGAAAGTCTGAACATTGTAATTATACAAACGAGCTTATCTGAGATTATCAGGGTATAGAGTGTTAACGAGCGACATGTGGTGTTACTATGATAAACACCATACCTTTACGCTGTTGTTAGTTTCCATCGGTAAATCTTGTACAGATGTAAATACAGTGTAACCTCAGCTCCGAGCTCAGCCACGATGTTGACTGACTACGGGCCTGAGCACTTAGTTATATAGGCCACCTATTAAACATTCTATGGAAGTCATGTTATGCAATATCCAAATGATTAATTTTCAACTATTACTTGTCTGAATGTAATTTACTTAAAATCGTTACAAAATATGATTATCTCTATGTAAATGGAAAGTTAGCCATTGGTCGCCCATGATTAGTGCTAAGTGCTCGTATTACATATATATGTACATATATAAAATATATATATAATGTAAAGATATAAAGACGTTTGGAGATAGAAAACATATAAATTAACAAACAATCTTTCAGAGCGTTCACGTGATAATAAAAAATATAGAAATGATACATATTTAGAATTCTTTGAATTTACTTGCTTACTTACGCGACGCAAGACACGGCTGGGCTTTATAAAGGAAAAGTATTCATCAATCAAGAAAGATTTAACACAATTCAAATTACATTATTTTGTAATAGAAATTGCCTGTTTATATTTCATTTCAATTTTATTTTTAAACTAGAGTGACGGTGCGTGATACGTTTTAATGGCTATACGTACTTTTTAAGGCTGTTGTTACGTTTCAATGATAGATTATACAATACATTAGATATAGATATTGTGTATGTAATCCTGGTAGATACTAGCTGTATTATATCGCTCGCCTAGAGACAACTTCTCTGTATCTCTGTAACCCTGGTAAATACTGGCTGTATTATACCGCTCGCCTAGAGACAACTTCTCTGTATCTCTGTAACCCTGGTAGATACTAGCTGTAATATACCGCTCGCCTAGAGACAACTTCTCTTTATCTCTTTAACCCTGGTAGATACTAGCTGTAATATACCGCTCGCCTAGAGACAACTTCTCTGCATCTCTGTAACCCTGGTAGATACTAGCTGTAATATACCGCTCGCCTAGAGACAACTTCTCTGCATCTCTTTAACCCTGGTAAATACTGGCTGTATTATACCGCTCGCCTAGAGACAACTTCTCTGTATCTCTGTAACCCTGGTAGATACTGGCTGTAATATACCGCTCACCTAAAGACAACTTCTCTTTATCTCTGTAACCCTGGTAAATACTGGCTGTGATATACCGCTCACCTAGAGACAACTTCTCCTTATCTGTAACTCTGGTAAATACTAGTTGTAAGATACCTCTCGCCTAGAGACAACTTCTCTGTATCTCTGTAACCCTGGTAAATACTGGCTGTATTATACCGCACGCCTAGAGACAACTTCTCTGTATCTCTGTAACCCTGGTAGATATTAGCTGTAATATACCGCTCGCCTAGAGACAGCTTCTCTTTATCTCTGTAACACTGGTAAACACTGGCTGTAATATACCGCTCACCTAGAGACAACTTCTCCTTATCTGTAACTCTGGTAAATACTAGTTGTAAGATACCTCTCGCCTAGAGACAACTTCTCTGGATCTCTGTAACCCTGGTAAATACTGGCTGTATTATACCGCACGCCTAGAGACAACTTCTCTGTATCTCTGTAACCCTGGTAGATACTGGCTGTATTATACCGCTCGCCTAGAGACAGCTTCTCTTTATCTCTGTAACACTGGTAAACACTGGCTGTAATATACCGCTCACCTAGAGACAATTTCTCTGTATCTCTGTAACCCTGGTAAATACTAGTTGTAATATACCGCACGCCTAGAGACAACTTCTCTGTATCTCTGTAACCCTGGTAAATACTAGCTGTAGTATACCGCTCGCCTAGAGACAACTTCTCTGTATCTCTGAAACCCTGGTAAATACTAGTTGTAATATACCGCACGCCTAGAGACAACTTCTCTTTATCTCTGTAACACTGGTAAATACTGGCTGTAATATACCGCTCGCCTAGAGACAACTTCTCTGTATCTCTGTAACCCTGGTAAATACTGGCTGTAGTATACCGCACGCCTAGAGACATCTTATCTGTATCTCTGTAACCCTGGTAAATACTAGATGTAGTATACCGCTCGCCTAGAGACAACTTCTCTGTATCTCTGTAACCCTGGTAAATACTAGCTGTAATATACCGCACGCCTAGAGACAACTTCTCTGTATCTCTGTAACCCTGGTAAATACTAGTTGTAATATACCGCTCGCCTAGAGACAACTTCTCTGTATCTCTGTAACCCTGGTAAATACTGGCTGTATTATACCGCACGCCTAGAGACAACTTCTCTTTATCTCTGTAACACTGATAAATGCTAGCTGTAGTATACCGCTCGCCTAGAGACAACTTCTCTGTATCTCTGTAACCCTGGTAAATACTGGCTGTATTATACCGCATGCCTAGAGACAACTTCTCTTTATCTCTGTAACCATGGTAGATATTAGCTGTAATATACCGCTCGCCTAGAGACAACTGTTTATCTCTGTAACCCTGGTAAATACTAGCTGTTTTATACCGCACGATTAGTGACAACTTCTCTTTAACTCTCTAACCATGGTAAAAACTTGCTCGATCGGTTGAGCGTCGAACTCGTAAGCCAGGGGTTCTTGGTTCGTATCCCATCGGAGGCATTAAAACAAACAATGACCTCTGTTACATGTAAGAGTTGAGAGAATAGTTCGCCCCAATAGCCTTGACTGGTTTGTTTTATTCCTTACATGTACATTTAAGCAATTTTGCCTACATGTTTTGTGCACCAGTCTCCGTTGTGTTCACGCAATTTTGTGAAATATACATGCTTTATGTGAACGATTTAATATGTCTGTAATCTGCACTTTTTGGCGACGCTTTAATATGTATAATACTCTGAAATACACGTGAAAAAGCGTCAATTAAACGTTTAAACGTATATTCTGCAGTTGCTACGATCTTTTCTAGTCGGCGATATATATTTCGGTTTCAACACTGTGATATTTAGAACTTCAATACTTCTTAAGCAAATCCAACACTGTGTGTACTGAGTTCCATAGCTCAAACTCCAAAATATCAAAACATCACGTGAGACATTGACCTTCACTTCGCCTGCCTGTTGAGTGAAATTAGGGCGCACGTACGTCACTTCGGTATAAATAGATATGCAGTTTCAAGTTCTTCCAACGGATAGGCCAATGAAACTACGAAATGAATTTATTTGCGCCATTTCTTGTAAATATCGATCTGGGCAGAATATGAGTAAGATGGTGTACATGTTTATCACAGCATATGTATGGTCCATCCGAAGACGGACATTGACAACATCGTCTCGGCGGTTGTCTCTATAAATTGTAGACCATTCACCGACAGTAGGTTTTACAGAGTGCAATTTATTAGTAGTAATTTGATTCCGTTCCTCCTGTCTCTCAGCTGTTAAAGATTGTTTGACAAATGGTTTAAAATCAGTAAAATACATGTTAAAAACAACAGGTGGTAGCAATAAAGCTTCCTTTGCGACACGATCTGTTTTTTCATTGCCTGGTATTCCCATGTGCCCAGGTACCCAGCAAAAAGCAATACGAAAGTTAAAGGCAAATTAATGATACAGTATTAATGTTACGAACGAAAATATTTTTGATATTTCTATTGCTAAGACTTTGTAGTACAGAAAGAGTGTCTGAATAGCTCTCATTACTTAGTTTGAATATATTAAAGGGCGAGGTAGACAGCTCGCACTTCTTCCGAGAATATTGAGGCGTTGTTTGGTAGCCTACTTCAATACGCTGTAACCCGTGGAAACATGACCTCGGCAACCTTATCATTATCTTTTAACCATCAGTACATAAATGTAGAAATGTTTTATATTTCAACTGTAATTTCGAGAAGGATACACGAAAGATGCAACTGTCAGTGTCTGATTTAACCATTTCGTGAAGTGAAAGGCCAATTACAGGTGAATTCAACAGACAGAATGGAATTTCTATCGTTCCAAATGACTGAATTTGGTCAATATCAATATTTGTGTTTTGTAAAAGAGCGGAAATCCGAATACCGAATGTTGGAATGGTCTTGGGTTTGTTTTGAAACAAGGTTTTATAATTGGGATTAAATATAAGTGAAAAAGCAGGATTTGAAGGATTTTACTTTAGCTGAATGGTGTATTGCAAAGCCAATTTATTTCGATGGCTATGTAATGATGGTTCGTTAGCTGTTGTAGGTGTGGTCTTAAAAGCTCCGAGAGCGAGTCTCAGACCCTGGTGATGAACAATGGCTAATAATTTGAGATATGAAAGATAAGAAGATCCATACACAATGGAACCGTAGTCTAATTTTGATCTAATATGTCTCTATAGAGTCTTAGCAAAACTTTTCTATCAGCTCCCACATCAGTGTGGGACACCACCTTGAGAACATTCAGTGCCTTAAGGCATTTGGCTTTAAGGTATTTTATATGTGGAAGGAACGACAATTTCCTGTCGAATATTGTACTTAAGAATTTGGTTTGCTCAACAACTGGAATGGGTACACCACAACGAGATACATTTAGATCGTCGTGTTGTTTCCGAATTTGACAAAAATGCATACAAACAATTTTGATTGTGAAAATTTAAATCCATTTTCATCTGCCCAAATTTGTAGTCGATTCAAACATTGTTGTTGTTGTCTTTCGATGGTATTCGTATGCTTAGATCGATAGCATATGAAGTCGTCGACATAAAGAGTCCCCTCCATTGAAGGGGATACTGTTTTGACAATACTGTTAATTTTAAGCCCAAAAAGTGTAACCGAAAGAATGCTACCTTGTGGTACACCCATTTCCTGCTGATGAACATCGGAAAGGGTCGTTCCATTCCAGACTTGAAATATTCTATCTGATAGAAAATTTGAAATAAAATTTGGTAGATTACCTTTAATACCTATATCGAGCAGATCTTTCATTAAGCCGTATTTCCACGTTGTGTCGTAAGCCTTTTCCAAAACCTTATACGAAACAAACCACAAGTCTGTGTTTTTTGGTCCTGATGTCAAGACCACACATTGAAAGATATAAACTATTGTCTTCAAAGGTCTTCATAGTGGTTTTGACTAATTTCGAACATATCTTCTTTTTAGAAGAATATCTTTCTAAAATAAACATTTGAAACAACCACTGCGCATTCTACCATACCCAGCTTCCAGACTGAAGAAACGTTTCTACGATAATGAATGCATAATTTTCTAAGAAAGTTGACACAACATAAGTATATGGTTTTGAACTCTGAACATAAAACTGTTACGATAATGGAATTTCTGGTTAAAAATATCTTCGTGGATTTTTCAGTTAGTTTTTATAAATACATATATGTATATTATAATATAAACTAAGGAATATATACGTGTAAATTCTTTTGTCAATTCATCAATTTTATCTTTTTTACGTGCATTTAATGAAATTCAACAGTTTATATACAATTTAGTTAATATTGTTGAATAACATACATGTACATTACTTAATGATATATATATAGTCTTTATTTCAAGCATAGTTACAGTTCTTTGCGGTCAATCAGATCCACCTCACTATTAAGACCACCTCGCTATCAAGACAACTTTTGTCCAGTCCCAAAAGTGGTCTTAATAGCGAAGTTTCACTGTATACTGTTGGGATAACTATGCCAGACTCGCTCAGGCTGTTCATTCTAGGCAGTGTTTATAGAAGAGCTTGTAAACACAGTTGTAAAAAATAAGCCCTTCAAATTCGCTTTATAACAGCCAGAAATTAATTTACCTCATCCATTTTATACATCCACAAGAACTTGAAATCAAGGATATGATGGACTATTCTATATAGTATTCCCTTACTTCGAAGTCCCTAAATACTGGTGTTCCAGTCCCTAGTGCTCAAAATTTGGTCAGAATTAATCAGTGGTTTGTTAAAAAATCAAATTTTTACCACTAACAGAGAATCAAAAACATCATAACATGTCTTTGTTAAAGTACGGTTTGTCTTATAATGAAATGTCATAGACAACACGAACTTCTTTAGGAGATCGTCACCACATCTTACACAGGTTGGAGTTACTGGTTTCTCCGACATCACAGAAAGCCAATTCTGTAAGGAATTTACTGTATCGTTACTAATCAATATTATAGGACAACCAGCCAAACAACAAATATAATCATGTAGTTTTTATATTTTATTATTCATGACAATAAAAAACTGACGACATATTTAAAATTGTTACATTTTGAGTTCAAATTTGTTTACATACAAACAAGTAGTAAATTAGTACTTGTTCACGTGAAATCCAACCTACCATGAGTAGTGTATTTCCCTCACAACTAAAGATGTGTTTGATTCTTCAAAGTAACACAGCAAAAACACAGTTACATTCAGTGTGATACAGGCCTGTTTCAATATGGGACTTCAAAATGTAACATGATAGAGGTTTGTCCTGATGAACACAAACTTTGTTTGCGAATTGTTTATGAAGTAAAAATTATAATTGGGACAAAACAAAGTATCTTCCACAACTTCCCATCCAATCAGAAATGGAAACAAATATGGTTTATCACATAATTTAGATAATTTTGCAAACATAAAATCATCATAAAAAATCTAATTTGGCGACCATTTTATTTTTCTCTACCTGATGATGTCACCATGTATAAGACACCGCTAAATTATGACGTCACAACAGCTTCAGCCAATCACAGATCCGCTAGGTGCCATTACATGTGTTTCACAACAAACATTTCAATATTAAGTGTTAACAGGATACTTCTGCCATAGTCAAGAATTATAACAAAGAGTTCATGTACAGTTCTGTTTAGACAGGTTTCGTTATATCTCATTATAAAGAACTGCCAGTACTGAAGGACTGAACTATCTTGATATGGAAATTACAATGTGTATAAATGACATGACTTTTCTGATAACATCATATTGCAGCTAGCATTATGTAGGGGTAGTGTCATGCTATTGTAAATGTAGTGTATATCTAAACCTGTCCATAAAGGCCACTTTTTTTGTCTCCCTATGTAATGCAGTTCTTAGCAACTGAACCTCTATCTAAAGGCCACTTTTTTGTCTCCCTATGTAATGCAGTTCTTAGCAAGTGAACCTCTATATAAAGGCCACTTTTTTTGGATCCCTATGTAATGCAGTTCTTAGCAACTGAACCTCTATATAAAGGCCACTTTCTTTGGATCCCAATGTAATGAAGTTCTTAGCAATTGAACCTCTATATAAAGACCACTTTTTTTGGATCCCTAGGTAATGCAGTTATTAGCAAGTGAACCTCTATATAAAGGCCACCACTGTATAAAGGATAGTCTTCTCTGCTACCTTGAGTGACCTTTGTAGACAGGTTTGATTGTACAGGCATTCTTTCTGTCCTCACAGGGAATTTATAATCCTTAAATGATAAACACTGTTTCATGTCCATTGTAACAACAATAAATTTAGCTTAAAAAAACTACATGAACACATTTCAAAGAGATTTCATACCAATGACATCAAGTGATTCTTTTTCACATAAACATGAAATAAGATGATTTTTGAACACAATAGGAAAGTGCATCCAACAATTTTTTCTGAAATGTATATTTTTTGCTGAAATCCATGATGGCCATCCATAGGAGTATTTACTCATATCACATCAACTGTGTACTACCAACACCGATATCCTGAACAATAACATGCTACACTTTGTAAAGGACATCGTATTTCAGAAAACATGCAAGTAAAAACAGAACTAAAGAATGAAATCAGTACATGTTCTATGAGAATGCAGTGTTAAACAGTAAAATGATTAGAAAATGAAAAACAAAATGAACAAGTTGTGATAGTAATGCATACAATATCTGATATTTGCATTCATCTCCTATTATTTACTTCCATGCAAAATTTTTCAAAAAATTAAGTCGTTGTATTTCTTGCCTGTTTACATATCAAATAAAACTTTACTCATAGAAAAACATAATGTCTGGAGACAAAGTTTTTTTTTTTTTTTTTTTTAATTTCTGTTTGAGAGATTTACCACCATTCCATATTTGAGAGTTGGTAATTATACTTAATATTCTATTAAAGTGAAATTAATAGTTTTATTTTTTCTACATTCTATATTTATAAATAATCACAATTTACCATGAAAGTTTTAATTTGTTTTTCACTCAAAACAGCCTTACATTAAAATGTACAATAAATATCACTGTACACATTTAGTTCAACAGTTTAGGGCAAGAAAACAATACTGACCGAAGTGTGAATCAGAAAAGATAAAGAGTCTAATTAAAGAAGTACCAGAATATTACCTATGGAATAAGGGTGACCAATCAACATCAACTATCACAACAACCATGGAAACTAATCAATGTAAACCATAGAAAAACTCCCTAAGGGATAAAACATCTATCCCTCCCCAGGACTCCAGGTTTTGTTAAGGGACATCCCAGTAAAACATGTATCCCACCCCAGGCCCCAAGGTTTTGTTTTCATGACGTTTTCTGTGACATGCTATGTTGAGGCAGTTTTAGACCCTGGAGTCTGGATCAGATAGATGTTTTACTGAATAGCCCTAACATATGACTTTGGAGCCTGGAGTCAGATAGATGTTTTACAGGAATAACCCTAAAATATGACTTTGGAGCCTAACATATGACCCTGGAGTCTGAATCAGATAGATGTTTTACAGGAATAACCCTAACATATGACTCTGGAGTCTGGAATCAGATGTTTTACTTGAATAGCCCTAACATATGACTCTGGAGTCAGATAGATGTTTTACTGGAATAGCCCTAACATATGACCCTGGAGTCTGGAGTCAGATAGATGTTTTACTGGAATAGCCCTAACATATGACTCTGGAGTCTGGAGTCAGATAGATGTTTTACTGGAATAGCCCTAACATATGACCCTGGAGTCTGGAGTCAGATAGATGTTTTACTGGAATAGCCCTAACATATGACCCTGGACTCTGGAGTCAGATAGATGTTTTACTGGAATAGCCCTAACATATGACTCTGGAGTCAGATAGATATTTTACTGGAATAGCCCTAACATATGACTCTGGAGTCAGATAGATGTTTTACTGGAATAGCCCTAACATATGACTCTGGAGTCTGGAGTCAGATACATGTTTTACTGGAATAGCCCTAACATATGACCCTGGAGTCTGGAGTCAGATAGATGTTTTACTGGAATAGCCCTAACATATGACCCTGGACTCTGGAGTCAGATAGATGTTTTACTGGAATAGCCCTAACATATGACTCTGGAGTCAGATAGATATTTTACTGGAATAGCCCTAAAATATGACTCTGGAGTCAGATAGATGTTTTACTGGAATAGCCCTAACATATGACTCTGGAGTCTGGAGTCAGATACATGTTTTACTGGAATAGCCCTAACATATGACCCTGGAGTCTGGAGTCAGATAGATGTTTTACTGGAATAGCCCTAACATATGACCCTGGACTCTGGAGTCAGATAGATGTTTTACTGGAATAGCCCTAACATATGACTCTGGAGTCAGATAGATATTTTACTGGAATAGCCCTAAAATATGACTCTGGAGTCAGATAGATGTTTTACTGGAATAGCCCTAACATATGACTCTGGAGTCAGATAGATGTTTTACTGGAATAGCCCTAACATATGACTCTGGAGTCAGATAGATGTTTTACTGGAATAGCCCTAACATATAACCCTGGAGTCTGGATCAGATCGATGTTTTACTGGAATAGCCCTAACATATGACTCTGAAGTCAGATAGATGTTTTACTGGAATAGCCCTAACATATAACCCTGGAGTCTGGATCAGATCGATGTTTTACTGGAATAGCCCTAACATATACTAAAGTTTCTCAGATATCAAGAGTATTCTTTAATACTCAAAGACGACAAAATATCCTCAGCACATGTAACAGTCTTCAGCACCATTCTCTAATATAAGACTATTTCATGTTTTCTTGAAATGAATAATGCAGTCTGTGGTTTAAGATTCTTTCATCCATGTCTAGAGTTTCTCACCGAGGTTAACAACAAGATCCTTTTGGCTTGATTGACTGAAACATGTAAAATTGGATGTATGGGGACATAATAAGATTGATTCCCAAACTTGTTTTTTAGTTCTACAAAAAAACTTACATATGATTTAACAGCAGAAGTAGTAGGAACAATTATTAAATCATTAAAACTGTTTGAGATATTTTAGCAGTAAAGACCAAAAACACTCTTCACTTCAGTTTCTCGACATCCTCCCAAAATTTCAGCTCGTCCACATCCTCACGAAATTTCAGCTCGTCCACATCTTTACAAAACTTCAGCTAAATTGCACCAGTGGAACTTCAGAAAAATTTCAAGATGTCTCTTTTAAGATGGCGGCCAAATTGGATTTTGGATCAACCCAAAATATAACAGTACTTGGTCAGGACAATCTCAGGATTATTTTAGGCAAATTTTGACCTATCCCACTTTTAGAATTAGAGAAGTTTAGAATGTTAAAAGTTAGACATGGTCTAATAAAATCCTCACAAAAATTTGTTATTTTACAGGAAATATAATTATTACATACCATATCAATAAATTAATAGCTTTCTTTGTAAATACATTAACTTTTCTGTAGCCTTTATGACTTTAGTACTACTAGGTCATGTGACATGGTACTAACCAATGAGATTTCAGTCCTCCTAAGCATCAGCAGTTTCCATAGTGTCATCTTCATCTCCATCTTCGTCCTCCTCTCCCTCCTTTTTCTCTGGTTTCTCATACGCTTTGTCTGACGGGGTCACCACAACACCTTCCCATACACTCATGTCTGTTGCTATACCTGGTGACAGTTACCACACAAATCGTTACAGAAATTAATATAATTAAAGTACAGTTGAACCAACTTAAATGTGATGTCTATGATCTTGTAGGTTGCTACATCAATGTCCATTAATTACATATACAGGTATTATAAGTGACGTTTTATTAAGAAATATAAAAAACCCAAACTGAGTGTGATATGAACTGCATATGTATTTACGCGTATTTTAACACTATTCAGAATAAACACAATGACTTGTTATCATCAAGAATTATTCTATTTTCAGAATCACTTGAGTACATGACTACATGAACAGGCAGTAGGCATTGATTGTATGTTGAGTAGATGTCTAATTCATGAGACCTCTTCATTCATTATCAATAAAATGAATATATTTTAAAAACGGAATATACATATATGTTTCTCTTAATTCAACTTTATCTGTATCACCTCTACATGGACACCAATATCCTATTGTCTCTGTTAAATATGTCTACGTACTGAGGGACAATGGCCTTAATCATTATCTATCAAATTGTGCTGGTGTCTATATCCTGGTTACTATTAACATTCAGAATCATGAGAAATGAGGAACAAAAGGTTTCTCTATGTAAAAGTTGCCATGTACCATGTTATTGAATGATTTGTCAAAAGTTTGAAAATGAAGACCAAATCAAGAGGGTATATTTAGCATTTTCTTTAAAATGATTTTTTTTTTCGTCCTGCAGTGAAGTACAATTAAATATGATACAAGTTACACAGGAGAATGTGTTAGCAGTTGCTATGACTACACATAGTGTGTAGTGGTATGCTATACACCTCTAGCAATGGTGACTGAACACAGCATATTTTCTTCACAAGGTAACAGTGTCCAGACCACGATTTCAGAAGTATAACTATAAGATGTTGATTTTATTTCCAAAATGTATTTCCGGAACAGGAATTGGAATTTCTGGACTGGTAAGTACAGGTAATGTTAGAGAAAGCTGTTTCCTATCCATTCTGTTTGGATTATGAGTTTTCCTGACAACTGGCCTCTGGATTATCATGGGTCCCCTGTAATGCCTTAACAGCACATTTTAAACATCTATTCTTTTTCAAAGATTAATCTTGGTCAAGTACCTACATTTTAAACCAATATATTTGTGATATACGACACTAAAATAAACAATATCATTTTTTCACAAACAACAGATATAGGATACTTACTGGAGTTGCCCTCGAGACCTAGCACCTGTTTGTAGCCCCCATGTGTTAGTACTCGGAGGAGAGTCTGTGATGTGAAGCATACCTGGTCCTAAAACAATACATCTTGTCTATTAATCACAGGTACCTGATATTGACATTCATCAACACAAACACATAGAAAAAATAAAATATTTCCTCTCAAACAAAGAATTCCAGATTCTGACCATATCTGAAAAAAAATTCAAATAGTTATAACTTGTGATTTTAAAACTTTACACTTCTGTGACGTCAGGTAATTTTATTTGTTTAAAAATGTGTAATAGGTTACAGTGAGTGTCCTCTGTTTACCAATACAGTTGAAAAAAAACAAATCAACAAATACATCTGTATGGAATGTTGAAACTGATATTTGTAAAGTTCAAAATACTCATTTTCAGAATATTTCTGGAAATATGTATGTGCCGTGACTGTGCTTTATACTGAACACTCTAAAAACCAACATTATTCCTCAAGTTAGTTTCGGACAGGTATGGCTGTACCCATCAAACCATATGTCCCAATCGGTACCTGACGTTTCTCTTGCAGGTTTATCTGGTTCAACTGTTTCAAACCTTATGCGACTTAAGTCTACTGTTGGGACTTCAAAAATATCATTTGATGACTTTTTTCATTTCAATGTTTTACCGATTACAGTGAGTGCCCGCTGTTTATCAGTATGTTTATAATATACAAGTAAATCTGGTGGTGTTGTCCTTAATATACACTTGTCAGTAACTGGTTTGCAAGGTCCAAAGTCTCAGAATATTTATATACAAATTTATGTATTTTACAACAATCGCAAAACAATGATATAAGCTTATAATAAGAGATCCCAGAGGGGAAACATTTGAACATTCCTTTGCAGAAATAAATATTAATCTTTACCTGCCAAATCCAAAATGGCCACCTGGAAGCCATTTAATTTCTTCTAATCAGTCTCAAAAGCACACGAGCACAGGGAGAGACCAAAGGGAACATACATATGAAATTTGAGAGATATCCATTCAGTACTTCTTCAGAAATATCAATAACAATATTTCCTATGCAAAATCCTAGATGGCTGCCTATCAGCCATTTTGTTTTTTTATCTGGCCCAAACGCAGACAGGCACAACTAGGGACCAAAAGGAACCTATATGTAAAATTTGAGAAAGATCTATACAGTAGTTTTTGAGAAATAGCGATAACAAACTTTCAAAGTCAAAATCTATGATGTCCCTCTGTCGGTCATTTCGTTTTTCTATCAGTCCCAATACTACACGGGCACAACAAGAGACCAAGGGGAATCCACATATGAAATTTGTGAAAGACCCATACAGTACTTCCCAAGAAATACTGATAACAAAATTTCAAAATCAAATTCCAAGATGGCCACATGTCAGCCATTTTGTTTATTTGATTAGATCCAAAATCAAACGGGCAAAACTAGGGGGAACCTACATATGAAATTTATGAAATAACCATACAAGTACTTCTCAAGTAATAGTGATAACAAACATTCCAAGTAACAAAAATTGTTTACGGAAGGACTACTGATGCAGAGTGAGCTGAATAGCCCACCATCATCAAATGATGGGCTAAAAATCACACTTATTGGCCTTAGTAGAAGCACACAAGGGGTCTTACTGGGGAGAAACCTCAGACAATATCCAGTGAACATGCATATGCTCTTGTTAATTATACCTGTTGTTCCAAAGTCATCACTGTGTGGACCCTAACCGTGCCTTGTTCACATGGATCTGTGATTCCTACTGAGCCAGGCAGAAAAAACCCAGCTGCTAACAATTGTAGGCAACGTCTGTCAAAACAAACGAATGAACAGTGTAAAAGAGAATGTCTCATACGTACAGAGATTGAGAAACAAAATCTATTACTCCTGTGTGATCTAGAATCTATCACCACACTAAGAATTATAGACCAAAAGAAAAAATATATTCTCTTTATTCAAAAGCAAAGAAAAAAAATAAAATTAATATATCGAAGTGTTTATTTAAGGTCTATATATAGTTTGGGGTTAACGGTAGTAATTCCTTAATCTTACTCAAACTCTTTATTATCACAATCAGGAAAAAAAATAGATAGGAAATATTTCTTTTACTTTAATCACCAGCTGTCAAAGAAAAAAAGAAAAAAGAAATCTGCCAATATAGTTATACGTAACAGGAAGATTGGACTTACTTAAATGCTGTTGGGATGGCAACGGGCTGACGAGACGGATTATTCATAATGGCATAATGAGACTGCAGCAGAGAAAGTAAAAGTTAATTAAACCCTCAAACATCAATATAGAGGATTGGATAGGTTCAGTAATACAAGACGCAAACAAAGGATTCATGTATGTCACTGTCATCTGAAAATAAAGGAAAACTCTCGCCCTAATTTCCTTTAAAAGCTGGAAAATTTTTACTCTAAACAAACATTTTTCACGTTTAAATGGTTAACATGATATTTATAACATTGTACTGGGTAGCTTGGCATGTTTATCAACATCTTAAATATTAATTTCTATGGTCAGACTATCATATTTCTTGAGGAATCTCTCTGCTACTGACCTCCACTTCACTTCCAACACATAAGTTGAATCTCCTACTCCTTGTATTGTCTATTTTATCACACTGACAATTAGGGTATGATTACAAAGCATAAAGTAAAAACTTTAATTAATTATTGTAACAGATATCTGACAATATATATGTTATGTTTTATTCATATTTTCTTCATTTTGTTTCCTTTTAATTACGAAGTTTGCGTCATCAAAATTTAATATTCCACATAAATTGTATACGTAACTCACCAATAAGTCAATTATCCATGGAGTTAACGGCTCAAATCCCTTAAAGCGATTCTTTAGATCCCTCATGATACGAATTAAAACTTTGATACTGGAACAGAAGATAAAGGCTAACATAAAAATCCCTTAAAGCGATTCTTTAGATCCCTCATGATACAAACTAAAACTTTGATACAGGAACAGAAGATAAAGGCTAAAATAAAAATCCCTTAAAGCGATTCTTTAGATCCCTCATGATACAAACTAAAACTTTGATTGTGGAATGGAAGATCTAGACTAAGTAAAATTCTGTTTTCTCTATAAAACTTGAGAATTTACTGTTTTATTCAAACAAGAATGACTGGTCTTCCTGAACGGCATTGCACCTTGATGTCCATTCTAACTTAGGTACTGATGAGGACAACAACAAGATCAGTTAATCTTAGTATTGAGTTTAGTTCCCATTTTCCATATTTTTGTTAAATATAAGTATGACTTGTTACCTTGAATGGAAAGCATTTTCCTCGAACCAGCGGGCATGTCTAATGGATGCTAGATGACCCTGCATTACTTTTCCATCCACTGGAATATTGACATTAACAGTAAAATACAAATAACACTCAAAACAACAAATATTGTTTTAATAATTTATATATTTTAATGAAATTTAAAACATTTAAAATTTTCTGAAAATTTCATTAAAATCATTGCACTTATGATTGGTTTGTGCCTAAAAATCATCCTTGTGTTTCTGCTAACCTGTTCCTATTCATTTGAGTCTAATCTTTATCTCTTTGCCAATTTTCGAGGAAGGACTCTTAAAGTCAAGATTCTGTCTCTACATATACAGTAAAAATCACCAATAATAATATCTTATGACTGACCATATGGAAGATTAGCCGTTGGCTAAATATGTAATCCTCAGAAAATAGAGTTTATTATTATTGTTATTACCAACACTATTTTTTTAGACGCAAAACTGAAACCATGTAACTTTTTACACTGTAGCCCATATCTTTTAAGGTTTAACCTGTCCCTAAGTGCACAGTAAAGTTTCCGTCGAGAAACCAATAATAACGTTATTATCTTCCCTTATATATAGCATTACACCATAATGGAGTTTACTATGTTACATTCCTATATAACATGCAATCACCAGAAGATGGTCGAAAGGCTTGAAAACATAAGCTATCTGGCATGTTAATGTTTTGTATTTTTGTATAATTGATATGCAAAAAGTTTCTCATTTTTTAAATATATATATGGGAAGACTTACAGCTCAAAAAATACAACATTCAATTTTCCTTTTTTCAAATATTCAACGACATGATGAAATAGGGCAGGATTTCACAAAATTGTCATTTCAAATTATTATAAGTATTCTGAACATAAGCAAAAATCGTATCTAGACTTGTCATGTCAATGTGGCTGGATATCTCTCTCTGAAGGTCAGGCCCTTACATACGTTAGTAAAACCAACGTAAAAGAAAGAACAACATCTCCTGAGGCCTGGTTTGGAAATTAAGAGCACCCTGCACACTATTTGGTATCCTTCAGGGACCTAGAGGATGAACTTTTCCTTATCTGCTTATCTACACTGAATGGATGTTGGTCCTTGTTTTTTGTTATTTAAGATAGTCAGGGTAGATGACAAGGCTGAATACTTACAATGAAGTTCTGGGTCTAGCTTCTTAAGGTTTGGCGGTATCGTTGTGATGAGACATTTCACAGAGGCATCGGCAGAACTTATCTCAAATCCAGTGTCATTTGTTAGCATACTGAAAACTGGTGGACAGAAAGTGAAATAATTTTAAAACTGGGTATTTTATTTGGGATTTGTAACACTTGAAGTGTTGTTTTTACAATGAACAAAGTATTACATATTTTATTAATGATTTTCTGTAAGAATCTCACCAATTAAAGCTATCACGAAAAAAAAAGTAATAATCAAAATAAAAGAATTTTAGAATTACAGTATTTCAAGCCTCCTTGTCACAATAAGCTAGCATACATCCTTAAGATTCTTTGTGTTAAAGAAAGGTAGCATACACCCTTAATAGGGTAACACACATTCTTAAGTCAATGTAGCATAAACCATTAATTCTCCATGTCACTTTAAGAAAGCATATATCCTTCACTCTCCATTTAACAATAAGGTAGCATACACCATTACATCTCAATATCACAATAAGGTAGCATACACTATTACATCTCAATATCACAATAAGGTAGCATACACTATTAAGTCTCAATATCACAATAAGGCAGTATACACCCTTAAGTATCAAGTCACTGTCAGGTAGCATACATCCTTAAGTCTTTACCTTCTTGTGGATCTTGACTCCTTAATTCTTCTGTAATCTTATTACCAAGGGCCATAACTGCCTCCTCTAGAAAACAAACAAATCTTCTAATATCAGGAACACCAAATAACCATGTCAAATATCATAATATGAAAAGAAAAATAATGTTAAACAAATAGAATAGAAGCCTCCAGACGGGACAGAGTGGTAATTTCATTAAATAAAAAATCACAGGGTTCGCAATAGTTTTGTCATGTGATCAGTAACTATCACCTATAAGAATAAATCCAGAATGTATTGATTTCAACATTTTTATTACCAATTTTTTTTTCAATTTGTAATAAGAGAATCTTCTATGAATTTTTCTATTTCGTGTGTGATTTATGAATCAAGTGTAATTTTTAAGGGTAGCTGAAGTAAGCTAAAAAGTGGAAAGTTTTATAAATCCCTTTAGAAATGGAGAAAACTTCAGAGAGAGAGAAAATTTTTTTTCAAAATCTTACCATGGGTGGCACCTAGAGGTAAAGACACTGTAGTTACCCCAGAATAACATTACAACTTACTTGTAGGTAGAGTCTTCAACATAACAACAATATCTGCTACATTGTGACCTGCCATCATTGTTCCCTTCTTAAATGAACCAACTTGACGAACTTCTTCAATTTGCTGAGAAGAAATTAAAGAATCAATGTGAAATGAAAAAAGTAGGTGTTGGCATTGTTGGTGTAAACGTAGAAAAGTTCTTAGAATTTTACGGACCAAAATCTGTGGATCTTAACACACGAAAGGTGTTTGACTAACTTAGTCTGTGGATCTTAACACACCTAAGGTGTTTGACTAACTAAATCTGTGGATCTTAACACACCTAAGGTGTTTGACTAACTTAGTCTGTGGATCTTAACACAACTCTTGTGTTTAACTTACAGAATCTGTGGATCTTAACACACCTAAGGTGTTTGACTAACTAAATCTGTGGATCTTAACACACCTAAGGTGTTTAACCTACATAATCTGTGGATCTTAACACACCTAAGGTGTTTGACTAACTTAGTGTGTGGATCTTAACACAACTCTTGTGTTTAACCTACATAATCTGTGGATCTTAACACACCTAAGGTGTTTGACCAACTAAATCTGTGGATCTTAACACAACTCTTGTGTTTAACTTACAGAATCTGTGGATCTTAACACACCTAAGGTGTTTGACTAACTAAATCTGTGGATCTTAACACACCTAAGGTGTTTGACTAACTAAATCTGTGGATCTTAACACACCTAAGGTGTTTGACTAACTTAGTCTGTGGATCTTAACACAACCTAAGGTGTTTGACTAACTAAATCTGTGGATCTTAACACACCTAAGGTGTTTGACTAACTAAATCTGTGGATCTTAACACACCTAAGGTGTTTGACTAACTTAGTCTGTGGATCTTAACACAACTCTTGTGTTTAACTTACAGAATCTGTGGATCTTAACACACCTAAGGTGTTTGACTAACTTAGTCTGTGGATCTTAACACAACTCTTGTGTTTAACTTACAGAATCTGTGGATCTTAACACACCTAAGGTGTTTAACCTACATAATCTGTGGATCTTAACACACCTAAGGTGTTTGACTAACTTAGTGTGTGGATCTTAACACAACTCTTGTGTTTAACCTACAGAATCTGTGGATCTTAACACACCTAAGGTGTTTGACTAACTAAATCTGTGGATCTTAACACAACTCTTGTGTTTAACTTACAGAATCTGTGGATCTTAACACACCTAAGGTGTTTGACTAACTAAATCTGTGGATCTTAACACACCTAAGGTGTTTGACTAACATAGTCTGTGGATCTGAAATATATTATTAGGTGACTGATGAAATCAGATTCTGAAGGCACCCCAGTTACTCGACTTACCGCAGGTTCAAATGAGTTTGGTGAGAGGATGAGAGTATCTATGATTGCTTGTATTTTGGTAACTAGTGCCAGGATAGCTGCTTGTTCTGTAGAGGACGGAGTCAGGTCATTATGACGTTTCAACAAGGCCTAAAAAAAAGTTGTCGTTATATCACAGAGATAAAATCATGTGGTGAAGCTGAAGATATTCTGATTTGAGGCTTCAATCTCAATTTGTTGTGACAGATTTAAGTACTGATACATTCTTAACAAAACTTTCCATACAGAATTCTTAACCCTGATTTTGACACTGACAAAAGATACATCATTATATTCAGAACCCTCTAACAAAATTAATGCTGATCCACAACATCATGAACAGACAAATAAATTGATTTATCTCTACATCATACAACAGGAAATAAACAAAATTTATCTTTTAATGTAACACTACAAATCTTTATAAAACTTGTACAGATTAGCGGACTAAGTTTCTGACTAAATACGCATACTTACATCAGTGAAGCTCTTGTCATCAGGTGTGGGTTTGGCTCTGGGAAATGTTGACTCGCACTGTAACAAAATATACAACTGAATGCTGAACTGAACAACCAGTCAACGACTCTTCAAGGGAAATTTGAATTATCTGCATTGGTTTATAAACAGGAGAAAAAGTTCTGTATTTCTTAATTAAGGACTCAGCTGATGTGTAGTCAGTTTTATAAGGTGAAAATAAAATAAAAATGAAAGATAAGACTTTTTTAGTATCACTTTAGAACATAGTCACTGCTACAACAGTGTTACCTACACATTTACCTAAACTTTCAATTGTAAAGGCTGGTTAGCCAGTTGTCAATATGATGAGACATGGTGAAGTATTATGGCAAAATGTCTCCAGTTTCACAAAATTCCCTTAAGGAATTTTTCTTACTGAAAATTGCCCATAGCAAGGCATTACATGAGTAAGGAAATTTCCTTAAATTGAAGTTTTTCCGTAACATACCTAATGCTTTTCTATGGTAGTTAAAACTTCCTTCAAGTATGGAAGATTCTTTCAGTGTGATGGCACTACAAATGTAGCCCTAACTTTTATGGATTCCATCCTCTACATAGGTGTTGTGGTTTTGTAAAACCCAAACTAGTACAAATATAATGTTGTTTAAAATGTGATATTTATGTCTGTTGATACTTGCTGAAAAGAATTCACTTACCTGCACTAAGTCAAATGGTATATGTGGAATAAATGCTCGGAACCTGAAAAGAAATCAATCTCAATGACATATCAATTTTATATGTGTAAGCTTTTTTTTTAATCTTTTGCAAATTGTTCTACTTTTGCAACGATATTTAAATCAACTTTTACATTTAAACAATGTTTATATATATACATGTATATAAAATTCATTGGCAGTGAATATCCCAGAACTGCCACTACCCACTGAATGTACTGATTGCTATAGCAGGAAGTTATTGTATTGTCTGTGTAGGTAAAAATAGCCAAAATCTTAAGTTAAAATGACTTTATTAGTAGTAAAATTGTAACTGGTTACAAGACAAATAGTACATTTTTCTGTAAGATTTTTTACTTAGTAAAACTATAAGGTAAAATCTGTTTGAACATTTTGGTAAGAATAGTTGTGTAATCCTGAACATGTCAGACACACTCTATGCTCTGTGTAGATTACATGTAACTTATGTCATACAACAACAAGACACATGGTGTTTGATTGCCCACTATCCAATTTATTTGTACTTTGTATTGTTTTATGGTCCGTCTTTCTCCCTGCTCCCTACTGACACTTTCACTTCCTCTGTCTAATGTCTTCCCTTATTTACCCCTGTTTGCTGCCTTTCTTCCACTCTCTGTTTCTGAACTACAAAGTATTAAGTATGTTCTATTTGTAATGTCTCTTTGAACAGATTCGTCCATGTGCAGACGTTATCACTCTCAGTGTCCAAGGATCTACTTTGTATGGTTCCTTTACCATGTTAACTTTCTGTAATGTTTGTAGGACTATTTGGAGGTCGGTGCATCTAATCTGGAGAGTAAGCAACTAGCAGACAGCATGACTTCTTAAACTTGTTTATAATCTCTGCGCGTGCTCATACACAAGTTAGGTTGTATATTTTACGGAATGGGTACATGTATGAAAGATACGGAACATTAGTATTACCAATACACTTTCACACAAGCTGGACTGACAGAGCACCTATCTGCCCTAATCAATCGCACCTGTGGTATCTTGCTCCAATACTTGTGTCCATACCCCTCCCATTATTAGGCTTAGAACACCACCTGTCTCTCACAGAGCTGTTTAATTGGGTCCAGAGTTACCTGATTTTTTTTACCAATCTCTGCTTTCAACGATACACACCATTTCAAATTTACCATTATTTATTGATTTTTTTGCTCATTTTGTTACACTTACGGAGGCCCAGGCTTGAAAGGCGGTGCCATAGGTCTCATCATTCCTCCTCTCATTGGGTGTGGCCCTCCCCGTCCTCGCATTCCCCTGAAAACAGACAATACAAGTAGGTATAGGTTTATCAGCATTTACTTTTCAAACTTGTGTATTATTGTTATCAATAGTTATAAAGTATCTACGTTTCTGTGCTGCTTTTCAATCAGCATAATTCAGCCAGCAGGAAAACTGTCCTCTCACTGCATTTGTATTTGCATACATATAGATCCTATCTTTCTACAGCTCTATTTCAGTGACTTGTCTGGATGACTTGAAATCATACTGACTGGAGACCAATAGGTAATTTATACCCTGTGTAATTAACTTCTCTTGACAAGCTCTTGTGGGTCTTTTGATACCTTAATACACTAATGTCAGCCGTATATAATAACAGTAACGGTTTTGTCCTAACAGTCTGACAATATATGCAGTACCATACCATACATGCATATATCTGTAGGGGCTATTGCAAACCAAAACAAACAATGCTAGGTCTCTATATTTCTCTGAACATAACTACATCTGATTTCCTACGGACCCAAAACTTTATGCATGAGGAAATGTGTCTGTTTCGATTGCAAGAATATCTAACAAGCAACAATTTCACGGTGACCATTTTTATACGCGGTCTTTGATGCTCACCTCATGTTGATGATGTTGCCGGTATCACGCTTCTGCAAAATAATGGCGTCTGATGTACGTTCTAGTGAGCGAACCGTATACGGCGTCGGCTACAATGTATTCCGGATTTATTTAGCGGCATTTAACATGAAATAAAATAAATAAGATTTTTCACTACATTTTCATTATTTATTAGATTAACATTTTAGACAGAGATTCTATATAGCACCAATATAACAAAATATATTTTATAGATTAATTTTACCGACATTCCTTTTGAAGATATTAAAAGCAAAGTTTTGAAAATTAAAAACAGGATTTTTCAGCTGTAAATAAATATAACGTGCCACTCAATAACCAAAAAACGGGCACAACATACAAACTAACATGTATCTTTTTTAATGTTTTTGTACAGTTTTATTGAGCTACAAATTTATGCATATATATTTATCTCATCGCGTTAAATATTATCGATTGGTCCATCTATTCATGTCACTATTAAGGCGTTAAACTTACAAAATTGTATGTTAAGTATTCGCATTCAACGCGCTAAAAATATGTATAACGCATTAAAAACAAACGTGTTAGCTTATCCCGTTTTTCTTACGTGAACAGACTTGAGACTGTAGAAATGGTTCTGGAATATTTATTATTTGTTTCACATAATTGTCACATGGGACGAAGGGAAATTTCACTAACTGGCTACAAGTAATAGCACATCGGTATCCTTATTTCCACGTCTCTTGGTTGAACTTCATTGTGCATAAATATAGATTGCAACACTTTTATCTACAGTTAGGCCTTAAACTTTCATCTTTTTATCCTTCTATACACAAGAGTCATCCGGTCCGGTAATAGAGAAGGCCTCAATTTTAGTATTCACTGTCACCGTAAACAAAACGTTTGAATGTCTTTCCAAGACCAGGAAGGTGTACATAAATATTTACAAGAGCAAATTGTTGGCAAACAGGTTGGTGATAGCCGCAGATAAAAAAACTGAAAATGTAAGTTATGAAATATATGATCTTTACTAATGGCTCATTAAGTGACCTCATTTTTTTGGTTAATAGAAAGCTTCACTATATTTCACATATTTTCAGTGATGAAGCAGATCGTGTCCAGCATCAGTAGCTCAGCGCTTAGCGGAAACTAATCTCCTTTTGGATGTCTCTTTGGGACTCATTTATATAGGACGCCTGAAAATGTCTGTCCTCGGACGGAATAAATGAGTCTCAAGAAGGAATCCTTAAAGATATTAGTCTCCTCTTCAAGATTGCCCGACACAAAATTGAATCAAGGTTTGGCTCTATGAGGTATAAATACCTCACTACAACCACAGGTAATATTCTACACATCAGTGTTAAAAATTAAAACACAAATATATACTATGTAAGCAAATTTTTTTTCAATCTTGTATGTTGTACTAAAATCTTAATCTAGAATTGCAGAATTTACTGAAATAAACTGTAGGCTCCAATACTGGTATACTTTCCTTTTGTCACTATTTGTAACGTTCTTCCCGCAGAGACCTGGCGGGAGTAGATGTCTAGCCATGGTGTAAGAGAAATACACCTCACCTCTTCTGAGCCACGGACAATTAAAATATCATTAACAGAATCAGAGGCTGACAGAATTTCCCTTTCTCCCACTCACTGTCCAAAATTATCCTGTCATTCATGTGACCAGTCTGGATTTATTTGATGCTCTACCAGCTTTCATCCTGAACTAACTGGAGACTCTCCAAGCCTTACTCCAAAACTAACTGGACATCACTGGATCCTACCACCACACCAGACAGTGCCCTAACCTAACTGGATGTTCTGCCCTCCAAAGTGACGCCCTGGAGCAAAGTGATAAAATGCGTTGGGCCAGATTCTTCAAAGTAGCAATCTGGCTGATTGCTATTGTTGTAACACTTCAGCTCCTCGACTATGATTGGAATGTTTTCAACTTTATGCGAAGGATGCCAGCGAGTTCTCCACTTACACATTTTGGGGTCAGTTTTACTAATATATATCATTATCACAATCAGTTTCTGTTTGTTTTTATAAATCTGATATTTCATGGAAAGGAAATTCTTGTAACCATTGATCATCATTGTGTTTGCACTCATTTTTACAGTTCTTTGGTATTATTGTAGATATATAATTATACATAATAAAATGCAGATAAATTCCTGATTCAGTTATAATCCATTTTTTGTAGAGTTATGACCGTTTAACTTTATGAATTTTATTCAAAATTAAAAAAAAAATTATAAGACAAAATCTGGAGAGTCTTGCCTAACTCCAGTGGCAATTAAAAAAGAAATTCTGTAGAGAAAAATTCAGGTCCTTAACCATAGATGTTGCAGACAGGACATGTGTTAGACTTTATGACTCATGAGTACACCTCTTAAGAGTTCCAATGATGCTAAAATGTCTACACTTTTCCTTAGTTACATATGGTTGTTTTGACACATCTAGTTAAGTCCTGTTTTCAGGATGAACATGTTTTGTGGTGTTGTTGCGGTTGTTTAGTCAGGATGTCTGTCATTCTGTCTGTGGACACAACTTTAATTATCACTTCATACATAATTATATCTTGATAAATTAATTTTTTGTATATTTATCTTTATAAGTGTAATTTTTGCATATTTATCTCGAAAAATTTCCAGAGTGATATTCAGTTGTTAGTTTGAACGTAGGTAGTTTGATGCTCCAATGACGATTTGTTGCTCAGAAACAAAACAGTCTGTGATGTTATGAGTTTGTTCTTGGGCAAGACACTTAACCCCAATTTCTATGGATGGCTTGTGTGGAACCTCTGGTATGGTGTTCGATGAACTAACCACCAGCTACTATAAGGAAACCAAGACCTCAAAATAACCCTGACTGTCCATTAAGCAATACACCCAGAAAAAATCTGAAAATTTACATATGAAATCATTGACAAATTTTGTCCTGCATCTTTCATTTGCATGTAAAATTTTCTGTGTGTACTGTTGTATCATGTTGTCTATTTGTCAGCTGGATTTGGTCAATATCACTTCTTCTCTGTAGACTTTCAGCTAATCTTAGGGTAGCTTGACACATATTTGAATTAATGCATTCTGTTCTTAAAACCAAATTGGAATCTTGAGTGTGATTCTATCGTACACTTTTAACTTATGTTGCTATTTTTATATTTTCAGACATCACAGTCAAAATTTTCTATTCCTAAAGATCGACGTACCAATGTAACATCTGTAAAATTGAATGACACACCGTTTAGTGTACCGTTTGACCTTGACCTCCGCGTGATCGTAATTACATATGATCGTGCTGATTCTGTTGAAAGATTGTTGAACTCGTTAAACGAGGCTGATTATTTAGGTGACAAAGTAGGAATCGATGTCTGGATAGACAGATCTAAAACTGGGGTCGTTCATGAGGAGACGTTTTCAAGAGCAAGTCGGTTCAAGTTCAAACATGGCATCCTCAATGTTCATAAACAGTCAAAGCATGCTGGGATATATGGACAGTGGATGAAAACCTGGAATCCATCGCCACAGAGCAAAGAAATTGCTGTAATACTAGAGGATGATTTGACAGTGTCAAAATATTTCTATAAATGGCTGAAAAATGTTCATACTAAATATGACTCCTTGTCATACATTAATGGTTATGCACTTCAAGGATACAGTATGAAACATGGCGGAGCTGCAGGGCAGTTAAGGGCCCCAGATGAGAATATTGTCTTCATGTATCCAATTCTCGGCACATGGGGATTTTCACCGAGTCGAGAAAATTGGATAAGTTATGTGAAATGGTATGATCAAAAGTCAGAGTTACCAAATTTCCAGCCAACAGTAGCAGGTATACTGCCCACATTGTGGTATAACAGCTTTATAAAAAAGGGCAAGACGGGTGGCATGTGGTCTATGTGGCATATATATCACGCGTGGAAGTTCCAGGAAAGATCAATTTATCCAAATCTTCCTGGGAAATGTGGACTGACCATCAACTGGAAGGAAGCAGGCCTCCATTATGCTAAGTCACAAACCGTCACCAAGAATACTGATCCTATATTGACAGTGTGGGATAAAAAGTTTGAGAATTTGCCTGACGTTCCAGTACATCTCAATGTTAATGGCGTGGTTTGTCCGAGGGATCAATATATCTAATGGTTGTGTGTAATTCAGACAGACGAAACAGGCGTATTCAGAAATTGGATTTTAATGGAATATTTTTTTATTAGACTAATACCTTAAGTTGAAAGAATGTTTCAAAAATGTCTTAAATACATTTCCTATCTATATAATTGTATTAAACAGTAGTCACCATGGATATCGTATACTCCATCGATTAATTCATATGAACTACATGTATATGAAGGATTTCATAAAAATGAGAATATTTTTTCATAAATCACACGGTACAGATGATAGCCAGCATACAGTAGAAAACTTTGTAATAATTATCTGTGATACTGGAGGAAAACAATCTAGAGCCTTGCAATAAGTCAACAGGTGCTTTTTAGCACAAAAAAGATAATTTTGTGATAAGGTAAGTTGTGAAGAGAAAAACCCACTTTTTATAACTGTTTGTTCCTGTAGACTGCCTAAATTTCATTTCTAACTAATGTGGACATACATATGATATATATATGTCGCATGCTTTACTTATAATAATGCTTCTTGGATGTATTATCTCAGATCCAACAGATGTGCAGGTTGGGAAATGGCTTCCTGGAAGATTCTCAGTTTTGAATCTCCTGATCGTTGATATTTTTATCTTACTTGCAATTAAAGGCAGATGATAGGCTTGGGTTTGTTTGTCTGTCCATCCATCCATGTGTCATAGTTTGTCTGTCTAACCATCTATGTGTCTGTCCATGGTTGGTTTTTCAGGAGAACTAAATTAAGTTCACTAATGTTTTGTATATGTTACATGAATTTAACTACTATGATCTGAAAAATTGTACATGTATATCTCGTTTGATTATTAAAACCGATCAGTTAATTATTGCAGTGTCCCTGAGTATCCAACAAAAGTCAGCTTTTGTCAGCAAATGTATGTGGTACCTTAAAGCTGAGGTGCTAAGGATAGGGTTAAAAATATGTATTCCTTTATTGAAGTTAAAGAAAAGTAATGTTGCGGGATAATGAGTGTGTTTGATCATGTGTTATAAAGTAACTTACAGTATTTTGAGACTTTGACTAATCAAGCATTAGTAATTACAGCGAAAACCTCGTTATCTCAAACTCATATAACTTAGATCCTGTTTAATTCGAATATTTCATCAGTCATGGCAAATTTGACTACAAACATTCACATTTTGCATACTAGGATGGTCCCATGGTCCTGCCCACTTTGAGATAACGAGGTTCAACTGTATTACAAAAGAGAGTTAAAGACTTATGAAAATATTTGTCAGAATCAATCTACTGTTCAGTTATCAGTGATTATGTAAGTACATAATTGTATTCATTATAATATGGATTTATCATATATGTATGTTTGTATTTTTACCATGAAGCAGAACTTGGAATGACATGTCATAGTCAGTGCATATCGGACTGTGTATGACTGCCGAATATTTCTGGGAAAAATCTTTTTCTGACCTGGCAAAAATATTGTGAAGTTTTGTTATAAGTTACAGATGGAAAATACAAGAATTTCTTATTAAGTCTTGTAAGCCTATGAAATTTCATATACACTAGACATTTAGCTAAAGGGAAGAAGATTTGTATTAAATAACTCTCAGAGATTCATAGTTATATTGATGTAGTCTTTTCTTGTACACATTCCACAGTAGACTTTTTATGGTTGAATGATCAGTTTGCAATATAATTTGATATTTTTATAATTTTGAGATTTCAACATTACAGAATATGTGTGTATGATATTACAAAATGAGATTAGATGTTTATTTCACTTGTAACTTTCAAATTATCTCCCTTTACTAGCATTTCTGAAATATAATTTTCTCTTATAAATAAATCCAAAATGTTTTTGAAAAATATCAGACACTTTGAATGTTCTACTTGTTAAACTTTTAGTGAACATGAAAACATAGTTTAGTTATTGAAATGTTGATATATTGTTTTGTTATAAACTTGTCAACTGTTTTGTAAACGTGTCATTGATTATGTTCACATAAATATTGTACACATTATTTCATATTGATGAAATTTGTGTTTTTAGGCTAAACGTACTCAGTACGAATAGCCTATTGCGACGGCCTTTAAGACAAAATTTACCGATCCTGGCCTTCTCATTGGCTGATATATCGAAAAGAGTTAGAGCCCTGTAGCGTCAATTTTCTGCGTAAATAATGCCGCTATCTTTCAAATCGCTGAGGAGATTCTTATCGCCTGCTGTGAATATTCCTAGAAAACAACCATATTTACTTTAATTAAGCAAAAAATGGTTTCTTGTATCTTCAAAGTTTATTGTAACTGCGTGACTTGATTTACAGTGTATTTACTGTATGGCGGGGCTTATGAATCCTTCTCGACATGACGTAAGCGTACAGAACACTGTACGTGCGGGATGGCGCCATGATAAGAAGCTAGTCTGGGGCTTGGTTTGAATTATCAACTAACAGCACTTATAAACAAACAAAACTTACAAACAGAACATCAATTTTGCTTTAATCCTTGCGCTTTGTAGACAAGGTACATTTGGTGCTCATGATTTATGAATAATATATATTTAATACTGTACTGATCATGATGTTGACTTTGTTATAACATATATTTTTTGTCTTTTAGTTTTATTTGATGAAGGTTGATTGTGCTGATTTCTCAAGGTTTGTTAATGTGTATCAAAGTTCCTTGAAACGAAAATATTCCTTCAAACAAAGCGCGTATAAAACAAAACCCCAAATATTCATGTTTATAATTTTCAATTAACTGGAACGAAATATTTCCTTACATATTTATTCATTTTGCGTATCATGGTGACATTATCTAATGCATTGGAGATCAGAAATAGTAGTAGCTAAAGTGAAAATATTGTAAATTTTGTATATATATGGAAGTCTGGTTTAATCTCATAGAACTATGTCTTTATAGATATAATTACTGGAAGAAAAGTCTAACCATGATACTTCAAGGAAGATAGGCATGTAAATACATTTAATGTAATTACTTACACTTTAATCTATCTGAAATGCTGTGTACACCTTATCTACTTTCCTCAACCACAAATATAATTATAATAAGTAAGGACTATTACTTTGCAATATATTTAAAATAAAGAAGTAGGTATAAAGTCCTTTCGATTTGTCTACATCCTCATATTGATAGGATAGTAATTGCAACATCTTGGGTATTTCAAAGGTTTTATTTAGTCAACTTCATCATAGAGCTAATTATCATTTGGCTTGTTGGCGATAAATATATGGTTGTGTATTTTGTTTTTTTACCTATTTTGATTTGTTCACATTATTGTCGTCAATTTTGAAATCAAGATTAAGGAATATATAAAATCGCTTAAAAATTAAGAAAAATAGCCTCTGGTTCTCTTATTTTAGTAATTTTTGCATTCCAAAGTGTAGGAGTATGGGGAAAGTAATATAGCTCAGCGATTATTTGTGAACGTTTTTCAATACGTTTAGCCTCTCAGTACTTTCAGTACTCTGATTTCCCTTTTTTTTTTTTTTTTTTTTGAATATTCTAGCATTTATTATCCTTACTATTTCAACCTTTTCATTTTACTGCCTTGATTATACAAGTCAAAAATCTCACTAAACTGCCACCATCTATTCTGCAGAAGTTCTGGTATTATAAAGATATATACAAACACTACATTATGTACTGATGATTATATATTTAAGATTTTTCTTTTCGTTTTTAACACCTTTTTTTTTTTTAACTTACTAGATTTTCGCCATATGTATTCATGTTTACATGTGCTGTGATATAAAATCATGCATTACAAGATCAATTTAAAATTTTTCCACCATTTTCATGTCTCCACAATTATAGGAGAGAGGTGTCATAAAGTGTAACCCTTGTCAATTCATCTTGCTATATCAATTTCAGAATATATAGTATTTTAGAAATCTCTCATCAATTTAAGGAGACCATAAAAAACAGCAAGAAAATAATCAAAATCAAAATATTATCAAAAAAAAGGTTTTCCTGATACTGCTGAAAAATTAAATGAAAAAAAGGACCAGATGTTCCAGAAGAGTAAGCATCTTCAGCTTCATCGACGACACACACCATGTAAAAGGTCACACTTGGAAAATTCAGCAAAGAGTGAATTCATGTCATGTGTACATATCTGTTCTAAGGTACTAATGCCTTTACAAGGTCATGACAAAGGAATATTTCTGTTGTCAGTCACCAGTTATGTTGTATATATATATAAGGTTTCTGTTGTCATTCACTAGTTATGATGTATATATATAAGATTTCTGTTGTCAGTCACCGGTTATGTTGTATATATAAAAGATTTCTGTTGTCAGTCACCAGTTATGTTGTATATATATAAGATTTCTGTTGTCAGTCACCAGTTATGTTGTATATATATATATATAAGATTTCTGTTGTCAGTCACCAGTTATGTTGTATATATATATATATATAAGATTTCTGTTGTCAGTCACCGGTTATGTTGTATATATATAAGATTTCTGTTGTCAGTCACCAGTTATGTTGTATATATATATATATATATAAGATTTCTGTTGTCAGTCACTGGTTATGTTGTATATATAAGATTTCTGTTGTCAGTCACCAGTTATGTTGTATATATATAAGATTTCTGTTCACCAGTTATGTTGTATATATATAAGATTTCTGTTTTCAGTCACCAGTTATGTTGTATATATATAAGATTTCTGTTGTCAGTCACCAGTTATGTTGTATATATATATATATATATATATATATATATAAGATTTTTGTTTTCAGTCACCAGTTATGTTGTATATATATAAGATTTCTGTTGTTCTGTTGTCAGTCACCAGTTATGTTGTATATATATAAGATTTCTGTTTTCAGTCACCAGTTATGTTGTATATATATAAGGTTTCTGTTGTCAGTCACCAGTTATGTTGTATATATATATAAGGTTTCTGTTGTCAGTCACCAGTTATGATGTATATATATATATAAGGTTTCTGTTGTCAGTCACCAGTTGTGATGTATATATATATAAGGTTTCTGTTGTCAGTCACCAGTTATGTTGTATATGTATATAAGGTTTCTGTTGTCAGTCACCAGTTATGTTGTATATGTATATAAGGTTTCTGTTGTCAGTCACCAGTTATGTTGTATATATATATAAGATTTCTGTTGTCAGTCACCAGTTATGTTGTATATATATAAGATTTCTGTTGTCAGTCACCAGTTATGTTGTATATATATATAAGATTTCTGTTGTCAGTCACCAGTTATGTTGTATATATATAAGATTTCTGTTGTCAGTCACCAGTTATGTTGTATATATATAAGATTTCTGTTGTCAGTCATCAGTTATGTTGTATATATAAAATGCATCTTAAAATGTTTTATCCTGCAACTGGCAGTGACATATATCTTTGCTTTATTCGATAGTGACAGAAAACAGCTATATTTGAACATGCGTGGTAATTCGTCAGAAGTACTCTTTGAATTTACTTAAATATTACATTCAGAAATATGAATAATTGGAAAGGAAGACTTGTGTTGTCAAGATATATGATAAACTGCTTTGCTTTACTGAGTAAGAGGTATGCATGTTATAAGTCAGGGTTACTTAAACGATAACAGAATTGAAACATCACTTTGTTTTTGGTAGAGGTGTGTTGTTTTTCGGACAACTGCTTAAGTAGCTAGTTCCCCCAAAAAACTAACTTAATTTAAATGTGTCTACAAAGTTTCACCTTCATCACAAGCATCTTACCTTGTCAATAATATGACATGGCAAATGTTACATTCTTTGATAATTTTTGTGTTAATATTCGATGTGTTTTCATTCATATGCTCGTTCGTTTCCCGGTTGGTTTCGTTGTTGTATACCTTGTTCTCATTTGCTGACTTGACTTTCTTTGATATACCAAGATTTATATGATGGGTGTCATCAACTAAGTAGAAGAAGCATACTGTTCCAGAACGTCTGGTCTTGTTTTTGTACGGGAGCTCGTTAATCTTTCTTTTATGCATATTTTGCCATAGTGTTATTGAATTTGAGTTCGGAATGTGATGACCAAACAAAGTTAAATATATGTTTGTGTTTTGCTTCGATGTATCATGTAAATTTGTGTTTTTATAAATATTCAGCTTCCCCAGACACAGCTTCACTTGCCAATAAAATATGTTCACATTATATGTGCATTGTTATATTTATTCTTTGATCCATTGACTTTTCATTTTGATTCCAGACAAAAAAAATAATGTAGGAAATTTGTTTGGTTTTTGTACAACGTTTCCTTACATCTTTATAATTGAATCTTACTGAAAGCTCATATCGCTGTCAACTCCAGTCTCTTGTTCTGAAATCAGTGAAACCGTTACCCGTAAATACACCAACTTCTTTCGAGTTTATGAAATTCCTATAGGTCCAGTCATAACATAACTCGTAAAAACTTACAACCGACCTGTGATACTTCTAATCATTAAATCGACTTAAAGCTGAAGGCTGTTTGCAAGAATCCATCCATCTTTGGTAGTATGAAAGGTTCTGACTATGGTTCGTAACCAAGACACCACACATCAGTCTGAGAATTTAGAGGAATGTTTGGCAACAAGAAACCATTTATTGTAATGCTTTGATTGTCGATTAAGACAAGGTATTGTCTGCTTTCAAAATTCGTTCTGTATAATTACATGACATATTGAACAGTACCATTTAGTGGAGTGTATTTTGATTCAAAAGAAACAATGTGACACATTTCATTGTTGTAAACAAACGTTTTTAAAAACTCGTATAGCCCGAAATGCCAAGTGAGCTATAGGGATTTTGCCCAAATTTGGTCTGAAGCATCTTTTTTGGAACCAATGTTGTACAAATAGTGGGTCTGAGCTTCCCTGAGTCTTGGGGCGGGGCCAAAAAAGGGTAAAATTTGTAAGCTCTTTCCTACTACAGGAATGATTGGATTTTACCCAAATGTGATCTGAAGCAAAATTTGGAGAAGAGGAATCAGTTTTATATTAGTCGTATTCCCCTTAAGGGGCCTAAGGGACGATACCCAATATGGTGAAAAGAGCGATTTTTATAAAATCCTACTCCTTCTGAAAGAATGATAGGATTTTGCCAAAATTTCTTTTGAGACATTCTTGGGTGAAGGGAAATCAATTGTGAATTACTGGTTGGTCTTGGCCCCATTTCGGCGAAAGGTTCGGGGCCCCAAGATTGGAAATGGGTCAAATTCTTTACAATCATTCTTGCTATGTAGGAATTCCTGTATCCTGTCATAATTGGTCCTGAGACATGCTTTGGTGAAGTAAATAAATTTTGTACAATCAGTGCATCAAACCTTCTTGGGTAGGAGAAGTAGGGCCTGATAGGTGAAATAAACAAGTGTTAACTTTTATTAAATTAGTAAATTTCAACAAACAAAAAAGGTGAACGATACAGGTACTATAGAAATCTGATTTTTATTTTTTTTAATAATCTCGAGGCTACTTTGATGGTTATCACTACTTGCTACAGTAATTGTTCTGCAATACTTTATCTAATTTTAAATTCGTAGTGTCTTTTATATGGCCTTTTCAGGAAGGTTACTAAAGCGCTACACCAAACTAAACTTTTACTCTGTCTATTGTCGTATTTTACAAACTCCTTCCTTATCATGCTTTGAAACATATCACACGGCCTAGTAGCATTTGAAAAATTTCCCGAAACCGTAGACTGGTTGTTCCTCAATCGACTATCCAGCGGAGTTTTCTGGAATAAACTGCCACCAAACATAGAAAAGAGTTCAGACATAACGTCGTGCCAATCAGGACTAGTCCATAAAACTTCATACTGTAAAATCATACCTTTCTCGCGAGACTGAATTTTCGTGGTTTTATAAAAATGTGGACTTTCGTTGGAGCTTGCTTTCGTGAGTAAATCTTTCTCATGAAATTCGCTAGTTTCATAATCTATTTATGTTTCATCTGTTTATTATTTCATGGCCATGGAAACTCATGGATTAATAGTAATCATGCATTTGACGAAAATAAAAGAACTCTTGATTATTTTACAGTAGTATAAATACAAAATGAAACAGAATACCACAAAATTTTATCATGAAGAAAAAAAATAAAGTCACCTCGACATTGCGCTTTTATATAACATTCTATGTACAAGTCATGGAGTATACGCTGTTAGTGATGATGACGATTCATCGAAGGACCCTTTCAATGGATCTTTTTAAGATTGTAAAGGAGAGGTCAGTGTGTGACAAATGTACTGCCACATATTCTACTTCGTCGACTTTTATTGATCGTATTTGTGATTGATTGGATACTCGAGATATGGATCCAGGCAACAATGAGAAATTGGAAAATGACAACGAAATACACAGATATCAGTTCGCTTGTCACAACGGAGGAAGGCCGGCACAGTTTTTGCATCGCTGTTAAATTTCGCGGGTGTTACATATCCAGATAGGTTGTCATGGCTTTGCCTTCATCATAGGGATTAGATTTCGCTCATGTCTATCAGTTGGTAGACATCCACAGACATTTAACCTAGATTTCCAGGGAGGATGATTTACTTTTAAAATGTTTGCCAGGTGTCTGTATTGACTGCAAATATAGCTCTTATTTGTTAATTACTGGTTTACGTGCAATTAACAGTCAGAGGACATGCCAGGTTTAAGTGTTGAAAGAAAGCCGGAGTTCTCAAGGAAATATCGCCGACCTGCTGCGAGTACCTGCCGACTGCCCCACATAAGTCTCGATCCTGCGATCCAGTGGCGGAGGTTTTGTGATAATGGTCAGACGCCTTAACCTTTCCACCACCGCGTCCCCTCGATATCGCTGAATCATATTGGACCAGTATGAAAAACATCGGACTAGATTTCATGATGATGAAAGTGTTCATATCGTGACAATAAATTGATGCTAATGATAGAAAGGCATAGTTATGAAATATCCTCCACGTATACCACTAAAATGAAATGATTTGAAACCTAATGAATTGTAAGGACTGACAATTCTGACAGAATATATAATACACAAAACTCTCCTGTCAAAGTACTATACAAACAAACATCCCTATACACTGCAGAAAGAAACAACCAAACATAAAAGTCTATAAATCAATGGATTGTTTGATGTCCGTCAAATTTCTTACCGTATCTTCTTTCTATCAGCACGCTTATAAAAGAATGCGATGGCGTTCATCACATCTGAAACAACAATACTGCCTATGGCCAAAACAAGTAGGAAACACCCTAAAGTTCCCATGGCAACGCTGCTGGGCCGGGAGTCGTACACGCTGACGAATTTTCGTCGACTAGCAGATGTGTTTGCCTTTGAAACAGAGAGTTCGCCTCTTAGCTGAGTGATAATGTCTTGTTTCTGATTGGTTGTCAGCTGTGTTTCGTTCGTCTTGTTACAGCAAAGGCAATACCCGTGATCTGTTGTCTGACTACTAGATGTCACATAAGCAGTAGAACCGTTGCTTTGTCCCATGTTGCTAGATGTACTACCAATAGCGTCGGGAGATCCAGTTGAGGCCTCCACGTGACCAGTACTATCAAATTCACCTGAAGAGGTTCGCTCCAAGTCCTCAGTAGCTGGAGTAATACTAGTAGATTCACGACCTAGAACGTGCCAAACAGACAATACTTAAAAAAAGAAAATATAAACATGTGAACATAATCATAAAAATAAAAACTGAATGGATAATAAAACTAAAAGAAAATATGAACACAAACCACGAAGAAAATACCAAAATGGCAAAATAATCATCAATTAACATGGAATTCCATAAATCTAGCGCAAAATATTAACAAAAGAAAGACCCCTGAAAAATAACAAGGATAATAAGACCAGGTGTTCCCGAAGAGTACGCGTCTTCTGCTTCATTGAAGACCTGCCATGTAAACATTGGTCAATAAAAGTAAGTAATGTCAAGTTCTCAAATGAGAACAAAGTATACAATACAGAACAAACAGGAAACTACGTTGCCATCCACAGTCCTCAAGTGTTCAGATGGATGTTGCACAATTCAGTAAAACTCATATCAAAATTAACTATTGCAAGTTTTTTTTTATTTCATACATAGATGTACATTAGTATTGTGAAGTCTATTAGAAATTCTTATTAAGGAAAGTAATGTATTACGTAGCTATAGTTATTTCACAGGATACATGATTTCAAAGCCACATTTGACATGCGTTCCTTGCTTCTGTGACTTTTTGTCACAAAACGCAATGCACCTATCTTGGAAACTATTTGTGACACTGTTGAAATGCTTTAATTCATAATAATAAGAGTGAAGCTTTTGGGCGCTGCAAGCAACCCGAAAGTATTTCTTTTAAGAGTAAATCACATGAATTAAGATCTGAAACTTTACATAATTATCTCCCTTCATATATGTGTTGCATATTTTTAATGGGCCGAAAAACTGGAACCGGAAGCAGTATTCGAAGGTGAAATAATATAAAAGAAAACAAGTGGACAAACTGAAGCGAATATAGGTTTGGTCTATATAAATATGACTTGATTATCTGGAACATAAGATTTAGCCTACGATTACATTTTGTAAGGAGAAAAGACAGTAAGTCCGATATTTGCATTATCAAAGTACAAAGTATAAAATATTCTTTAAATGACCCCGTTCAGAAATTATACATACGCAAGTTTTCAATGGTGACAAAAAGTACATTTGAAATCCGTTTTTGTGCTGCTCCAGTACCCCGATATTTGCAAAATCAAAGTAAAAGAAAGAGTATAAAATATTCTGTTAAATGAATACCAACCGTTCAGAACCTGAATCATCATCCACATGATACGTATATTTCAATGTAAAAAGTTGATTTACCAAGAAATCAAATGGATACAGGAAGCGCGCAAGGAACGCCAAAAATTAATTGGCTCTATCAAATTCTTTGATCTTTTTACATATTTATCTCCGTCATTTTGTGTAATAAAGATATATATTGGACACTAACAAATGATGGATTTCACGGCATTAACTTTACAGTTGTAATGTATCACAGTATGATTGGAACTCTCCGGTCTTAAAAGGCAATAAAAGATATAGTTGGTCTACTAGTGAAAATGTATCAACGAGGGTTCAGATTTAACTTTAAATACTGCAGTATATTTTGCGAGAACTTATGAGTTGTCAAAAGCTCAGTTACAGAAAATGGAAAAATCGGTAAACGCGATCAAGAAAGGCCAGAGTCAAAAGTTTAAACCGAACGCGCCGTCGACAAAGTACTCAGACGCAGCGCCCAGATCCAAGGGAGATCACTCTAACCGCAATGATGACAAAACGTTTAGCAAAAGGTAAGAGCAATCCCCAGAAATCTGTAATGTGGTTGAAATTGATTCAGAAGATGAACTTTTGGTCGGAATGATAAGTGAATGTCTGGACGTAAACAATGTAGAACACTCAGATTGGGTAGTAACTGTAGTTGTCAACGGACACCCGGTAACATTCCAGTTAGATACAGGGGCCAAATGTAATGTGTTGTCAAGGAGATTGTATAAAAAGTTGAGCAACAAGCCACTACAGCCGTGTAAAACACTGCTACGTTCATATTCAGGGCATTAGATAAAGTGTATTGGAACAACGCATATGATGTGTTCCTATAAAAAAAGTCTGAACAGAAAGTACAGTTCTATGTTGTTAACATTAACGCTCAAACAGTATTAGGAGCTTCTACCTGCCAGGAACTAGGCCTCATTAAACGGATACACTCGATTCAAACTACAGCAGGAAAAGTACCTGCAGGGATTGATGAAGGATTTGAGGACCTATTCTCAGGACTAGGATGCTTGCCAGGAGAACACTCAATTAGACTTCACAAATCTGTTACACCAGTGGTACACCCCCAAGGAGAGTACCTATATCACTCTGGGATAAAGTCAAAGATGAACTGGACCGCATGGAGAACCTGGGAGTTATAGTAAAGCAGGGAGAACCCACTGAATGGGTTAACTCCCTTGTGACAGTCCTGAAACCAAATGGGAAACTGAGGTTATGTATTGACCCATGTGACTTGAATAGAGCTATACAGCGAGAACATTTTCCTCTCAAAACTATTGAGGAGGTGGTTTCAAGGATGCCGGGAGCTAAGATTTTCAGTAAATTAGATCTTACTTCAGGATTTTGGCAGTTAAAACTGGACGATTACAGCTCCAAGTTGTGTACCTTTAACACACCATTTGGAAGGTACCGGTTCACCCGGCTACCCTTTGGAGTCAAGTCAGCCCCCGAAGTATTTCAGCGGGTAATAACAGAATTGGTATCAGACCTTGAAGGAACAGAAGCTATAGTTGACGACATATTGGTATGGGGAACCACCGAAGAGGAACATGATCACAGGCTGCAGAGAGCGCTGGAACGGGCACGTGAGTACAATGTAAAACTTGGACAAGAAAAGTGTGTAATAGGCCATACAGAGGTCACCTATGTGGGACATTTATTGACTAAGGATGGGGTGAAACCAGACCCCGAGAAGGTGAGAGCAGTACAAAATATGGAGAAACCAACCAATGTAAAAGAACTCCAAACCCTAATGGGTTTCATTCAGTACCTACACAAGTTTTTGCCAAGACTGGCAGAGGTCAGTGCACCACTACGAATTCTCGAGAAAGAGACTGAATGGCATTGGGAGGAAAAACAGGAACAAGTCTTTCAAACTCTAATATAGATGGTTTCAGCCGCACCTGTACTGCAGTTCTATGACAGCAGTAAACCACTTACACTCTCAGTGGATGGCAGTAGCAAAGGGCTAGGTGCTGTTCTTGTAAAAGAGAAAAAACCGGTCGCATATGCCTCGAGGGCACTCACCACGACACAGCAAAAGTACTCACAAATAGAAAAAGAAACTTTAGCAATTTTGTATGGATTTGAGGAATTTCATGACTACGTGTATGCGCGACAAGTTACAGTGGAGTCAGACCACAGACCCCTACAGGCAATATTCAAAAAAATAATTCTACAAACACCTCCGAGGTTACAGAGGTTGCTGTTGGCTATGCAGCGTTATGATGTTGAAGTTGTTTACAAGCCAGGAAAGCTCATGATTTACAGGTAAACGACAATCACGTGACCGCTTATTTACCTGTCTCACCTGAGAAATACAAAAAAACTCAAAGAGACTACTGCTACAGATGATGAGTTACAGCAGTTACAGAATATTGTTCTGTACGGATGGCCGGACAACAAGGCGGACGTACCAGCAGAGCTACGTTCATATTGGGCCTTTCGCGATGAAATATCGTGCATTGATGGGCTCATGTACAAATCTCATAGTGCCAAGGTCTATGAAAAATGAAATGTTGGACCTTATTCACTCTTCTCATCTTGGTGTAGTGACATGTAAGAACAGAGCAAGAGACATACTGTTCTGGCTAGGCATGTCACGAGACATTTAGGACCGAGTCAACTCTTGTGAGATATGTGCCAAGCACCATAATGCAAACCATAAGGAGCCTATGATCGCGACAGAGTTGCCCATTAGGCCATGGTCTAAAATAGGTGTGAACCTGTTTAACTACAACAATGAATCGTACCTACTGACAGTTGACTATTTTTCAAAATGGCCAGAAATTGTGAGACTTGAATCTACGACAGCAAAGTGTGTCATCCTACACATGAAAAGTCAGATGGCAAAGTATGGTATACCTGATGTAGTAATCAGTGACAATGGACCCCAATTTGCTTGCTTTGAATTTATACAGTTCTCAAAGCAGTATCAGTTCGAACGTACTACTTCGAATCCACATTACCCGCAATCGAACGGGCAAGCTGAGAGAACGGTTCAAACCGTCAAACGCTTACTGAAGAAATCAAATGACCCATATCTGGCCTTATTAGAATACCGAAACTCCAATATTGATGAAGTTGGACTTTCACCAGCTCAAATGTTCCTTGGAAGAAGATTGAAATCTACCATACCGACGTCATTACCATTACTAAAGGCTGAAGCATTAGACAAGGTGCGGGAACAGCTGGTAAAACGCAAGAAAAAACAACAACAAAGTCATGATCGACATGTCAGTGGAGGGCTACAACCACTGAGCCCTGGAGACCAAGTCCTGCTAAAACAACATCCAAATAGATCTGAATGGAAACACGGGACAATAATCGAGAAACATAAGACACCAAGGTCCTACGTAGTGAGATCAGGAAATAGGGCATACCGGCGAAACCGACGACATCTACGACCAACCAGGTCAAAGGCAGACTTGGAACAAGAACCAACTGACTTTAATTTATATTGCTGGCCGCCTAGTAATCAGCATCAGTACAACACATCACCGGCACCAAATCTACCGTCCAAGCAAACTGTGTCTAAAGAAACATCCAGTCAGGATAGTGATGTGTCGCTGGAAACCCGCCATGCTGTGCAAAACCAACTTCCGCCTACATCGGTTCTACACAGTCCACGCCAATCCAGCTCTGGCAAGGTTATCAAAACGCCAGGGAGATTCAAAAACTTTGTTCAATAAGTTTTGTGTTAGAGTTTCAAATTTTTGAAAAAAAAACTGGTCCAGTTCATTTAAGACTCTCAAAGTTCTATTCAAGGTTAATAGTGAAATTATATCATGGACATGGTTAATTGAGTTTATAATACTCATAATACGTGGTTAAGTGTATAGCGTAATAACTTAATGAGGAAATTTAATAACTATCATTTCAGTAGTTATTATTATAACAGTAAAGAAACAATGTTTACTTAAAACTCTTTACCTTCTAATGTATACATTCATTTGATCAAATTAATACTTTGGAAATTGTCCAACTGTATTTTTCCATGAAGGGAAAGATGTAATGTATCACAGTATGATTGGAACTCTCCGGTGTTAAAAGGCAATACAAGATATAGTTGGTCTACCAGTCAGCATGGCGTCCTGTTATGAATATCCAACAACAGTCATTTAGTCTACATTTGTCTACAAATCGAAGCGTTGGCTGCGTTACTGAGGACTACATTACTAACCCTAGGCGACCATGTGAGTTAGATTCATGTGACTCTGCAAAGGGTAATATTATGTTGATTGGATGTTACAAACCTGACTCGGGTACCTGTTCAGTACGGTCATCAAGATGGACTTTAGTCTGTAAAAATAGAAAATAATGTATGACATATTTTCACAGCTGTTTATTTTTCTTGTATTTGAAAAAGGAAGAGTTCAACAGATATCAGACCAGATTTAGCTGTATTCAGTCTAACTCTAAATTTGCGTTAAAGGACTGGACTGTACAAAATACATCAGAAAATAGCACTTTTCAGTGCAATAGTTGATTCAATAGTCAGATAAAATGACAATAAGACAATAAAGTAAACTGCATCATACAGTCATTTCGTCCTTATAGAACCTTTACACAATTTTCAAAATTACAGGTGGTAGACATACAACAGTTACGAAAGATAATGAATTACGGGGGAAGAGATTTAGACATTTTTCGATTACTCTGGAGTTTCTTCAGTCGCCTCCTAGATTTCAAAATGAAGGTTCCTAGCATTATTGACGAATATTACTGTCGTCATAGTTTATTGCAAAACTTTGCATTCAGTTGGTTTTATTCGACGCAAAATGACGTTGTCAAGTTTAACACCCATTGTAACGGGTATGAACACTGTTTGCGATCAGGTATACGGCACCGTACAGCACAAATCAAATACAATGAGACAAACGTGGGAAAACTTTCGAAAAATCAAAATTGCAATCGCACTTACTTGACAAACATATTTCACAAGATTTGTACATGCAATATCATTCCATCCTTCGCCTAATTTTAAGCGTGCACAGCGTGGGAAATCATTGTTCTTTCTTGGACTATTCAGTCTCCAATCGGTATAATTGGCAGGATCCCCACTGTCCTCCCACACAAACACACCATCGGAGTCAAGGTCATTGGCGCCAGTCCAAACATACCTTGGACCTGTTGTCATGAAATTACCAATTGCAAAATTGATCAATATTATTTTTCCTTCAACGACGCCAGTAACCATGACAATCTAAGGAACTTCTAAACCACTGTGGCATGTTCTTAAAGATAGAAATGCTAAATATCGACAAATAATTTATCAATTAAAATATGACATGATTAGTTATTATATGGTAATTGTATCGTCTGCTTTTTGAGATGTCGTCTGCTTACCATTCACATACAGGATTGAATGTATAAATGTATTGACGGCGGTGTTATCAATCCTCAGCATGTGTGCATTGTTGGTTGCACAGGAATTCTGAAATTTTTAATAGCATATGAAATTCAAGTGTCTTTTTACTTCGTGTTTCAAAGGTGTTTCATCTCATTATGACCTAGTATGTCCAATTACAGCTGTGATAAAAGGTTGCTTTTTCATTCGAGTTTTCATTGGTATGCCATTTGTAAAATTTTCTTTCATTTTTAATATTTTACATTGTATCGAACCACCGTCAATGTAAAAACAAACAGTATTTCATTTCAATTAATATAAAAAATGGAAAGGATTGTATTTGTGCATGTATCTTTGATTTTTTTCTTATTATTGGTGGTAAAAAAATATTATACTGTTACAAAATCTATCCTCACGATAATTTTCCATTCTATATCTGTTTCAGGTCATTATGGTCACACTAATTAAAGTACCGGGTGTAATCAGGACTATATGGTATAGAATACCTGCTAGCTAGCAGGTAACATGGATATAGCTCCGAAACTTACTTATCATGATAAAGATAGGCTTAAATATTTGCTTTCACTTCCAATGAATAGAAACAATTTTTTAAAATCTATAATTAACAACAATAACAATGTTTCATATAGGAAGCTGCTATTCGCATGTGCCTTTTGTACAATGGTTTGTATCGGAAGATTCTATTCACTTGTGAGACTTTTGTAAATACTTTAAAATATATATTTACCTTGGCGAAAAACCAGTCTACCTGCTCATGCATGAAAAGGTAACAAGTCGTCTGATATTGGAGCCATTCTTCGCTTGGGCATAAGTTTGTCAATGCTGAAACGAAAGTGTTTCACCTCGTTATGGCCTATTTCATGGTGGGCCCAAGTTGATTTGTACCAGAGTACTAGCTGTTAATAGGTTTTCTACACAACTTGGGTGTTTTGTTGAACTGAACAAAACTGGAAACGGACTGTCACGAAAATATAGCACTTCATAAAACAACTGTCATCAGAATTTATTACAGAAGGTTACGGGTGACTAGCCGCCAGAACATTTGATTTGCTCTCGTCGATTCTTTTAACTTCGATCATGTGATCGATATACGCAGTTCAGTACAAATCAAAATGAATTTTATATTTATCAATATGGCATAGAAGAAAACATACTCATTAATGTCGAACCAGAGAAGTTTTCACTTTAAGCCCCTACCAACAGTTCCAGGAGGACGTATACAGCATTTGGTTTAACAAATGTACGATACCATTTTGTAATCGGTACTATTCACTGGCGTGTATTTTGTTTGTTAAGAGACATTGTGACACATATCATTGTTGTATACGCAGTTTGGTTAGTTTACCAGGCCGAAGGGCGAAGTGAGCTATAGTGATACCTCTGCTTCTGTCGGCCGTCAGCGATTCGACTGACCGGATTTTGCTCAACTGGTCTGAAGTATTCTTCGGGGAAGAGGAACTAACAGTGGATATTGGCCTCCCAGGGCCTGTGGAGCAGGGGACGAATGGACAAGTTCTTTCAAGTTATTTCGAATTGTTCCATTTCAGAAGAATTGAATTTTGCCCAATTTTGGTCTGAAACGGTCTTGGTTGAAAGTAATACAATTGTTTAGAGAGTGGGTCTCCATCCATTTGGACAGAAGGGAGGGGGCCCAACAAGGAAAATAGAGCCAAGTCTTTAAAATCTTACTTGCCCTACAGGAATGATTAGATTTTACCCAAATTTGGTCTGAAGTATTCTTTGGGGAATGATAATCGATTTTGTTTATTTGGTTGTCCTCGTTCTCACAGGACATAAGAGGCGTAGCCAAATAGCGGAAATAGAGTGGATTTTAAAACTCCCACTACTCCGGCAAGATTGACTTTGCCAAAATTTGATCTAAAGCATTCTTAGGGTTGACGAATTGTCAACAATAGGACCGCTGTTATGTTCTATGTTGTTAGATGTGCTGATACCAGTGTCAGAAGATCCATTAAAGAGTTTTACGATACCTTTTCTAGTAACGTGCTCAGTGTTACTCGGAGAGGTTGGCTCCATGTCCTCCGTAGCTACCATTATACTTGAAGATTCTTGACCTAGAATGTGTCAAACAAACAATATTTCAAACTACGTTGCCATCTATAATTCTCAAACTTTCAGACAGATGTTCCACAATTCAGTAGAACTGATATCAAAGCTAACTAATGCTTATTGTTTTCATTTCATACCTTCTGATATAATACTATTGTAAATGGGTAACTGAAAGATAGAAATTCCCACATGTTACATGTTTATAATGTTTTTCTACAAAACTTTCATCAAACAATTTCCATTGAAGGAAGTGAATAGAAATATCTTTTGTTTTTTCAAACATTTTACTCGAGGATGAGAATTTTTTAAAAGTACCATACTTGTATTAGCAATTATCAATGATATATCAAAAACGCATATTTTCCAGATGTGATTTAGTTAAGAAGTATTGTAAAGCCTATAAGAAGTTCATATAGAAAGGAAACTAATGCATAACATTTACATGAGTAATGTACTTTCACAGGATGCATGATGTTAAAGCTAAGTTTGAATTGTGTAACATGCTTCGGTGACTTAAGGCTTAACATGCATTATACCTATCTTTGAATTTATTTGTGAAACATGGATGACTCCCTCAGGATTGTCGCTGTTGAAATTACAAAGAACTAAGCGCCAAATTTCTATGTATTATTTGTCTGATTATTTGACTTGGTTTGTTGAACGCCTTTCGTAATCAATGTTTACCCGTATATATCAAACGTAAATAATTTTGATGTTAATTGCGAGAAATGATTAATTTTATCTGAAATGCTTTAATTCATGATAATAAGAGCGTAGCTCTTTGGCGCTGCAAACGCCCCGAAAGTATTTCTTTTAAGAGTAAATTATATGAATTAAGATCTGAGACCTGACATAATCATCTCCCTTGAAATATGTATGCCTTGATTTTTGCTGAACCAGAAACAGAAGCAGTATTCGATGGTGAACTAATTTCCGATCAAGTGGACAACCTGCAGCGAATATAGGTTTGGTCTATATAGATATAACTTGATTATCGGGAACATAAGATTTAGCTCACAATTACATTTTGTAAGGAGGAAAGACAGTAAGTAACGAACCAAGATGTAGATCTATACATCTTATTCTCGCAATGGTGACAAAAAGTACTTTGTAAACTGTTGCTCCAGTACCCCGATATTTGCATAATCAAAGTACAAAGTATAAAATATTCTTTAAATGACCCCGTTCAGAAATTATACATACGCAAGTTTTCAAATACCACGCTCTATCAAATTCTTTGTCTTTTTACATTTTATCTCCGTTTTTGTGTAATAAAGTTTTCACTCTTGATGGAATTCTCCTCAAAGTTACAGTCATTTATTCTACCTTTGTCTGCCAATCGATGTGTTGACTGCGGTACTGAGCACTACATTACTAACCCTAGGCGTTCATGTGAGTTAGATTTATGTGATTCTGTAAAAGGTAAGATTATGGATATAGGATGTTACATACCTGACCCGGGCACCTGTTCAGTACGGTCATCAAGAGGGACATTAGCCTTTAAAAATAGAAAATACAACGTATGACATATTTCCACATTTAATTATTTCCTTGAATTTGAAAAAGGAAGAGTTCAATAGATATCAAACCCTTAAAATCAACTTTTACACTTGTATTATGCAATTTACTTTTATTTAGCTGTACTCAGTCTAACTCTAAATTTGTGTTAAAGGATTGTACAAAAGAGAATAACACTTTTTAAAATAGAGTTAGTTAGGATGACAATGACAATGAAGTAAACTGCATTATACAGTCATTTCGTCCTTACAGGACATTTGTATAATCTTCAAAATTACAGGTGGTGGACATACAACAGTTACGAAAGATAATGAATGATTGGGGAAGAGATCCTTCTCCGTCTACATTTAGACTTGTTTTTGATTATTTGTGATTAGGCTCTTAGCATCATTGACGAAAATAACTGTTGTCATAGCTTATTGCAAAACCTTGCATTCAGTTGGTTTTAATCGACACAAAAGGACATTGTCAAATATAACACCCATTGAAACGAGTATGAACACTGTTTGTGATCAGGTAAACTGTCTCGTAAAGCACATATCAAATACATTGAGACAAAAGTGGGAAGACCTTTTGAAAAATTATAATAACAATCACACTTACTTGACAAACATATTTCACAAGTTTTGTACATGAAATATCCTTCCATCCTTCGCCTGCTTTTAAGCGTGCACAACTTTGGATATCTGTGGTATTACTTGGACTATCCAGTGACCAATCGGTATAACGGACAGGATCCCCACTGTTCTCCCACACAAACACACCATCGGAGTCAATGTCATTGGCGCCAATCCAAATACTCCTTGGACCTTTTATCATGAAATTTCCAATTGCAAAATTGATAGATAATTTTCCTCAACGACGCCAGAGATTCTAAATATTGACAACTAATTTATCAATTAAAATATGACAAGATTTTTGTTTAGTTATCATATAGTAATTGTATTATCAGCTTTTTGGGATGTCGTCTGCTTACCATTCGCATACAGGGTTTCATGTATAAATTTATTGACGCCGGCACTATCAATCCTCAGCATGTGTGCATTGTAGGTTGCACAGGAATTCTGAAAATTTTAATGGTATATGTAATTCAAACGCCTTTTTACCTCGTGTTTCAAAAGTGTTTTATCTCATTATGGCCTATTATGTCCAATAACAGCTCTGATCGCTGTTGTTTCTCTTATAATCACAATAGAATTAATGTAATGGATCGTATTGCACTGATGAAAGGTTGCTAATTCTTTCGAGTTTTCATTTATATTTGTTTTGTAAAAATATCTGAACATTTTTCATTATACCGAACCACTGTCGGTGAAAAACAAACAGTATTTCATGAGAAGTTTCATTTCAATTAATATGAAATGAAAAGAATTGTATTTTTGCATGTATCTTTGATTCTTTTCTTATTATTTATGGTAAAAATGATATTATACTGATACAAAACCTATCCTGACGATATTTTTCCATTCTATATCTGTTTCAGGGCACTGTGCCCAAAACAATTAAAGTACCGGGTGTAATAAGGATTATATGGTATAGAATACCTGCTAGCATGTAACATGGATATAGCTCCGAAACGCGATTTACTTATCATGATATAGATATGCTTAAATATTTGCTTTCACTTCCAATGAATAGAAATAATTTTTCAAAATCTATAATCAACAACAAAAACAATGTTTTGTATCGGAAGAATCTATTCAATTGTAAGACTTTTGTAAATACTTCACCATATATATTTACCCTGGCGACAAACCAGTCAACCTTCTGATTCATGAAAAGGTAACAAGTCGTCTGATATTGGAGCCATTCTTCGCTGGGGCATAAGTTTGTCAATGCTGAAACGAAAGTGTTTCGTCTTATTATGGACTATTTTATGATGGGCCAAGTTTGATTTGCTCTAAAAGACTCGCCGTTAATCGGTTTTCTACACAACTTGAGTGTTTTGTGGAACTGCAGAAATCGGTTTTTTGAAAACTGACTGTCACGAAAATATAGCACTTCATAAAACCATTGTCATCACATATTTTCACATTAGGGTACGGTCGACTACCTGCCAGATCATTTGAAATTTTTTTTCTCTGATTTGGTTTGCTAAGATCAGGTGATCGCATACGCCATCTAGTACAAATCAAACTGGATTTAAATCTTTATCAATATGGCGAAGAAGACAACACATTCAGATATAATTTCTACGCTAGTATTACATCCATTTGTAAAGGAAATAATCATTCTCTTGTGCTTTTCGTTGTTTCGTTACTTGTAATGATCATCATGGTAGCGCTATGAAATAGAAAAGAAGGCCTAGGAAACTTTATTACAAAATACCCATTTCAATTACTTAGCTGTCTATTGTCTATAATGTGAAATTGCTGTCAAAGGTACAGGTCTAAAACCGACATTATCAGTATGACTGACGTGCTTATGCGTGTGTTAGCTTTAACGGGCTTCGTCTAACTGAAAGTGTGTAAATATTGACAGGAATCATAATTTAACTCTCAAACCCAAATACAAAGGATTAGGCGATGAATTTTTCTTTTAAAAAATATGTTTGTATTACATGAAAATACCAATGATATCACTTGTGGAACAAACGCGAGTACTAGGTACTAGGTTTCGCTGATGACACAAATTACACTAATTGTCAGAAATCTGGCAGTTAGTTTCTATCCAGAGAAAAACTTTAAAAAAAAGTTTTAGACAGTCATACACCTCTTTAATCACACCTCATATGGAATATGCTTAGTTTTGTTTCCTTAGTAAGAGAAGAAACGAGAATGTTAAATGCGCAACAAATGAAGTACCAGGACATTCTATATGGATATATTCTATATGATTATACTATATGATATATGATTATTATATGATTATTAAGGATAATGTGAAGACATGATAGAGAGTTTTAGTTCCGGCAAATTTTCCGGACATTCTATAAGGATATATTCTATATGATTATACTATATGATATATGATTATTATATGATTATTAAGGATAATGTGAAGACATGATAGAGAGTTTTAGTTCCGGCAAATCTGACAGAGAAGTCGCATGCTTGTTTTCGATGAATGACGAGTCAATCACAACTGGCCATGATTTCAAGATAAATAATAAATTTTGGAGGTTAAACGTGAGAAAGTATTCGTACAAGCAGAACGGTTGAACAGCTTTTCATCTGATGTTGCAAAGACTGATAAACAATTTTGATCTTAATAAAAACCAGCCAAATCAGAAATGGTTCATGGACAAAAAGCATGGAACGTAGATATTATAATTTTGCATATTACGAAATGACTAGAAAAACATAACAATGGTAAATGTTTTTTATCTATTTTTTTCAGAATAAATGTGCGTATCTGTATATAGTATATTGTGACAAACAAGTTTGGGGTGAGGGTGGGGGATAAGTCTACAGAATTTTAATTGTGTCTCTTGATGGATAAAACAGGTATAATTGTAGTGTTGTACGAAACAAAGAAACATTTACAATGATTTATCAGCGAAAGCGTAAATAAATAGATAATAAAATTCGGAAAAACAAATACAAAAAAAAAAAAAACTAAATAAATAAATAAAATGAGGCCAAGTGTTCTGGGAGGGAAACCGTCTTCTGCTCAATCGATGACATCTATTTCCGCAATGTAAACGAGAAGAGACATAACGACATATCGCGCCATTTTGTTATCTTGCAGGAAAGTTACTACGACGGATCTCTGACATGATATTTAATTGAACTGAAACCATGAAGGAGGCATCATCCTTGAATGACATTGCTAGAAAAAATTACTTTTTAGTTGTTATTCCGACGGTGCTATATTAACCTTACTTGGAATAATATGTTTTCGCCAGGCTCCATTTTCTTGTTTGTTTTTTTAAAGAAAGAAAGAAAAAAAAATTAGCGAACACTTGATTTCGTAGAGAAATATAGCTGAATAAATTCACTTGCGAGCTTATGAATTCTTGGGAAAAAATCAACGAAAATTAATGGTTTTATAGTATTGAAAACAAAATAATATGAAAGAAAGATAAAACGATATATGAAATGTTTACCCCAATTTCAATAGTAATAAACTTACCTTGTACAACATGGTGTAGCCACCATAGCAAAATCAACAAGTTCATCTCGACAGCAACGCACCTTTTTACGACATGACAAATTACCGGCTTATAAAGAGGATTACACAAGGAGGCACAACGTCAGAATCGATACATTTAAAGTAGAACATCCAAGGCAGTTTGCCTTCTGTGCAATCATATTTTATTTATAAGTCCATTTAGCTAACATCTCTGTCTACTTGAGTTTTGTCTTTAAACACAATCAATACGTTTTGTTGGCAATCGAATATTCGGCACAATCTTACGATAAAAAATATACAATTATCGGAAAGGTTTCGGAAATAATAATAAACATATGAATATATTTTAATCAATGCAGAAAAAAATGTATCCCCTCTACAAGATCAACAAACGCCAGCTAAGTAACCTATACCTTTCTAATACAGTTTGACAGTCATGGTTTGATAATCAACTGATTCATATATATGTAATATTCTAAAATAGTACAATATTTCAGTAACTGCCAGGTAGTATAACATATCTATATAAGCAGACTTCTGTAAGATTACAATTTAATTATTTAAGCAAATTTTTATTTTTCGCACCAAACAGCACCTGATCAATGAACGTCGCGAGCTTTCGAAAGCGGTGAAAGGATGAATATATAAAGTTTGCTTTCGAGCCGTAAGATATATATATATCAACCTGATGAGTCTCATTCCAAACTCCATAATTCCACCTCGCATATGGCGTCCAAAAGATGCAAAAATAAAAAAATATCTTTCAATAACGATTTAGAATTAAATACTGGAGATTAAGACAGTCACAAAACTTCTGAGCAATATATATGACACAGGAGAGATTCCGACAGATATGGAGAAGTCCATCTACATTGCGATCCCTAAGAAACCTGGTAAAGCTGGATGTGACCAACATCGTACAATCAGCCTGATGGGTCACCTCACCAAAGTTTTTTTACGAATACTCAGGAAGAGAATGAGAAATGAAATATCAGAAACGCAATTTGGATTCATGGCAGACAAAGGCACCAGAAATACAATCTTCGCATTGAAAACTCTCCTGGAAATATCTATCGAGGTCCAGAAAGACTTATACCTCTGTCTCATCGATTACTCAAAAGCGTTCGACAAAGTACGACACTCTGACTTTTTTGATATTCTGGCAGGGCTATACATCGACGGAAAAGAAAATTGAGTCCTCAGAGACATATTGGGAACAGGAGGCAGTCATTAGAGTCGACAATGACAATATAGACCAATCTGCAGGGGTGTGAGGCAGGGCTGCGTGTTCTCATCCGATTTATTAAATGTATACAGTGAAATAATTCCACGAAATATTCAGAATCATGAGGGAATTAGTGTAGATGGCCACAACATCAACAACCTGAGATATGCAGATGACGTATTCCGTATCGATTTTAACAACAGTAACCGACGAAAGCGAAAAGAAACGATTACAACTCAATGCAAAGAAGACAGAATGCATGGTGATCTCAAAAAAACTTGTTATACCACAATGCAACATAGCTTGTAAAGGAGAGAGAATCAGACAAGTAAACGCCTTTAAATACCTTGGTAGTACTATCACCGCGGATGGCAAGTGTGACACAGAAATCAAGAAGAGAATAGGTCATTCTAAGAAAACTTTTAACAACATGAAATGATTTTAAACCAACAGTAACTTAAGCCGCAAGACAACCAAGGACACAGAACAGCGACTAGAAGCAGTGGAGATGTGGTTCATC